TTTTATTTTATTTTATTTTATTTTATTTTATTTTATTTTATTTTATTTTATTTTTATTTTATTTTTATATTAGGTTAATTTTAGCTCCTTTCTTATCTGTTAACTCTTTCCTTTAGATCTTCATGCGGTACGGTCGCCAGCGTTGGAAGCTAAAGGGGAAGATTGAAGTCAACTCCAGACAAAGCTGGGATGGAGACGAGATGATCTTCATGCCTCTCATCACAGACCTCATAAACATCAAGGTACTGCGGAGAAAAAAAAAACATTTAAAATATAACGCTCCTGTGACGGTTGCTGTTTTCCAGAAACGGAATCAACCACTTTTGTGACTGTGGGTTTTGGTGTTTTGTCAGGTGATGGAGCTGAAGGGTTTGGCCACTCACTTGCTGGTGGGCAGCGTCATCTGTGAGACCAAGGAGCTGTTCACTGCCATGCCTCAGGTAGTGGCTGTGGATGTCAATGACCTGGGAACCATCAAACTCAACCTGGAGGTGACCTGGTAGTAAGTAAAGGCTTGTGTTTTGTTTTGTTTTTTTCATTCTATGGAGCCAAAGCTCATCCTAGTCACATTTATGGTAAAAACCCAATAGATATAGTTTATTTTGCTGTAGTTACTTATTAGTTTCAGTTTGATTTTAGGCTCCCTCCATCAGATTTGTTAAAGTAAACACTTGAGAGGTGAGCATTTCTTCTGCAGTGCATGGCAGAAATTGCTGGTTAGTAGAGTTGTGAGATGCAGCCAACGTCTATTTTAATCCTTGTACAGTCTATTATTGGACTGGCCATATGCTTGGTTGCCAGAGAACACCCACAACTGTTGCTAGCTCCAAATTCAGTGTGTGCCGTTCCTTTGGTCTCCTGCCACCTTGTGGAGAATTCTTTAAGTCGTGGCAGATTAGTGAGTGTGTTTACAAATGTAAAACATGCAGAGCGGTCACATTAAGTTATCATTCCCCTCACAGCCCCTTCGATGTGGAAGACCTGACTCTGTCGTCGGGAAATTTGAGCAAAGCCACAGCTCTCCAGAGAAGAGTTTCCATCTACAGCCAGGGGACACCAGAGACCCCCACTTTCCAGGAAAACTCCTTCTTTGTAAGTCCAGTAACACACCTTTATTTTCTTAATTTGTCCTGTGCAAGATGTGTACATGTTTCTTTATTACGCACTAACCTGAGAGCCTGTGCTGCACATTGAAACAGTTTTGTTCATGCTCCAGATATTGTTTTTTCTATGTTTTACGCGTCAAGCTTGGTTTAGCAAAGCTACCTCCACCCCGGATCTAACCCACGCCCATGTCCCTGCTGTCCTCCTGCATTTCCGCTTTAACTCTCTCCCCCACCACTCTGCCCCCTACTTACGAATTCCCTCGTCCTTTACCTCGAATCCCCAACACCTCGTGCTTCTCTGTGGGTGGCAGCCGCATCCCGTGGAGCGCCAGCGCCTCTCCTTCCTCCACATGCTCCGGGACGCGCTGCTAGAGAAGCTGAGGCGTAGTCGCTCGTTCGGGGACCTGGCCTCGCTACGGCCAAGGCCCAAATCCAGTCTGGAGGTCTATGTGAGTGTGTGTCGCGGCCCCTTGACCCTCCTAACGCCTGCCTGGACGACATGATGGACACCTGGGGGTTTTTTCGGCCCCTCATTGAGGGCCGCAGAGTGCCGTGTGTGTCTGTTTGCACGCTTGTTTGCTTTGGCTGATGCTGTGCTTTTTTTTCTCTTGAGTGACCTGATGTTATCATAAGGATTTAACCCTGTAATGCCAAATGTATCGTATTTGATACATAAGGTTTCTGAAATGTTTTGCGTCTGACACCTTTTGCATAATTTAATGGTAAAAACTTTGCTCAAAATCCTATTGTACACAATGAGATATACCTGATAACAGGGAGCAGAAGACTACAGAAAAACACAATCTTGATTTATCGCATATTAATAAATTATTAATATTAAAAATGTATTTCTGTTTTTTCTTTTTACATATTTTGTGAAAAGGCCAAATAAGGAATTCAAAGAAAAAAATAAGTAATTTTCTGTTTTTTTTTATTCTTGGATCAGGCTTTAAAGGGTTAAATAGACATATCTCTCTCTCTCTCTCTTCTGCTTTTCTACTTCTGCTTTTAATTTTTGTTATGCTGACTGACTTTTTTGTCCTTTCAGTCCACCTTACCGGACGATGTCTTTGAAAATGGCGGCTGCGGCGTGGCTGAGTGCAAACGCCTGTCCTTCACCTTCTCCGACACCTCGGGTTCGACGCCCAGCCCCAGCCCCGCCCCGAGCACCTTTTCCCAAAGCCAGTCCAACCCGGAGATCACGGTCACTCCCCCGGAAACGGAATTATCCTCCGTGCAAATCCTTCCGGCGAGGGCCGACTCGATCGCGGAGGAGCATCTGGTGGAGGAAGAGGAGGAGGAGGAGTACGAAGAGGACGGGGATACGGGCAGTAGGGGGAGCAGGGGCAGCAGGACCAGCGCCAGCCTGGTTAGCGACGAAGCGGAAGTCGCCGAAGACTCCGAATGGGAGCGCACGGAGTCCCAGCGCAATTCCAGCTCCAACTGCGGCTCGGCCGCCCCCTCCCTGTGCTCGGACGGACACCTGTCCACCGTGGCCCCCGAGGATGTTTTCCTGGATCAGGCCGACGAGCTGAAGCCCGTGGAGCTGGACACGGAGGAGCCCGGCAGCCTCACCAGACAGCTGGTGAAAAGGCTGACCTCTTCGGAAATCGCGCCCGCCTGCGAGAGCTCCGCCGAGGTGGGGGGGAGCCCCAGCTGGGCGGGAGAGGGGAGCAGAGCTTTCCTGGAAAGCGGACTGGAAGAGGCCATCCACAGCCTGCTGACCAGACTGGAGTCGCTGACCCACCGCTGCAGAGAGCTGCAGGACCTGGAACAGGAAGTGATGCGTCTGGAGGACCTCTTAAAGGTGAGCACTCATCAAGTAGTGAAGATGTTTATGTATTTCTAATATTTAATTCTGACCAAACCAGCTTTTTTCCTAGTTTCGACTTTTTACCACATGAAAAAGGAAGCCTGTTAAAAGTAGGTTTTTCCTTGCCTGTGTCGCCTAGTGCTTGCTCATGGTGGGAATTGTTGGGTTTCTGTAATCAACTTCAGAGTAGGGTCTGACCTGCTCTGTTTGGAAAGCGCTGTGAGATGACTGTTGTTGTGATGTGGCGCTATATAAATAAAATTGAATTGAATTGAATTGAAGCAAGTTAAAGTGTGCCTTTTTAAAGTTCAATCTATAATATTGACATAATTTATCCCTAAATGAATGTTTTGACGTATGACAACGATAGCCCCATTTCTGATTATTGCAGACTTAGCGTTTTCTAAACAGTTTTTGGAGTCTGATGGCCTGTTTTCTCCGTGCACGCTCCTGGTTTTCCGCAGTGCCGTCTCCCAGGTCACAGAAGCCGGTCGTCCAGCCTCAGTCTGACCGTGGAGAGCGCCTTGGAAAGCTTCGACTTCCTCAACACGTCTGACTTCGATGACGAGGATACTGGAGACGACAACGCTGGCCTCAGCCTTCCCCCGCGGAGGTCTCCAATTTTTGACACGGATGGGGAGAGGATCGGGTGAGTCCTTTCTCCAGACAGAATTACGACAGGATAAACTAAACGTAGGACATTTTGACTAAAGTCAGTGTAAGCCAAGTGTCATTTTGAGTCCTGACCTTTGGGGACACGTATATTACCCATACATTTACATTTAAATTAGACAAAATGTGCTTTTTCTGGAAAGCTATCTGCTCCGTGTGTTTCTACTGCCACCTAGTGGTGATTCTTGTTACATGTTTCTCAGGGTCCAGCATCCGGAGGCCAGAGGACACCTAAGTGAGGCCCTGACAGAGGACACAGGCGTGGGCAACAGTGTAGCAGGAAGCCCCTTACCACTCACCACTGGGAATGAAAACCTGGACGTAGCCATCGTCATCCACCTCCAGTACTGTAATCACCTCGTACAGGTAGGGTTCCCGTGTTTGCGCCAGCAGGGATTTCCTGCCGCGTGGTTCCTTGCCTTTTGCAGAGATTTGTTTCTGATTCCACGTGCAGTTGCTGACCAGCGGGACGGGGGCGTGGCAGCGGCGAAGTCTGCTCCTCAAAATGTCCGAACAGACGCAGCTGCTGGAGGAGCTTGCAGAGATCAGCGGAGACAGACTCGGGGCGGTAACTTCTGCCGTAGACGGTGAGTCCCAGCATTAAAAAATATACACGGAACAGGCAAAAGGTCTGAGACACCTTTCGGCTCTTTATAACAAAAAACCTCGGGGAAGAAAAATATACAGTAAAGGTTTTTTTGTTTAACCATTTTGTACCTTTCAGAAGAAAGTTTTATAAATTCACTTACGTGGATTTATGAGTCATTCGGCTTTAAAAACAGTTCAAAGGATGTGACAGCATTGTGTCTGCACATAAGACAGCTTGTCAAATAACCCATTTTAAATTCTGTCTTTGGTTACTTTGCTTTTAGCAACGTGACACAAAAACACACAGTTTGACCTTTTTAGTTTAACCCTGTAATGCCAAATGTATCATATTTGATACATAGATTTTGCATAATTTAATGGTAAAAACTTTGCTCAAAATCCTATTGTACACAATCAGATACACTTGATAAGAGGGGGAAGAAGACTACACAAAACATAATCTTGACTTATCGCATAGTAATAAATTATTAATAATAAAATTTTATTTGAGTTTTTTTCTTTTTACATGTTTTGTTAAAAGGCCAAATATATACTTAAAACAAAAAAAAGTCATTTTCTGTTTTGTTTTATTTTTGGATCAGGCTTTAAAGGGTTAAGTTGCATCCACAAAATAGCAACAACAACAAATAGCTGCAAAAGACTGGAAAACTAATCAGTTAGATCACTTTTAATAACAAATGACAGGGCGGCTTGTTTGTTTTCTTTGGAATTTAGACAGTACAGCTCAAGAATATCAAACATCGCTGTCTATCTATGAACCATTATCATACACATAAGGTCTTTGGTTGTGTGGTTTGACTTATTAATGTTCTCCCAGTCCTCCCGAGCCTGGCAGAGCGCCCACAGCTGATGACGCTGTGGTCAGAGTTCAGCGGGTCTGCGGGGCTTTTCCACACAACCCTGGACAGAGTGTTCAAGCACATGAACCAGCGCTACACAGCAGTGCTGCAGGAAAGACACCCACACAGTGCTGACACAGGTTGGCTCATCCTCCTTTTTTTCCTCATAGAAACGCACCACAGATTAGACTAAAAGCTTAATCTATTTGTTGGCAGCTCAACTTGTTTGTGCATTAGATTCCCTCCGGTTTCAGCTTAGTCGTGTATTTGTTGTTGTTTTCTTCGTCACTAACAGGTTTAATTAGATCCCTGGTGGGATTTTGTGTACCATCAGGGCTGTTGCCTTAGAAAGAGATGTGGTTGCTGACAAAATGAGGTTGGACATCCTATGTAAGAGAAACTACTTGCAAAGCTGTGAACAGGATTTTTGTTGACAGAAAACTGAGACTACAGATATAAATCAAGTTTCTGTAATCTTCTGCTGGTGTGACACTAATACAGTGAATACTTACACGGTTTGTGGTTGTCTCACATCTGCACTCTGCTTTGTGGCTGTTATGAGAGACAGTAATCGCCCTGAGTGGCATTAGTCTATTTTAACCTAATAAATTTATCTCAAGGGCTTTCAGCTGCTGGGGAGAAAATGGGCCTTTTTTCATACAAATATCTTCTAATAACTCCTGTAAGGAAGAAACACATTGTACAAAATATTGATACATATGTGTATGTTAATCAAAAGAGCAGAGAGGGAAGTATAATCATTTCACCCGATTTATTATAATAGATTCTTTTTTTAAATAATTTTGGAATTCCATTTGATGCACATTTTGAAACAAACTGTGTTACACATTGCCACAGACAAAAAAGAAGAAGGTTTATTTCTCTGTTTTCTAAAAATATCAGCTATCCATCCACTCTCCTTTGTCAAAGGCTCTTTTTTCAACCGTGTCATTGTGTTGTTTATTTCAAGTATTTGTCCCTAGCATTTAGGTTAGTTGGCATTTTACCAAAGCACACCACGGAAAAGCAGCGATGCTCAATATTGATGCTGGATCCCTCTTATCTACTCTCCCAGGCAGAGGTCTCTTGTGCCTTCAGACAATAGTATCAACAGTTTTTGATCTGTTTAGCAGGTGGACAAGACTATTTCCTCTGCTCTGTTGAGCTTTGGTTAAATGCAGCATGTCTGGATAGGGCTGATCTGCAGAGGTCACAGCAGTGTTGCACTTTTTTTTTTTTGCTGCGGAAACCAGTCATTGGACACCTTCAAACATGACTTGTTGAAAAAAGTCATAATTATTTAACAAGGCGGGCACTAGGTGGAGACATTAAACTCCCTCGACCCAGAACAAACTGCCAATAACCACACGAAGAGTTCAGAACAGAACAAGCTTAAAAAATATACTGTCTTCAGAACTACTGCAGATGATATGATGAACTGACCTGTGTATATACTGTATGTTGTATATTTCTACTCTTTTTCATGTTCCTATTATTTCCTAATGTGATTTTTTTTAATGGTTTGTTCATAATGTAATGTAATTTCTTCATGTGAGGACCCCAGGAAGACTAGTGGCCATTTATTTGTTAGCTAATGGGGATCCTAATAAAACTAAACTGAACTAAACCAGTGGCTTTAGCCCAGTGGTATATATAGCTGTGTTGTGTTAGGCATGTGGGGAAGATTTGTGGTTGCTGCCCTCTCTTTCCCTCACCCCCAACCGGCCGAGGCAGAGGGCCGCCCACCCTGAGCCATGGTTCTGCTCGAGGTTTCTGCCTGTTAAAAGGAAGTTTTTCCTTGCCTGTGTCGCCTAGTGCTTGCTCATGGTGGGAATTGTTGGGTTTCTGTAATTAACTCCAGAGTGGGGTCTGACCTGCTCTGTTTGGAAAGCGCTGTGAGACAACTGTTGTTGTGATGTGGCGCTATATAAATAAAATTGAATTGAATTGAATTGAATTATCACCACGCCCCACACATTGTTTGAGGGGAACGGTCAAAGCACTTTAAATTATGAGCCTGAGAATTCCGTCATAATTTCTCGCACAAGTACGAGTGTAAAGCAAGTATACACTAATCGGTGCCTCTGCACCAGGTTACTGTCACAGCTGTCATTTGTAAACTTGAGTCTTTTTTTTTGCTTTTCTTCTCCTCAGTGATTGCCATGGTCGTAGGTGAGATGGTGGACAGGAGCGACCTGGCGGCGGTGCAGGAGCCTCCTTCGGCCACGCTCTCCCAGGACGTCCTGACGGTGTTCCAGTTCCACAGCTACATCGTAGAGCATGAGGTTCAGGACATGGAGACTCACCTGCTGCACCTGGCAAGAGAGGGTGAGCAAAAGCGTAGGATTCCCCTGTGCTTGATTTAGTTTTTCTGTTCATCTTCGATTACAGATATCTAACTGGCTGCTGCACTGATGTCAACAAATATGCACAAAAAATTGAAAGCATTTTGGTTGCGGAAAAATGTGTAAACCCACAGATTGATGCTTGATCTAACAACAATATGCTAAGAGAAGGTTATTTCTCATTATTTCTCATTTGTTGTTTTGTTTTTTTTGTTTTTTTTTCAAACTTTGTTTATTGAACATTTTGAATGTAAGACAGACATTGTTGGGACAAATTCAAAGTGTCAATACAAACTCAATGTCACAGTTCTGTCAACCCCCAATCCACCCAGACCACCCACCCCATCCATAGGCCAAAAAATAAATTAATAAACAAATTAATTTAAAAATTTAAAAAATTTAAAAAAGTATAAATAAATAAAAAGTATAAAGAGAAAAGCAGATTAAAAAAAATTAAATTAAAAAAAGGGGTAGACATGAATGTAAATGTAGATAGATAAGTGGAAATCATGTTAAACAATCAAGTATCCTCTGGGTCAAGAAGATTCAATGAGTCAACTCATTTGTTGTTTTTAACAGAAAATAATTTGGATCAGGAAAGGAAATTTTGGGGTAATATGTTTTGTTAGTCACAATAGGAAATGCTTAAAAAACAGCTTTCGTGGAAGCACAATGAGAATTTCATGCTGATCATATCTGCCAATTATTGTACATTTACTAGACATAAGTACGAGAACCTTTCTGTGTATTTAATGAACTAAAAAGCCGCGTCATGTCATCGACAGAGGTGTTTGCGGAGGTCCTGTGCAGTGGAGAGGATCCTCGACGTCTAGAGGAGCTGGAAGAGGTGCACCTGTCATCTCTCTGGCCTCAAAATAGCACCCTGAGGGCCCTGGCCTCCCTGCTGACCGCCGAGAACCCTCAGGTCAACAAGGCGGCCGCCGACTACCTCGCTTCGGGAGCATCAAACAGACACTTCAGGACCAGGGTGAGTGGCGCTAAAGAGGAGCCCGGATGTCACCGATGTGCGTCACTCGGCTGGTCACGATTCAAATGTTGTGTGTCGTTTGTTGTGTGTTGTTGCGTGTGTTGCGCGCAGGCCGTGGAGTGCTACACTCAGGCACTGTCAGAGGCGGGAGTTCAGAGCCAGAGGGCCGCGTGCTCCGCGCTCAGCTGTCTGCAGGTCAGCGTATGTGGTTATTTCTGAAACCCCAAATTCACAGAATTTGAAAAAAAATAAACAAAAGGTCATTTGATGTTTAGATTCTTTTTCAATCCTGAAGAGTCCCGCTTTATATTCTGTGTGTAGGCGGTGGAGAGCATCAGGGCAGTGGTAGCCCTGTGCGATTCAGCCGACGAGGAGCTCCGTCACGTCGCCATAGAAACCCTGCTTACTTTCGGTGAGTGTTAATCAAGCGACGCTCAGCGCTTTGCTAAGCGTTTAGATTTCACGACTGAGGCCGTGGATCAAAACGGAAATTAGTCGAGCAACCATTTATGATGTTATTTATAGCAAGTAAAAATAACGGACGAAACTGGACACTACGTTTTTACCCTCTAACCCTGGAAAAGGTTGATAACTGCTCGTCACATTTAGTTTAGTTTAGTTTAGTTTTATTAGGATCCCCATTAGCTAACAAATAAATGGCCACTAGTCTTCCTGGGGTCCTCACATGAAGAAATTACATTACATTATGAACAAACCATTAAAAGAAATCACATTAGGAAATAATAGGAACATGAAAAAGAGTAGAAATACACGATATATATACACAGGTCAGTTCATCATATCATCTGCAGTAGTGAAGACGGTATCTTTTTGAAGCTTGTTCTGTTCTGAACTCTTCGTGTGGTTATTGGCAGTTGGTTCCAGTGACATACGGGTCTATAATGCACTGTGGATTTTAGCTAGTTTGTTCTGGGTCGAGGGAGTTTAATGTCTCCACCTAGTGCCCACCTTGTTAAATAATTATGACTTTTTTCAACAAGGACTAAATGTTCAGCCAAAAATGAGGGCTGTTTTTTAAAGAAAACATTCCATATAAATAGGAGAAGTCTTAATTTAAGTTTATAAGTAACTGTTAACCACGAAAGCTGTTCTCACATGAGAATAGATTGAGAAAGCAATGTTTGGACTAAATTCTTGGCCGTTGCAGGTGAGGAGGGGCGGCTGGCGTATGAGCAGCTGGACAGAGTTCCGGGGGAAATGATCCGTCTGGGCACACGGCGAGGAAACGCCGTCACCACAGCCTTCTGAGCCACCACGACGCCGATATCCAACCTAAACGGACAGCAACCTGACCCCTGACCCCCCGAGGGGCCACTTTTCACCCCACACTGCACGCCTTTCAGGGCCGGGTCCGTCTCTTAATCCGTTCTAATGCAAGACGTTTTTTCCACGCCGTCACCGTTTCACCCGTGTTTTTTTCCTCGTACTGCCTCGTGAAAAGGAACTAACACCAAACAATCTGTCTTAAACACATAGACACGCAACCTCCAGCCCCTCACACTCGTCGTTCCTTTCGTGGGGCTTTCGGTATCTGACGCTCCCCGCGACTACTTACCTTACCCCTGCTTTCTGAGCCAGGCAGACCGGTCAGGTTAAGAGAAACTGGAAAGTGGAACTGGAAATTTGACTTGACCCAAATACTGCATCAAAGAGCGTAGAATTCCAGGAAAATGCATCTCCATCCTTCAAATATCATCGGTGAACATGCTATTTACTGCACACAATGCTCATATCACTCGCTCACTGATTGAGGATCATATTGATTGAGTCAGCTATGTCACGCAATGTATTTTGATGTCTGTATAATCACTGCAACCTGTTTTTTGTTGGTGTTTTTTTTTTTTTTTTGCATTAGAGGTGTTCTCTGGAGCTTTCAGAAGATTGCACTGTTGTATGGCTTTGTAAATAAGGCATAATTTTACACAACCCCGTGTGATATATATGTGGTTGTGCTAAAAAAATGTCAGTTTTCTGCTACGTTAAATTGGCGGTTTCAGGGAATTCGCGCGCGGTTGAAAGACGCGCGGAAGAAAGATTTATTTATAAGACGAGGATGTCGGATTTGTAGGAGGAGACGGGGTTCCGAAAGCGGTTTACGGTCTTCGTCTGAAGAGGTTGAAGCAGGTCAGTAACAGTGCCCAAGGTTCACTCGCGCCTGAGTTTGCTTCACGCTTTGCAGTTTAAACAAGTGCAATTTTTTTTGTACCTATGTGATTCTTTTGCACTTGGCTGATGTGACGCTGTCAGCTCGTACCACCTGAGCCTTGATGTGGTTGAGCGGGGACAGATTCCACGAACGCCCTGTTGTAAATGTACATTTTTCTTACCTGTTCAGGTCAAGGGCAATAAATTCAAGTTTTTTTGATCGGGGAGAATGCACTTCCTCGGCGTACAAAAAAAACACGAGCTAATAGCACACAGTGGGAAGAAGCTGCAGAGTCAAGTGCTCTGCTTGGTGTTTTCCGGAATCCTTAATGTCACATTGGAAAAGTGACCTGAGGGAGGCATCCAGTTCCAGCTTTCCTCACAGTAACTGTACTACTGAGACCAGTGCTGATGCACAAGGACAAAACTCACACATGTCCCACTTTTCTTATTTATTATTCACAACTGGTGATTCTAATATTCTTTGGTGTCATACTGTAGTAGTACAGATGGCGCATTTCTGTAAATGAATTGTACAATTATGTTCTATTTTCTGTTTTAGTATATTTGAAATATTGTCTTTGGTTTATAAAGGCCTTCATGCTTTTATCATGATCTCATATATGACTTTTAATTTCAATTGGAGTCTATTTTGAAGGAATTATATTAGATTAATTATTTTTTGGCAGAATATGAAGATTTGTTAATAGTCTAAGTATTATAGTTTTTTCCCTTAAAGGTCCCAACATGATTGAGACTTTTATAAAATAGAAATGTTGCTTTATTAAGTAGCCGATTGACTGTAACCAAAGGAAATTTTGATTTTTAAAGTTGGCTTTATAAGAGTTCATCCAGGAGAATGTATTTTCTGTACAATATCTGCATTAAGGCCAGAATACTCAGACTTATCTATAGAAGCACAACTTTGAAACAATAAGATAAGCCCTTAATACATTTTGTTGCATTTTTGGTTGTAATTGCACAATCCAATAGCCATAATAAAAAAAAGAAATTAGTATTTTTCATTTTTATTATATTATCTGTAAACCTGTGAAGTTATTAAAAGCTCAACATTGTGTCATGTTTTGTTTTGCTACACATCTTTTTGCAAATCCTGGTCCATTTAAAGCAACATTTACCTTTTATTTCGCCCATTATGTGAATAGCGATACAGTATTTAGGGCTAATATCTCCATGAATCCCCTCAGTGTATGTTTATTTTACAAATTTGCAGCTGATCGGCGTTTGATATGTTTGCGGGTTTGGTTCCTAACCATTAAATACAAGTTGATTATGTGCAGTTTTTGATTTAAAAACAAAAAAGGTTTGCTTAAATTGAACACCACCCATCTCAGTGGTCAATAGCTTCCATACTGACCCATCTGGTTGCATATTATGGTCCTCTTCTGTTGTGGTCGGCTGCATTTACTTCTGCTCAAACGTTGCAATAAAGTTTATTTTTGCATAATTGAAAAGACAGTTGTGTTTCTTTTACAGAGGCCAGTTCAAAGTTCCCGATGTTAATCTGTTTACAGATTTCAGAATAAGTTAAAGACAGCAGTTTAGTGATGTATAGCTGCTACAAACCTTTGTATTTTTTTCTTTTTTAATCCAGACAACTGAAAATTGTGTTAGATATGACAAGGCAGTCTCGAGTCAAATGCAAACTAAAGAAAACATTAACTGCCACTTACACTTACGTTTTGCAGGTCAGTATATACACACTGCATCTTTGTGAAGCTATATAAGATTTAATTGTTTGTTGGGAGGGGTAAAAAAATATTTTGAGTTTCCTTTAAGTTGCACTTATCTGAGAAATAATTTTTCAACTGCAGTCCCCTCAAAGTCCCCCCTCCCCCTAAAACAAAAAAAACATTGCAGCTGTTCCATGCTCAGTAGCATTCCATTTAATTTTGAATGGTGCATTCACAGCTGAAGCACTTTGCAACCTGACCGAAACTAATGAACAGAGGTTGAAGTAACTGAAGGGGTAAAGCTTTAACCCCCCCTGGCCAAACCAGGAGCACATAGTGTTATACGGACTTATAACCGTGTTCTGCCCTACAGACAAGACCGTTTTGCACCATCTTCCCATATAAAAATGTACTGAGCAACTGCAATGTCAGCAGCATAAACCAGAGATTCAGGAATGTTTTCCAAGCATTTTAGAGCAAATTGAAAACTCTAGACAACCTCCCCAAACATTAAGTTACCATGGTAGTTTTATATAAAAAAACAAAATGGATCCCATGAATGAGAATTTCACCATTACTTTTGTTTTCATTTATTTAACAAGTCATGCTACCCACAACAAGACATCCCACTGCAAAAAATCCTCAAAATATAAATAAATGGCAGAATTTCACCCACACCATGATCCTGCTTGATTTAGAAAAGAAAAAAAAAAGGATAAAAGTATATTAAAACAAATCCTAAAAGTAAACATTTCTCTCAACTGAACATAAAATTTTACGTTTTGGTTAAAAAGAAAAGAATAAAACAGAGAAAATGGTTCCAGGTTAACCCTGCTCTCCCGAGGGTCCGGCTTCATCATCTGATGCTTCTTCATCCTCCGTTTCCTCTTGTTCACTCTGAGTCACACCATCATCTTCATGCTCCACATCAAGGGCAATGTCTTTGAGTTCCTCCAGGTTATCGGGAGACTTCCCAGTCAGCCTCTGAAGGAAGGAAGGAATCTTATGTCAAGTGAAATGACTGAAGTGTATATTTAACTTGAGCAATGGTTAAGCTCAAGGTTTAGTTCACTTTGCCCATTGACAACTTAAAAAGCACATTTCCTTATTTTTAAATGCATTGCATACCTCAATCATATCAGCCATGTACTGCACATGCTGGGCCAACTCCTGTAGTTCGTCATTTTCATCCTTAAGCTTCTCAATCTGTTCATCTTTGGCCTCGATGTCTCTGTGAAGCTGATTTAAAAAAATACAACCAAAATCAAGTATGCTCAAAGAAAAAGCACACATTGACTGAACTGGGTGTAAAGGTTATGTGTGGAAGATTAATGAATTTTAGTGTTACCATCAGAAGTCCAGCTTGAATAAAAGTCTTGTGAAAATGTATGACGAGGCACTGTTCATTTAACAGTTGATGTAGTTTAACTGTGTAATGTGTGCTGAGCCAACTAAAGTCAAGTCAGGGGAGCATGGGAACAGCTCAAACAGCTAAACATTAGCAGACTCTTAGTGATTAACTCACCTTCTCGTTCTCTTGTAGGACACTGTACAAGGCCTTTTGTCGCTCCTCGGCTACTTCTTTCCAGTAGGCATCTGGTGGGGTTTCTAAAAAACAGCCAATGCTTTAGACCAAGCCTGGACCTTTTTTAGGGTTGCTAGTGCATAAACGGTATACATTTACCTTTCACCATAAGTTCATAGGCCTCATTTGACATGCCATCTGGTAAACTGTCAACATCTTCTGTTTGCGTGGATTTGACCTCAACTTTCACCCTCTTAGACCCTCTTGGTTGTTCAAGGATCCATTGTTTTCGCTTAGGAATGACTTTTCCAGCCTAAAAGGAATAGAGAGAACTTAAGTGGGATGATAAAGCATGTGCTGCATTAATCTATGGTCCGCATTGGCCACTACATACCTGAGCCAGCTTCAAATCTGTGTTGACTGCAGAGGGTTTGAGGACCTGGAGGCTTTGCCTTTGGGGACCCATCGTCTTTTGAGACGGCGCAAAAAAGGTCTGGAAAGTGACAGACGGGTTTTAAGTTTTGACAGCGAGAGATGCTGAACTCCCAGATTAATGTTTAGAAACAAACGGCTCGGTCCCATGGGAAAACAACATGACCCCTGTTCTCTTTTCAGAGCCTCTATTCAGAAGGGCTTAGCATCACTTCACACGCTTTACTTCGGTTACACTGTCGCCAAGGTAGACTGCACAAGTGAATTTTCTCAAGGCTGCAATGTCCAGTAGGACCACAGGTGTGTGTGAACAAGGGCTGGAGAGATTGGTTCACATGGCGATCGTGGGAAAGTTTTTGAACAGGCATTTGAAAAAAAAAAAAAAAAGAAATGCTAGGAAAGCCAAGTTAATGTTTAGCTGTACCCTAGCAATGTTTTAGAGATAAATTTCATCCCTTAGTTACTTCAGTGTGCCCGAAACTAAGACAGATTTCGATGATATTTGGGAGGAGGGAATATCATGAGGTTAATAAACCTTATAAGTAAGGAGCTTTTTTTGTGGGGGGGGGGGCAATGAAGGCACATGGGGAACTATGCATCTAGATCAGACAATTACCCTTTTTTGTTAGATCTATACTATGAGACATGTACTGAGGAGCTTTGTTTATACCCAGGTCCAACTTGATAAACAATTTACCTCAAACTATGTGCAATTCAAAATGTATAATCGACGTGATGACAATAACTTACCGTTATATTCTCATTAGATGCCTGGCGGCTTTGTTTTACCCTTCCACCGAAACTCATTGTCGTTCAAGGGACCTGACAAGAAAATCGGGAACCTTTCCGTAAAAGTGCTGCGTTTGGAAATTAGGGACAAAACAAGCTAGCCTAGCATCTAGTTGTTAGTTAATAACTGAAAGCATAATTTGTAAGTTCTGAACAGTCAAAGCAAATCTAAAACAGAAGTTTCTAATTTCTTTTAAAATACGAACTTAGCCTTTGCTAAAAAAAAGTTTTGAAAAAAAAACGCTTTTCGGTTGGGTGGGGTGTTAAAAGGAGCCTTAAAAAGGCAGTAAAGTCTTCTAAATAGTACCTCAAAATGTCAGATATCTTATATACGGCTTTAACAATTCAAGTCACTAAATAATTCCTACCAGCAAGTTAACAAAACCGTAGCGCACACTCACCTCAACGTTAGTTAGAATCTCACACACAGCTTTGTATATTTCCTCATCAAAGATCTCGCGCCAGCCGCTTAAATACGCCCATCGAATCACGTGGTAACGGCGCCAATCACGTTCTAGACGTTCTTCTCCTGGACTCCTCCACCCCCTCCCCACCCCCCCGCAGTCACATGTCAACAGACGTCACGTCGTTGTATCTAACTGCGCAGCCATTTTGGGGGAGGCTGTGGACCGTCGAGCTTGTTTGTGCTGTTATTAGCTGCCATTAAACACACAAAGAAACCGAACGGAAAAACGTTGGAGGACACGCCGTTAAATATGGGCCCGCCGGGAGACAGAACATGCCACATGACGCCCGAAAGAACGGAGGATTCCCGCTGGATTGTCGATTTATCTTGACATGGCATGCGGCAGGGCGAGCCGGAGGTTGTGACGACGGAAGAAAAGAAGAGAAAGAGAATAAGCAAACACCTCGAAACTTCAGACGTGGAAGAGGGAGATTTTGTCTAGCTAACGTCTGTTTGGCCGTTCAGCGTTTGTCATCGGTTGACCACTGATCCCCCTGGCTGATTTCTGTCGACGATGTTGACGAGACACGACTGAAGCGAATTACATCGAGCCAAAATGCTGAGCACGAGCAGAAACAGTTAGTCGGTGAACCCCACTGGTTTCTCGACTCCTCACAGCACTGGCAGTCACATTGAAACCCAGCGAGAAAATGTAAACGCGCCGAAAGATGATTGAACCGAACATAGGCCTCAGTTAAGCCAGCCTGTCAGATAAGATGTAGGTTTACCCGTTGGTTCACTACTAGTTAGTGTCAGAAGCGAATGACTAGATTAGCTTGCTAGCTCATCTTAGCTAGTGTGCTAAAAATAGGTCCACATCATGACTATCAGCTGTGGCGACGCCGCAGGCCTCGAGCCAAATGAGTGACAACAGCAGTTAAGGAAATGTCAGGGTACTTTCGCGGTAGTCTTCGATGTTACCCGGTGCCAATATCTCCTGGCATCTGTATTTACCTGCCATGTTCGTCCGTATCCCCAGTCCGTCTGTAACACGCACATAACGCAGTCTATACAGAAAAAAAACGAACAAACCTACAGCCATGGATGAGGGGCTTTGAGTGACCCACTTAATAGAATATTTGTCTGCTTGCTGTAGGCCACACTCTCACTCTCCAACAACAAAAAAATACTATCAGCATAGTTTTTTTTGTAGTAGCAGCTGCTTCTGTTGGTTTCAGTAGCATTTATAAAGTAAGTCCATTTTGAGTTGCTGTTTCCTTGAAACCTGTTGTAATCCACTGTCAGTAGCAGCTTGGAGAAGAAAAAAAAAGCTCATTTGGCTTACAAGTCATGTCTTAAAACATGGATTTCTGATCAGGTGTCAAGGAGATGTAGTCTTAGTCTTTTTGACCATTCCCCTCATCAAGACTGCCCTTTTACAAAAAAAAGTGAAATGACTTAGTTTTGTTACTTTGTTGATCTTTCAGTTCATAGTATATTAGAAGATCTAGCTTAGGGTTTTGAGCCATTGTTTTTTTAAAAGGGTAGCTAGCTCCGTTTTTTTTTTTCCTCAAACCTAAAATACAACACCAGAGTGTCGCTAAAATACGCAAAACAAGACGAAAAAAGACACTACCACAAAAAAATAAATCAATCTAACCATGGGGGACCCGACTTCACGAAGAAACCAAACAAGAAATCGACTTCGAGCTCAACTTCGGAAGAAAAGGGAATCTTTGGCTGATCAGTTTGACTTCAAGATTTACATAGCCTTCGTTTTCAAGGAAAAGGTTTGTCGGCACAGTGTAAACAAAGATGTTGAGCATTCATTCGCTGTGCATCTAAACGTCCTGGTGTGCGACTTTCTTTTTGTCCCTTACAGAAAAAGAAGTCTGCACTCTTTGAAGTAGCTGAAGTGGTGCCTGTGATGACCAACAACTACGAGGAAAACATCCTACGAGGTGTGCGCGATTCCAGCTACTCTCTGGAGAGTTCGATCGAACTCCTGCAAAAAGACGTGGTGCAGCTACACGCTCCCAGATACCAGTCGATGCGAAGGGTACGCCGGCCGTCCATCTGAGGGGATCGGGAGGTCAGATCACGGAAAGCTTTTTTTTAACCCCATTTGTGTGTTCACAGGACGTGATAGGCTGCACACAGGAGATGGATTTTATCCTTTGGCCGCGCAATGACATTGAGAAGATTGTCTGTCTGCTGTTCTCCAGATGGAAGGGGGCCGATGATGAACCCTTTAGGCCTGTTCAGGTCAGACCATGGATGACTTACTGTATTTCTATACGCGAGACTAGAGTGGGGCAAGTAGGCTAAAATTATATTTGAGGTAGACTAAAGGCAGATTTCAACATTTGATCAAATCTCTGAGCAAAGTTAATGATGAGAATGACAGCTGGAAGGCTGAACGTAACATGTTTCTGTTGTGTACAGGCCAAGTTTGAATTTCATCATGGAGACTATGAGAAGCAGTGCTTGCACGCTCTGGGCCGTAAAGACAAGGCTGGAATGGTCATGAACAACCCAACTCAGTCTGTGTTTCTCTTCATGGATAGACAACACTTACAAGTGAGTCAGCCAAAACGAAACTGAGCCTAAACTTTTTTTTTCGAAAACATGAAAGCGAGGCGTCTGAAATGCTTTTCCGAAAAATCCCTGTTGTGTCGTATGCTTTCAGACTCCTAAAACCAAGGCCACAGTTTTCAAGTTGTGCAGCCTGTGCCTGTACTTGCCCCAGGACCAGCTGACCTGCTGGGGTGTGGGAGACATCGAGGATCACCTCCGCCCGTACATGCCTGACTAAGGCCTCTTGCTCCACCCAGCCACACAGAGACAAGCCTTCCCTCTCCCTCCAGCCTAAGGCTTCACAAGCAAATTAATGTACTCATCTCCTCCCTTTTTAAAGATTTGAACTTATGCTTGGATCTCCTTTTTGTTCCGCACTCACCCCCCCCCCCCCCCCCCCCCCGCACCGGTCCCCCCTTTTTCCTTTTTTTTTTTTTTTTTTCCCCACTCACACTTTCAATAGTCACTTTTGGATTGGTTCTGTTTTATTTGATTGGATTTTTTACATGATCACCTCCCTCCCCTCCTCACTCCATCCACACATCCCCCCTCCCTCCCCTTTTTTTTTCTCTCCCTCTGTTCCTTTGAACCTGCACACCCTTTTTTTTTTGTTTTTTTGAGTGGTTGGTTATTTTCGTGGAGCCACATTGTCAACAGCACCGGTCATTGAAGGAACTCTTTATGTTGCATCAAAACAGGAACAAGCAATACACAGGTCTTCACGGTGGTTCTCAGATGGACGTGTATAACATCCTTGTTGTCACAAAGGATTGTGAAAGCTTGTTTGTGATGTCACAAAACAACCTTGTGCAATCTTTTGGCCAAGGACAGGTGGGATGAGGTGTGAAAACACCTGCATGAGCAGAGATTACAAGACGAACAGTATCTGTCAAATCATATGGTGTAGGTATTGCTTCTTATAAACAGCCTTAGTTATTTTTGCTGGACTTCTCAAAAGATGTTTTTGTGTCATTTGCTTTTTCTCTGAAACATACTAGGCAGGACTTTGCTGAAATCTTGAGTGTCTTGAAAGGCATTGCACAAAGTTGAGAGATGTTGGTTAGATGTCAAAGAGGTAATTTTCACCATTCAAGCCATTCATGCACTATTCATTTAAGCTACTGAAATCTGAAGTTTTATGCTTTGTTTTTTTTTTGTTTGTTTGGGATGTGGGTTGGTGAGATATTGAAATTAAAGATTTAATGTTTAACAGTCCTAACAAAAACTGCTACAAGCTAAGTGATTAGTGCTTAATTTGACCTACTAAAATTCAGATTATTTGCTGCCATGCTTATCAATTTGAAATTGGGTTTTGCGGGCTTTCTCGTCAAACGCTGAGAAGTGCATAGTTGCATATGATTTTGCTCCTTGTTGATTCAGTTTGTTCGGTTCGAAGGGTTGAAGGCATGTAACTTCTGGGTTTTCTTTCTGTTGGTTCTCAAATCAATACTGCTGTGCATATCCAAATACAGTGCAAATTCTGAAAGCATAACCTTTTGTCCAGTTCTTTATTGCATGTCCATGAATAATTGACATCGTACTGGAGCAGGAGTAACTGCTCGCTTCTGTTTCTGTTAACACGTTTGTAAGAAGCTTTACATACATCAGGTGTCGTCAAACACTGTACATAATCAGTTCTTATTTAGCTTATACACAGACGGGTTTGTTTTTATGTTAAAGATCCTTTGTTTTGATCAGGAAGCTGCATGTGAGGCACAGAAAAGGGACTTCAGCCGCTGCCAAGGTGTTTAGTGTGTCTTCCTTGTGCAATGAGCTTCCCTGTGACTTTGCTAGTGAGGTCTACGGTGGCAAAGGCCAGCGTCCGGCCTTGCTTCAGAACCTGTGCCGTGATGAGAACATCTTCGCCCATCTTTGCAGCATTCATGTACCTGTAACATTTTGTTTCCACATTAACCGTACCGCAGGTTAACTTTTAACACAACCAGAGAAAGGTCAAAGCATAGAAAAAAATTAACGAATGATGGAAAAATTCATTTTATTTTAAGGTTAAACACTTTCAGTCAAAGCTAGCAAGCCATTTCAAGTAGTGTGGACTTTAGGTTCATCTTAAAAAAAAAAGAAAATTGAGCATTCTTTTGTTAGCATATCAAATTCTAACGTTAATAAAAAAAAAAAAAGAGCATTCTTTTGTTAGCATATCAAATTCTAACGTTAATAAATTGTGAGTTGTTTAAAATGGAACAGTGGTACCAGATTTGAACATGTTTAAACCTGACAAATTAGCCCAAAGTAGTCCCAATGACTTAATTGATGGACTTACGTTATGTTCATGTCCACACTGACTCCGGGAGCTCCCCTCTCAGAGTACATAATAGCCAATGTGGAGACCACATCCACCAGGGTGGCTGTCAGCCCCCCGTGAAGCGTCCCGCCCCGGTTGGTGTGCTCCTCTTCCACCCGCATTTCACACACCACCTTACCCGGGCTGGCGGACAGGACGTCCACCTGTTGAAGAATCACAACTGTCCCGTGAAGAACGTCAACGCGAAACACAGCACAGCTGGACTACAGAGCTCCGACAGAAATAAAGTAAACATCCAATAAGTGTAGCATCTTTACCTTACTCATGACCCTATCGAAACCTGGATTATCAACCATTGCCCTCATTATTTGTCTTATCGTGTTTAAAGTCAGTGGGCCCATGTTTGCAGTAGATAAATGAGGCCAATGTCAAACTCTCGCGTTTTTCACACCGGAAACGGTGGTGCTTGATAAATCATCCGGGTGATAATTTTGCGTTTTGAATTAAATGCGTAAGAGTTATTGAGAAGTTCAGTAACATAACATTATAAGAGTGATGCCAACATATGAACACCTCAGTCATCAAGCATTTTATAATCTTTTTTTCCCAAGGCAAAACTTTTTCAAGATAAAAAAGTGGCTTGAGTAGCTTTACATTTGGACAGCGCTCTAGATTATTTCATAAATGTATAACAAACAACCAGTTGCCTGGTATAATTATTTACTTAACTCCCATTTTACCCTGCCCACAAATGAAATTTCCACTTTAATGAAGCACATTCAGCAGTTTCACACGGACGTCTTTCACTGCTACACCTGGTCGAGAGAGTTTGTAGAAAAAGAGATAGAGAAAAATGAACTAGTAGGTGCATTTGACTGGAAATTTACACTTATAACTCTGTTTGTCAAATTTACGCCAGAAGGAAAAATGGCCTCTACATCGGACTCGGGCAAACCTTCGGGTTCAAACGTGGAAAAAGACAGAGTACGTTTGTGTGACGAGTTTGCTGCGATAGCGGGAACTGACAGCGCCGTGGCTCAGTGCTACCTGTCTGAAAACGACTGGGAGATGGAGGTACAGTAGCTTGTATGCTACTGCTGTGGCTGGCTTTAGAGGGAGTTTGAGAGTTATGAACCCGGAATGTTCACTCGTTAATTGTGGTTCAGCACAGCTGCAGCTTATCTAACTCAACAACGTCTATGAGCTAACTTCATCAGTAGTCCTGTTTGACCGTGGTTCCTATTCAATTAAAACAACAAATTAAAAAATGGCGTCTTAACTGTTCTTTCAGAGGGCTTTGAACTCATTCTTCGAGGCAGACATGGAACGAGTGTTTGAAGATGATTTACCAGAGGTGGATAACAGCCCCAAAACCAAGAGGCAGAAGGTCGAGGAACCCCCCCCTGAAAACTGGTAAGACTGTGTGTAAAGAAGATAAACTCTGCTTTAACCAGCCGCCATTTAATGACTCAGTTTGATTGTCTATTAAACAATCCAGCATAGATTTGACTGGAGACAGTCCTGCCACTTCCAAGAAACCCCCAGAGGAAGAAGACAGCAAGCTGTCCCTGATCTCCTGGAACGTGGACGGCCTCGACACGGACAACCTCGCAGAGCGTGCCAGGGGCTTGTGTTCCTATTTAGTACTGTACGCAAGTTTGAAACTTATTTCACTCTTTTAGACGATGGCTTTTGAGGAGGTGGTCACATATCTGACCACCTCCCGTGGATGTTCAACAGAAGGAAAGCAGATGTTTGCAGTGATTCTTCCTCTTCCTCAGATACACTCCAGATGTGGTGTTCCTTCAGGAGCTTATTCCCCCTTATGTTCAGTACTTAAAGAAACGGGCTGTTAGCTACCTCATCATTGAAGGTAAAGAGTGTTTTTTCTTTTTCTGAATATACACTGACATGTTACAGCAGGAAAATCACAAATGACTGAGAGAATTCTCTCAATGTGGGTGGATGTCATAAAATAATTTGATTGTTGGTGCTGCTTTTGGTTCACTGTGAGAGACGGATTAGTAGAAGCTCCGAGCCATTTTTTCAGCAGTGGAGATCAATGTGCTGCCTCAGTGCAGCCGTTTGTCCGTTTGTTTTTCAGTTTCAAAGGTCAGAATCTATGTGGGCATTTGCAAATATGGCTATCTTTTCAAAGCTCTCGTCAGTGTGTTTAGCATGCATACGGCGTACGGCGCTTTACTAATATTTACACCTTGCCATCGAAGGACTGAGGACCGAATGGATGAGCTGCCCCAATTTTTTTCATTTGTCAAAATCTGTTAGGGCACAAAATAATCTAAAATAACCCCAAAAAGTAGCAAATGTTTAGACTTCTAAAGGTGGAAGAGTTAATTTCAATATAGTTAGTGTAACAAAAAGTGTAGTTCTTTGGCCTGTGTCGGCTTTAATGTATCCTATGTACATTAATATGGTTCACAAAGTGTTATCGATTGAGTTGGTTTTTGACGACTATTTGCTATCCTCTTTCTTCCCTGAACTTGTTTTGAGCAGGGGGCGAAGAGGGTTACTTCACAGGGATGATGCTGAAGAAGTCCCGAGTCAAATTCCTGGAGAGCGAGGTGGTGACGTACCCCACCACACAGATGATGAGGAATCTGCTGGTGGCTCAGGTAGGAACCTACAAACCTCCGCTTTGTAGGTTCCTACGAAGCGTCGGGCCACCTAAACGTGACGCATCTTCCTTGGTTTGAATCAGGTGAGTTTCAGAGGTCAGAAGCTGTGTCTGATGACGTCGCACCTGGAAAGCTGTAAGGGCCACGCACAGGAGCGGATGAAACAGCTGCGGCTGCTGATGCAGAGGATCAGAGAGGCTCCCGATGATGTCACCGTCCTCTTCGGAGGGGACACAAACCTGAGGGACAGCGAGGCAAGTTCGGCTCGTTGACCCGCGTCCTCAAATATGCCGTGGAGTCTCCTTTTTTTTTTGACGAATCTTGTTTCCCAGGTGGCCAAAGTGGGCCTGCCGTCGGGCGTGTGCGACGTGTGGGAGCGACTGGGCCGGCAGGAGCACTGCCGCTACACCTGGGACACCAAAGCCAACAACAACAAGACGGTGCCCTTCGTCAGCCGCTGCCGGTTCGACCGTGTGTACTTCCGTCCGGCCACAAAAGATGGAGTCACCCGGCTGGCCCCGGATCACATGGCTCTGGTGGGCCTGGAGAAGCTGGACTGTGGCCGTTACACCAGCGATCACTGGGGAATTTACTGCAGCTTCACTGCTGAATAGAAACAAAACAAGCAGAGCTACCCCAGTAACAAACTCTGTTTCAGATTGGTCTGTTTTTGTGTTTGGTCTGGGTTTGGTTTGGACCACTGAGGGACTTTCTCTATGAGAGACGTTCTAACCTCAGCTGAGATTTCTCTGTAAATATGTATATTTTTATTTCATTATTATTCTTCAGTGCCTATTTTAACAGGTTATTAAAGTGCAGCACTAATAAATGAAAAACCTTAAATCAATATTTCGATCATGGGTGCTATGTGTAGTGTTGGTATCTACCCACTAGAGGGCAGTATACATTTAAATAGCTGAATTGCTAAAGTACTGAACAATTAAAGGGAGCTTTATTCTGTACCTGAGTTTAGATAACATGCGGTTACATTGTCGGAAGATTAACAAAATATAGTCAACTTAATCCAATCATTCAATCGGAACTCTTAAAATACTTTGAAGACTATTCAAACATATGTTGTGGCTTTGAATAGTGTGTTTTTATATATATTTTATTTTCCATAGAAAGCAATACAATACATCTTTTTTGCATTTATGATAACAAGTCACATTATTCCCAGTCAACAGACTATTATCAAGCCTTCTATTTTTCCTTGTTTCAGCTTTATTTCATTAGTTTTGTTAGAGTATTGCCAACACGTTGTTGAAAACTGGCCGTGGAACTGCCCAGCTAAAATGCACCCACACTATTACTGTAACAGAGAACAAAGAAGACTGTGACTACTCGGCCTCGCACTAAAGATAGTAACTGTAATGTGATTACCGAGATGAGCGGCGATGCTGTAGATTGTGTTAAAGACAGAGGCAATGAGACGTCAGATGAATGTCTCCCAGCAAGTGAGGCATCGGCACACTGTGAACTTTATCGCTGCCGCATTTCCACCAGCCTCAGCTTTAATTTGCAGCGTTAACAATGTTTCTTTGAGGTCTTTTTCTAACTTTCTCTTGTGAGATAGTCTATGCAGGGATCTCACAGCCCTCGGAACTAGCCGTATCTTTGGTTTTTACTGTTAGATAGAGAAAGGGTTTAGTAACTTTGTATGCTTTGGTTCTTTCCAAACCACATGTAATCTCTGCCTTTCCAGTTTCTGCCAACAAACTGTCAGAATTCTTCATCCTCTCCCTATACTGTTCACATCTCAGAGTGTGCTGTAATGGGGGGGGGGGGGGGGGGGGCTCAGCCATCAGACACAGCAAAGGAGAGCTGACTCCAGGAGAGGACACGCAGATGTGACTCCTCCCTGGGAGCAGGCCTCATCTGAACGGGCCTTCCTTCCTCGTTTGTCTTCTTGGCTCCTGATTAGCTCGGACACACGGGCCAAATCTGTCCGGAGTTTATCTGAGGTCGAGCACATCAGCGCACGGTTCAACTGGAAGTCCTCTGTGCTGGTGTGTGCGGGTCGCGTTTCTCATTTTGGATAAAAGACAGTTGTTGCCTGATGAAAATCTACAGTGAGTCCAAGAAGTATTTGATCCCTCGCTGATTTTCTTCGTTTGCCCACTAATAAAGATGTGATCATTCTGCACGTTTAATGGTAGATGTATTCTAACATGGAGAGACAGAATATCACAAAGAAAATCCTGAAAAAAAATCGAAGGAATATATATTAATTAATTTGTATTTTATTGAGGGAAATAAGTATTTGATCCCTCTAGCCAAACACAGTCAATACTTAGTGGCAAAGCCTTTGTTAGCAAGTACAGCAGTGAGACGTTTGTTGTAGTTAACCACAAGTTTAGCACACACACCAGGGGGAATTTTCGCCCACTCTTCTTTGCAGATCCTCTCTAAATCAGGAAGGTTGGTGGGCTGTCGCTTGGCAACTCTGACCTTCAGCTCCCTCCATAGATTCTCATTTGGATTGAGGTCCGGAGACTGGCCGGGCCACTCCATGACCTTCATGTGATGTGTCTTGAGCCAATCCTTTGTTGCCTTTGCTGTATGTTTGGGGTCGTTATCATGTTGGAAGACCCAACCACGTCCCATTTTCAGCTTCCTGGCAGAAGGGATGAGGTTGTCCCTCAGGATTGTACGGTACATCGCTCCATCCATCTTCCCAGTGATGCGGTGAAGTAGCCCTGTACCCTTGGCAGAGAAACACCCCCAAAACATTATGCTTCCACCTCCATGCTTGACGGTGGGCACAGTGTTCTTGGGGTCATAGGCAGCATTTTTCTTCCTCCACACATGGCGGATAGAGTTGAGCCCAAAAAGTTCAATTTTGGTCTCGTCTGACCACAGAACCTTCTCCCAATAACTTGGTTCATCTTTCAGGTGATCATTGGCATACTTAAGGCGCGCCTCCACATGTGCCTTCTTGAGCAGGGGTACCTTTCGGGCACTGCAGGATGTTAGTCCATTGTTGCGCAAAGTGTTGCCAATTGTTTCCTTGCACACTGTGGTCCCAGCTGCCTTCAGGTCATTTACCAACTCCTGACGAGTGGTTGCAGGATTATTTCTGACCGTTCTCAGGAGCATTGTCACCCCAAGAGGTGAAATCTTCTTTGGAGCACCAGGCCGAGGTCTATTGATGGTCATGTTATACTCTTTAAATTTTCTAACAATTGCACCAATAGTTGTTACTTTCACATCCAACACCTTGCTAATCTTTTTGTAGGCCATTCCAGCTTTGTGGAGGTCAACAACCCTGACTCTGAGGTCCTGAGACAGCTCTTTGGTCTTACCCATGTTGGAGACTTGAAATCTGTCAGATTGTCTGATTCTGTGAACAGGTTTTTTTTTCACACAAGTGAGTAGTGAGAACAGGTGGCTTCAGTTCAGGTAACAAGCTGATTGGGGGTGTCTAACTGCACTGTGAAAGGCAGGACTCCTAATGCATACTGAGGGATCAAATACTTATTTCCCTCAATAAAATACAAATTAATTAATATATATTCCTTAGATTTTTTTTCAGGATTTTCTTTGTGATATTCTGTCTTTCCATGTTAGAATACATCTACCATTAAACGTGCAGAATGATCACATCTTTATTAGTGGGCAAACGAAGAAAATCAGCGAGGGATCAAATACTTCTTGGACTCACTGTATATAAAGATAAGGAAAATTCTTTTGATATTTGCCATTTAAAACATTTGTTTGTTTCTAAACTCTCTTGTTGAGAGCTAGTCGTTTTCTTCTTTTCCATTTTAGTACACATGACATATTCGTTTTGATTTGAAAAGATTTCCGAAAAGGCACAGGATCAGCATAAGTAATAATTACGGAGCTCTGCAGCTCAAAACCAAACAGCTTTGTCAGGATACAGAGTTTCAACTCGTCCTTTTTGCGGTGTCACTCTGCATCACAGATCTGAGGAGCAGGTCATCCAGGGTGCAGATGGAGATTTATCCCACCGCCTTAAGGAAGATCCTTAAGCCTGTGGCCCGAACCGCATCTTCCTCCTCGACAAAATCCACAAACATTCCACCACAGGAAATCAGCATGGATGTACTCCAAGATCCTCTCACTTAACCGCTCCGACTGCTTTTTAGAATTTCCCTCTCTGTCGTGGAGCCCCGTCAGGCCTCACAGATGTATTTTTAGGAGCGTGGCCCGCGGCCAGACTTATGGCTTTCGTTGGAGACCCGTCAGAATGAATGTTCTGGACGTATCCGCGTGGGGCTGGCGGGGAGCCTCCAGGACGAGGTTTGCTCTTTGAGGTGGGGTTTGGACGATGATGGGCCTGACACGGATCTGACCCCGGCTCGGATAAAGGCCACCGACTCACGTGAGGAGCTCCTTGTGAAGGACGCTAGCCGAGATCCATCAGAGATGGCTCTGTAGCTAGGGATGGGGATCGTTAATATTTATTGATATCGATACCTTTATCGATACTCCTTATCGATCCGAGTCTTTATCGATACTACTGTCGATACTTTTGTGTTATTTAGTGGAAAGACGATGCGACAATATTTAGCAAATAAATAATTGTATTTTAAATTAAATTACATTTTTAATAAATGTTGGCATCAGTAGTTTAATGATATATTCTAAAATAATTACAGCAATATACAACTGTATTACTCATGTTTCTCGCCAAAATCTCAATTTCCCTTTTCTTTATGTTACACTTGAACGCATCATGATAACCTAATAGTCGTTTTACTGAGCCAATCTGAACACATCATCACGCAGCACGTCTGAAACTTTATTTACTTTTCAAGCTAAGTAGCTTGTATGCTGCCAATTACAACACGGATTTCACAATTACTATTGTAATAATAATAAAAAACGACCAGACTCGATAGTGGTATCGATAAACGTTATTGATTTTCGGGTTTTGAAAAAAAGTGGAACCGGGTCCTTGATAGAACCGGGTTTCGAATCCCCATCCCTATCTGTAGCTGTGTGTTCTTAAACGCAATCTATCCGATTCGTTCACGCTAAGACTCAATTAAATTAAATTCAATTTTATTTATATAGCGCCACATCACAACAACAGTTGTCTCACAGCGTTTTCCAAACAGAGCAGGTCAGACCCTACTCTGAAGATAATTACAGAAACCCAACCATTCCCACCATGAGCAAGCACTAGGCGACACAGGCAAGGAAAAACTTCCTTTTGACTCATCTCCCTCGGCCCGTCACAAGCAAAAAACCGGCCCATCCGTCACCACTCCGCTCCGCAATCGCTGTGACAAAGCGCCCCAGAGGCCGCCATTATTTCTGGCCTTACAGTGTTGCTGTCCAAGGCCGCTGCTGAATATTTGAGGACCGGCAGCAATTTAGGAGCTTTGCAAGATAAGACAAATTCACCGTTGCTGTTCTGAGACACCGTTCGGAGATACTTACTGAGAATAAACCAAAATATGTAGAGCTGGAAACAACAAAAAAAGACTTAAGGAAAAGGTATAATGAGCTTACTAGACTCTACATGTCAGAAAAAAACTGTTACAATATACAGTGGGGGAAATAAGTATTTGACCCCTTGCTGATTTTGCAGGTTTGCCCACTTACAAAGAATGCAACGATCTATAACTTTAATCATATGTACATTCTAACAGTGAAAGACAGAATCCCAAAGAAGATTCCAGAAAATCACATCATATGAATTTATAAAAATTGATAACCATCTGATGAGGAAAATTAAGCATTCTTTGTAAGTGGTCAAACCTGCAAAATCAGCAAGGGGTCAAATACTTATTTCCCCCAAGGTAAACTATTGGGAAAACCTGTTAGAAATAGGACATCACTCCTCAAATATGTGTTTTTCTTAGACATTGTAGCCACGCTGTTGTATATTGTACCTCTAAGATATCCAGTATTGAGATTAAAAAAAGGCTTTTCGGAAAGGAGTGTGAGCTCAGCACAAGTGTCTGAAATAGAAATGCGCGCAGCAGCTGATTTCTGTGAAAACATCTGTTCAGATATCAGCGTTTCCCACTGGCACAAATGACTTTAAGCTGCTCTCGTCGTAGACAACAGAGTTCACGGAGAGTTCATTAGGGGATGAAGGACTGGCACATTCAGTTTGACCAGAAAAACAAGAAGCGAACTGCATTTTTCCTTCGTCAGACCAAGGAAGTAAAAAAAAAAAAGACGTATTAGAGAGACGGTAGTTGTTCATAAATAAAAATAGGCTTCGTATGTCCCTTCAGATTAAGCTCTAAGAAATGCTTCACGAGTAAAAGAAATAAACACACATTCAGTTTGCTTTTTAAAGAATCCTGCATGTGGTGTAAATGCACAAGAAAACAGTGATCCCGACAAAAAGCTGTAACAAATTCAGACAAGTTTTATTTTTCTCCTTCATAAATAACACTTGACAAGCATTGTACAGTGATAAATAATATTTATACACTGTAAAATTCTCTGTATTACAAAATACAGTATATGTGTAATGCACTTGATACAGATGGGGAAGTATTGCATTTCATAGCACCGGACATCTCCCTCGAGCCCATCCTTTGTTTCGCACGGCGTTTCTCTAACAGACTTTCAGGTGTGCAGTGACATCCCAGATCCAGGTCTCGTGCTGGTGTCTATGAAATGCACTTCCCGTAGGGATCAGTTGTTGCATAACTATATCTAAGTTAAGTAGAGCCCACCAAAGGAAGAACCAAAACCTTTAGGATCGATCACTAGACAGCCTTCGGTTGATAAAAGTCCCAGGAGAGAGGCTAAAACATAATTAGGGTGTATGTCGTGGTCAATCAAGTTTTGTGTGTTTTGATTTTTGCGATAAACATGGCGGAAGATGCTTCTCGTCCACGTCGCTTTGTTTCGGGAGAGTCCCTGGTAGGTGACGTCTCCCATCAGAGACGGGAGGCGCGTTTCCATGCTTGTTAAACACACAGAATAAAGGCAGACTAGTTTTTTCGGAGATAACGAAAACGAAGGGGTTTTGGGGGTCCAGAGTTCAGCGCGCGGCCGTAAAGATGGACGTCTTTAAACGGTTGTCAGGGACTCTCCGAACAAAGTGCTAGAAAAAAAACGGAGCAGACTCCTCGTCACATTTGTTGGCGTCAGCGCAGAAATGTCCATCAGAGGCAGCAGGAGGTAAAAGGCAGGTTGAATACTGTAACGCAAACCTGGGACTGGTGAACCCAATCTCTCACCGACAAACGGGTCAGGTCAATTAATGACCTTTTTTTTTCTTTTCCTTATTTCTTTTCAAACAAAACTGTCCTTCGACGTGGCGGCTAGACTATTCCCAACACTTGGCCTAAGATCGTAGAGACAGAATTAATTGTTTTTCTTTTGTTTTTTTGTTTTTTTTTTGCTGTTACATGTCAAAACATTATTGCTAAAATTCAAACAGGAAGAGGTCCTTAAACCGACACTAGCATGGGGACGACAGAGAGCCCGTCAGATGACTGACAGCGTGGAATGTGCTTGGACGAACATCGATCCTGGCATTTTGAAGTCGTTCGTTACAAAATGAAAAACGGAAAGATCTCTGCCAGCGTTATAAAACCGTTTTTACAGGGACAGTAAGTGTGGGTGTTTCATTTGAAGAGCCCTTATTTTTTCACTCTACCAGACTTGGTCTGAGGAGCAGCATCGCAATAAATGTCAAAGTAAAACGCAGTGTCACATTCGTCACGTAGTGTCCATGTTGTGTTTGATTGTCAGCTTCTGAGACGCATCCAGTTCCATTCTCGCCCAACTAACCCGATTCCCAAATCAAGTCATCCATATGAAAATAATGTTAGTCTGTAGGACTGTGCAAAAGAATCTACAGCATGAGAAGATCGGTTTTGTTTTAAGCACTAAGACGCATAAACCGTTCACAGGTAATGTCTGCCATCACCGACAATTAAGTCATAGTCATTATTTTATGAAATCATGGCACATAAAAACAGCCTCTTTAATTCATGCTAGCTTACTCGTCTAAATGTGAAAAACTAACAAAAAAAGTTCACTTAGGTTTGCAAAACCTGCAGGCAAAAAGAGCTTTTCGGATTAATTTGGTTTCCGCGTCGAAGATGACATCCTTGCTCTTTCATCCCCATTTCAAGATGTCTTGCTCCGAAATGTCAAACTCAAACAAACCACGTCCTTAATGAAAAGTAATGTCCCATCAAATAACCTTCTCTCAGAACCAATTCGCCTGATGTGGTTATAAGCCAGCAGGATATAGTCAGGGGGGTCTGTAATGCTCACTGGGAGCTTAGCCCTCCCACAAAAATAACAAAAAAAGAAAAACAGCTAAGCTAAAAAAAAAAAAAAAATTCAAATAAAAAAGCCAAACCATTTCAAAGTATTAATAATGCCCTTATTTTTCATATTGTAAATGAGCACTGGATGTAGCCAGACATAACAATCTGATATAAGACGAATACAGACAGCGTTATGAAATAAAGGTGCATAGCTCGGCATTCCTTTGACACGGAAATGGAAATAAAAATCTATTCCTTGGTTCTATAGAAAGCACATTGCACATTCATAATTACAGCTGGCAGTCTGTGCCCAGCTAGATTTCCCAACACCACCTCTGATACTGACATCTGGAAAAGCTGATGTGTAAAAGTACCTGGACAAAAAATACAAATGACTCCTTTGCCGACGTACCAACCAAACCTTTTTTTTTTTAATGCGGCGCCCATTTGTGAAAGGTGCCCTGTCCCACAGAGTTCAAACTCTGCCTTGTGGCACAAACACACTCTCACAGGTGGGTGCTCAGGGTACGATATCGTGATAGGAAATGGTAAACTACGCCGCCTGAACTCGGCAGGTTCCCCTTCAGCCTTACGAGTCGGTGGGGGGGGGTCACACCACGTTGACGCCGCTCCCGCCGCCGGCCGTCGCCCTCTTGCTGCGGTAGGTGAAGCCGCCGTGGGCCGAGGAGGCGGAGGAGGAGGAGCCGTTCATGTGCGAGGACTTCAGCTCCATCTGGCAGGCGGCGATGGCGGCGTTCAGCTCCACCTGCGCCCGGTGCACCACGTAGAACATCAGCCCGATGCTGATGACGATCTGCGGCCAGACGGGGAAAGGAGGTGACGGGGCTGTGGTCAAAAACGCCTTCTGGCTCAGCCAATTCATAACAGAATGAGCTAACAAATTGCAGTGATGATGATTATGAAATTTCCTCATGGCTTAATATAACTATAAAAGAACAAGGACAGGAAAACTTTCTGATTACTGTCAATTCAATAAATAAATACATTAAATCATTGACTGCCAGCCATTTTCAGTACAGAGAGTCCCATACTGCCAGAGTTTTTTGAGCGTTTTGACTGATTTTTGAAGAGCCACAGAATAGTTTGTGCTATTATTGTGTAAACACCGAACACACCAAAAGAAAGAGTAGACTCTTTTCTTTCATCAGGAAAAAAAAATTGTTTCTACCTTATTCCGTTCTTACTCAACTTGTGTATCACCGGCGCCATTTCTCGTATAGTGAACCATGCCTTTTTCTTATTTGCCTACAATCTATGCTCATCTCCCATCAAAAGTGGCACTGCCCCCCAGAGGGTCAATTTGTTAGTACATACTCTGTCTAGAAGCCGATATTTACGGACAAGCTTTAGCAGATCGTCCCCCAAGCCACTCTCGTTGAAAAACATAAAAGACGTCTATAGACGTTTTTGGCAGTCAACGGTTGTATTTGAATTTATGTCTATAGACGTCTTTGGCAGCCAATGAGTTAAAATACAATAAATTCAACTCAGACAGAGAACTTTGGATTTGAACAAAACCTAGTCATCAATATGAAGGATGAGCTTTCAGCGGATTGTGAACCTGTCATGCGTTTTACATGCAAACCCCCTAAGTTTTAGTTAGCTAGTTTAGTTAGTTTTCTTCTAACTGTCCAGCTGGAAGGCCTGCTTCCCTTTTAAAAGTTAGCTTGTTTTTCCCACCCTCACCTGCCTCCCACACACATCGAACTCTCCTTCTTCCAGACTGTAAACATGTTCACTTAAGACCATCCTCGGAGTTTTCAGAAGATGAAGAAAACCGGTGTTACTGGAACACTGATGGAACAGTGCAGTACAGGGACATTGTACTGTCGGCTTAAAAAGCGTGTAATTATTTTAACTAAAAGCCACTTTTCACCATTTTTCTCTTTTTAAAGGCAATGGCATAATTCATTTTTATAATTCCTTATATATTTCTATTATAAAAGTAAAAAGGAAAAGCCAAACAATCAACAGGAACGAAATGGAAGCTACAGCAAACAGCCTACAAACCATTTAGAGGACGCTAACCAGGCTAAACTCACTTCTGTCACACAGAGCCAGGGTTAAGTTCCTTTATTAGTCGGCGCCGTCGACTGACCTGCAGGCTGAAGACGAAGTAGCCGCTGATGCTCTGCTCGGCTATCACGTCCTCCATCGTCCGCAGAGTGGTGCCCAGGTAGGAGTTGAGAAGCTGTGTGGGCAACAGCCCCACAGAGGAGGCCACCAGGTAGTTTGGCAAGGACACATCTGTGATCTTTAAACAAAAGCATAGACAGGTTTTTAAAAAAATGAATAGAACATGAGATCATTGTGGAAAAAATGACGATCTTATATCCCGACTGTCCTGGATGCATCGCCTCTGTGATTGGCTGCTTTTCAGTAGTACAGGTAAATGCATTCTGAGAACCGTCTGTGTTACTACCTTGATCTACAACACGTCTGATTCCACATCTCGGCACCACCACCTAAAGATGAACACGTGTCCGCGCTGCCGGCACCCTTCATCCTTTTGATTAAGTGATGACACAAGCTGCAGTGTGACTGTGCAGCCTGTGTGCGGATGTGACCTTGGAACTGTGACTAGACTGATATCAGTGTATTGGCTTTGGGGGGGGTGGTTATTTGGCATGGTGCAGTCCATGCCAAAACCCTATCAGGGCTCAGAAATACATGTACGATCTTACCCAATATCTCATTGCGGTAAAAAAAAAAAAAAAGAAAAGAAAAAAAAACTAAAATCAGAGCAACATCAGCACTTAAACAGCAATAGATGCCAATAAGCTTCCGTCTAATGTTGTAGTCTAAATGCTTTTTACTGAGATGATCTTTCATCTGAGGAATAATGCAACGGCCTGTCCTCCTATGTAAGATGAACACTGATGTGTCCACAGCCGTGTGACGACACCAACACGCTTTCAGCTGATCTCTTCAGCTACTGAAGAAAAAGGAACGCGGGCTTCTCTCCCACCCGGGCTTCCGCGCAGCCGTCTCTGGTTAGACTAGGAAAGAGCTAGCTGTTGGTATTTTTATAACCGCGTGGAGAATCCCGCTCAATCTCTGTGCATCTTCAAACTTGTGCATCGAGATGATCTGCAAATACAAGTGCAAAAAAACCACATACTGTGCTTGACCTGGTTTATGTACAGAAGCTGCGATCGAGGTCTTATGTTGTGTTCATATACAAAACAATAAGTAGGGCATCCTGGGGGCACGGCAAACTTAAGCCACTGGGATTGTATCTTTTATTTTTATCTCGACTTACAACCATGGAAGTAAAGGGTAAAAATACAGGGTGTGATATCAAGATGCACGACATGTTTGCTTATAGATTGGAGCCTATAAACCACATGATAAACATCTTAAAGACTTCATCTTCTAATCAACGCAAAGAGGAGATGGAGAACCAGTAATTAAAATAATTTCCCTCTGGGATTATTAAAGTATTTCTGATTCTGAACAAGCAACAGTAAATGATGGAATTCTGTTAGAAAAAAACTAAGCAAGGACAGATGAATATGTCCACTTTGTCCTCACAAACAAAGCTCACCTGGAACTGTTCTGCTAACTACGGCAGTCTCTGGTGGTTTTGGGTTACCAGCAATAATGTCGCACCATCCACTTCAGCAGAAATGGGGGGGGGGGGTTCAGTGAAATGTAGCCTCATGAGCAGAAGTGCTTACCAAGGGCACAACAGACAAGAAATAATTCCACCATGAGCCAGCGATAGCCGAGAAGAAGCCGCTCACGGCTGGTTTGTTTCACTTTGTGTTGTTGAGGATACAATCGGAAGTATACAGTATAACGGCTGAGGGGGGGATTCATCTTATTAACCTTCTTCTAACAGGACTGACTTAAGTCCCTGATGAAAGCTCCGCGCTGACATTTACAACTCCAGCTGGAATAAAAAAACGGTGTGTCTGTGTGAGGCAACTGCCTGATCCATCTACAGTTATATATGTCCGAATATTGGTATAATTGTCACCCATTTTAACACTCCACCGTGTAATATTTATGGCAACATGTTTAGAACACTGCTTTTATTAGCGTACAATGACTTGAAACTCTAAATAGTTGGGCTTTAGTTGTTTTAGATGAAGGGTTTTTACAGATATCTGTCACATTGCAGTGCCAGGTCTCTACAGTTGCCATGGGTTGCCATGGGCAGTGCCAGGTCTCTACAGTTGCCATGGGCTAAACTGGCTCTACAGATAGCTGTGGGATTTTACACTGTACCAGCTGAGGTCATTTTTAGTTACTGAAAAACACTTAATGCCTGCACAAAGCATCACAGCTTTCAATTCAATACCCCTGTCCAAGTTAATATAAAATCTTTAGTTCGCCATATCTACATACTGGTGGGTGAAATGGAGTTTCAGGCAGCTGGATTCAGCCAGGGATTCTCTTTGATGCTATCAGCTAGTGCTGTAAAATGCTCATTAGGTAAAATGAACCGACCACGTCAGTGGTCTGTGGGCAAAACAATCAAACAAACTATGCAATATGCTTCAAAATCTGCAAAGCTCCTAAAAAACTCTCTAAAAAGGCAGATGGCCGCCCACCCTGAGCCATGGTTCTTCTGGAGGTTTCTGCCTGTTAAAAGGAAGTTGTTCCTTGCCTGTGTCGCCTAGTGCTTGCTCATGGTGGGAATTGTTGGGTTTCTGTAATTAACTTCAGAGTAGGGTCTGACCTGCTCTGTTTGGAAAACGCTTTGAGACAACTGTCTCTACTGGCGCTATATAAATAAAATTGAACTGAATTGAAAAGTCCAACAGCTGTCCAACATTAAATCTATACCGCAGAGATATTACATATTCAAAGCAACAAATTATAACCTAGAGTTGAACAATCTGTGTCTAAAAGATGCTCAGCACCAGTTAGAAGTAAGTATCTTAGATCGCCTTCTGAGTATAACCCAACAAAATGGTATTAGCACAGGCTGTATGTCACCATCACCTCTGCAGGGCCACACAGGAGGGAATGTTTGTAGCTTCATTGGTGACCCTGACAGGAGAGAGACATTTCAACCTTTGGACTCAGAGATACACTATTTCTCAACTATCCAGCCTAGGGCACGGAATGACGAAAAACAGGCGACATTTAAGTCAGCCAACCAAAAGACACCCATCTGCTCGATTTGTTGCAAGTCCTGTTTGACCTTAGAAATCTGTTAACAGGTAAGGTACAGAGTGGAAAAAAACCCGCGTTTAGCACGTCGAAGAATAAAGAGGCTTTGGTTTGACATGACAGTTCGACGGTATCATCAGAGCATAAAAAACAAACAAGAAAAAAAACAAGCTCAGTCTAGAGCAAACAGAGAGATCTAACACAAAAGTCAAGACCACTCTTCAAACATAAGTCCCAGACATAGAGGAGCATTCTCGGTATCTACAGCTTTTGTTAGTGAAACAAAAGGAAAAAAAGAGAACTTTAATGTCACAGCTCAAGCACCAGAATCTGAGAAGCTTTTAAAATGCCAGCCAGTGTACGAGTGTAGCACAAACATAACCAGCCAGCTGTGAGTGATTGGCGAGAGAATAGCTGATTATTCTAATGATCTCATCCTACTTATCTAAAGGGTTACAAGGGCAGTTTTGAACAGAAACCATAAACATGTACTTAGGCAGCATGATTATCTAAGTCCATCATAATGAGACATAACTAAAAAATATTTTACTTTTTGGACACGTGGACAATAATTGCAGTAACATTCTATTCTGAGCTGAGAAGAAATGTTAACGGCTCCATTGTAACTCTCACACAGGCTTCTTCTCGGATGGTTCTGAGTGTGTATATTACTCTGTCAATCGTTGAGGCAAAACAGCCATCTCCACCAAGATGGAAAATGTCGAGGTAAATCATTTTCTGCATACTTTCTTCTGCCTCAGCACCATATAATTATGGCGCTTGTGATACAGACTTGCGTCACCTTCTTTTTTTCCCTCCTCTGCCCCAGGCATGTGCTTCTATAAAGGCCATAAATGCCTTTCAAGCTCTATTTCACATTCACGTTTAAACGTTGTTTGTTTTTTTGTTTTTTGTTGTTGTTGTTAGGGGCTTTGGGCTACATAAATACAAAAGAAAAGACACCAGAAGCTCTAAATGACAAACATAACCGCTGGTGAAGATTTTAACTGCTCCCTTATCAAGGTGCTCTTTGGTATATAGTTCGCTTTGAAATTTGAATTCAGATGTGTAAATATGGTCTTTGTGCTGGCTACATTCCAAGTTCTGTTTCAAAGAAATAATATTTTTTGTTTGCGCTGAATGAAAACTTAAAAATGACATTGTGCTAATAATACCATATAAAGCTACTCAAAACAAGTTCAGTTCAACAGGAGAGATGCTGATTGATTTCATACCACCGAACAAAGTGATGAGCAATGTGTTTTTTTAGGTTAAGCCACTCTCTAAAGATTCAGCATACTCTCTGGTCATTAAAACATTATTTGATCAGATTTGTCATATTTTCCTCGAGACTGACCATCATGTGATTTTCCACTGCACGGGAACAGGTCCTTTGAGGTTTTTAGTGTTGTCTTAGAGGGCTAATCAGTGAGCATAAATTATTCATGCGGTATATGAAGGTCAGGGCCTCAGGTTAAAAGTAAAGATGCACAGCAAAGCAACATTTTCAAACTGCTTGACTTTGTTGTTTTGTCAATAAAAATCTCTAGCTTTTTTTTTGTATTACTTTGCACATACATCCTAAAGAAAGAGGAATCAGACTGTGTCCTGCATTTGTGTTTGAAGTGACAGGACAGCCACTCTGTTCTAGGTTCACTGTTCCTCGCTGTTAAAATGGTAGTGGCTATTCCTGAATGGCTTCTGGCTAGTAGTGATTTCCCCCGAGTGCAAGCTGGCCTTGCGAAAAAGGAATCTCACTTTACTTTTCTCTGAACTAAAAAGGTCACAGGTTTAATTGTCAGGACTGCAAGAGTTGAATCATCCTCCAGCACGATAATGAGTTCTGCTGCTGAATAGTCCACAACCGTGACCTTTCCCCTCCAACCTGTGACTTTACATGGCTGCCCGATATCTTTTTTAAATAAACAGGGGGAAAATTGTAATTGGGCTTTGATACTCACCGAGAAAACTGCATTTTGGAGCCCAAATGGTATGGGGGTGAGTCTCGCTAAGGCAACAATTTTGAGTCCACTTCCTCCTTCCACCACGCGTATGACAGCGCTGAGCTGCTCGTTGTTCCCAACTTTGTTCAGCACCCAGTCAGTCAATAATCGTTTGCATACCAGGTGCGCCACAAAGGTCCCTATTAATACCCCCACCATAACCAGTCCCATGCCCAGCACAAAGCCGTAGAGGTAGCCGGCCGCCACGTTGAGAACAATGTATCCCCATCCGCACGGGAAGGAGACGATGATCAAACCAACGATGAACAGCATGGCTCCAACAAAGCTGTCCAAGCTCTCCACCCAGAGCAGGAGGTCCTTGAGGTACTGCCGCACGAGGGCAACCGAGGAGAAGCACACGGCGGTGAGGATGCACGCCAGCAGGGCGCTCTTGAAGCAGAAGGTGGTGATGCAGCACGGGTGCCTGAACTCTCCCCCGCCGGCGAAAGTCGACCCCCCTGTGTCGACCACGACCTCGGGGTCCCCCTCCGACTTCCCGCCGCCACCTCTCTCGTCGAAGGCGCTGCATATGAGGATGTCGATTTTGTCACAGTCCTCCGTGGCAGTCCTCTGCAGCCAGCGGTTCAACTGAATCTGCATCTTGCCCACCGCATGCTTGACCAGCTTGGTGAAGAGCTGGACGGTCGTGGCCCCTGACATAGACATGGTAGTCCTCTGGCAAGCTCTGGGGGGGGGGGGGGGCCAACGGAAAGGGCTCAGATGACTGGTCCGACCTGCAGACAGCGGTGATGTAACGTTTCCAAACAGCTTTCACATCAACCTCAGGTCCATGCCTAATAGCGTTGATCTGATGAGCTTCTCAGTTGAGACAGATTTGACCAACTGCGATGGCGATGGCTTCAACAACGCTGACCCATCGATGAGCAGCGAAACAATGGCAGAAGAAGTCACTTTCCTCGTCCATTACATGAACAGTGTTTTTTTTTATTTTTTTTTATAGCAATGTTTATCTTGGATACACTAGCTGGGTAATAAACCAGTCCAGTGACCGAAAGGTGCCGGTGGTTTTGCGGTCGGGGTCGCGAACGCTCGACATATTCCCAGATGTCATACTTCAGCTCCGGACACAAGGCTGAGTCAGTGGGTAAAAAAGGTGTAGGACAGGCGCAGAGAATATGCCGATATGACGAGGAGAGTATCTGTGCGTGAACTCTAACACTCCCCCGAGCGTTCCCATTTACTTAACACAAAAACACAAATCACTGCAAGGCTAACTCACTCCCGTCGTTAGCTAACCAGCCCGCTGTGAGGATAAAGTCCAATGTTACATTTCAAAGACTAAACCGTTGGAACTGGCCCTATACTCCTCTTTCCGCGGACTCCACGGCAGCAAACAGGACGCATACGACAGGTACAGAAATCCAGTGAGCCCCTTCGCTTCTGCCCGGGTGTTGTTTATCTCGTCGCCCTCCTTCCACGGTGAATGGTACTGCTTCTGTCGCTGTTAAAGCTATTCATACCGACCACTGTTTGTGTCCCAGAATGCCAAGTAACCTCAGCCCAGATGAGCTACCGTTTGACGTTTCTCACCAATCAGAGAGCGCCAAACGCCTTCGCGAGAACGCGCGAGATTTCACGACAAGCGGTATTTGTTTTCGATCTATTAACCTCTGACGCTGCTGCACAGAGCCTCCACGCTTTGCCACATAAGCAGAATAAACAGTTCAACTCATCATTCTTGATGCTCAAGAATTTCAACCAGTTCTTCCAGTTCTCTTTGCTCTAGTTTTAGGTTATTTGTACGATGCATATCTGTATTATCTGAAGCTCACATAGCATAAACATCCTCTCAACACTCTACTTTGGCAAGGTGTTTCTCAAGTGTTTATGTTCCATGAACAGAACAATCTGTGCTTAACTATGATCTTCAGATACTACATATCCACACAGTGTTTCCTGTATTTCCTGTTTACACGCCAAATGTGCCTGCTCATTCATGGTGTCCCAGGTACATTCACCAATCCATCAAGAAAATACACAAGCTTCAAATATGTTTTTCATACATGATGCAGAATAACAAACGTCAGAATTATTTTTCAGTCTTGAAGAGTTGACATTCTGTTCTCGTACATCCAGCCAGGCATGTGAAGAACATATCAGATTCAAGACAGGAACAATTTTGCTGTGGGTCAAAGCTACAAACCTCCCTTATCCAGCCTTTGGGAATTTGTGTTGTGGGGGAATTTCTTTTAAACCTTAAGATAAAAAAAATCATTAATAATGTTGGAATTGCTACATATACATTTACTTGAAATTAATAATTTCCCAAGATGAAAGTTCTTTGCTGCATCAGGAATCAACAATTTTAATTTAAAAAATGATAGTGACAGAAAAAAACAGGCAATTTAAAGTAATGAGTAAGTAATACTGTTGTTTCCTTATTTGACTTTAAAGTCTTTAAAGTGTCTTTTTTGTTGTCCAAATTGCCCATTGATTTGGGGGAAAGTGTTGTAGTGTACTGTCAAGGCACTCCACTAGATGGAAGTGTTTTCCCATCTTTTAAAACTGACGATCACTTCGCAGATGAAAGTCTTTTAATTGGTAGTCTGTCCTTTATTTTAGGGAAAAAAACACCTTTTAGTTTAATCAAATCTATGATCAATCATCATTATAATACCATAAATGTCAGACCCTTTGCTTTTTTATTTCAAGCATTTTACACACTCATATATGTATAAAGATAAATAAAGCAATTTCATGAATAGCATTTTAGAATATTTCAGCATATATAGACAATAAGAAAAAACGATAAAGTTGTGATACTGTTGCAAAAAATAATATTGGAAGTTTCTATCGAGCAGGTCTTCATTGAGACTTCTTTCACTTAAAAAAAATGCCATTAATGATAAAGATCAAATTTTTAAAGAATATAGCTTGCGGGGTGAAACTCTCTCAGGACATTCAAGCTGAATTGACCTTTTATGTGGCCTTTATACCTTTGACAAAAAACTCTACTATATATAGCATTCCTGCCCCGGCAAATTTGTGCTGCTCATTTGGATGCATGTGACAAAGAAATCTTCCTGCAATGTCCGGATGGGTTCAGAATTTCTCTGACAGAAGCCAAAATGTATCAGTGCTTTTTTCTTTCTTCTTTTTTTTTGCAGGAAGTTTGCTCGCCTTTGGCCTGCTACTTTAAAGGTTAAGACAGTTAGAAGGGCGTTCAATTTCTGCCTGATGGGAGACCTGCCGCTAGAAACACGGCCAGTCGGCACCTAACAGGAAGTCTGTCAAAATAAAAGCCGCCTTTGAGACAAAATGTTTGTTTGTAAAGTCCTCTTTACAGAAAACTACCTTGAAAAATGGGGAGTATATTACTCATCCAGGTGTTTCAAACTTGAACATTTTACCTATTTGTGAGTGAATGTTTTTTTTGGCACTTTAGTTTGGAAACTGTGTCTGATTCCGTCTCTCTTCACATCAGCGCACATTCACGCTTTCCACACCAAGAACGGGGATCCGTTTTTAGAGGCTCCCGCCGAAACATCCCTCTGCAGTTCAGACCTGAAGTCACTCTGTGGATGATGGATTGCTCAGAGGAGGTCCAATCTGTTTCTGAAGAGCCCAGCGCTCAACTGGAGCTCAAAAAGGGAATGTCCATTTTCATTGATGTGAGTATGGCTTTTAATGCATTTTAATTAGCTGGACTTACACTACTGTGTCCACACTCATTGTATAAGTATTTGATGAAGTGCAATTACTTCAACTGTTTTGTATTATTAGTGTCTTATTAATTGCGAAATAACATATTAACTTATTTTGGGATGAAATAAAACGTAAAGGGTTTTCCACACAAACCTTTTTATTTTTATTTTGTGTCAAAGACAAGCTTTAAATGCACTTTCTACAACGACGCCATGGCTCTTTAATATGTGTTCCCCTAATGCATTGGTTCTGTCTTTTATTTTAATGAAATAATTTAATAAAAATAGCCTGTTAATAAACAAATTGATGAGAGGATTTCAAAAACTGACTATCCATTCACACGTTAGTGTTCGAGCATCAAGTGAATGACAACCATAGGCTTGTTTTGTTTAAGGTCACTATGTGTCTTTTTAACCATAAAGGAGCATATGAAGCTTAGGTTAAATAACAAGAATTCATACACATACATTCATTGTCCAAATATTGACCACAGATGATAGATCTTTTCTCATTTCGTTTATTGATGACAGGATGCAGATATCAAAATCGCAGTTGTTATGCATAAGAGCTGACAGTCATCTTCCAGGAGCTTTACCTCTGGTGTTCCATGCCTTCCTCCTCTGATCCACTCGCTCGTTATATTTCACTCATTCCCCCACGCTCTCCTTCACCTATGATGTCTCCAACAAAAGCCTCAGAGTTGGAGGGAAGAACCATTTCAAACATTTTAGGGATGTCAAGGCGATGCTCCAATATCTGACCCCGTTAGACAGGAAAAGAAATAACCTCATACTATCAGAGGCTGGCTTGGTGACGGCATGCTGCACAATCGTGGAAATTCTGCTTTCAAATGCAACCAGGAATACTTCAGATGTTTTCATTCTGCTGTGTTTTTTAAGGTTATCTAGAGTTTGAAATAGAGATCAGATGAGACACAGATAAAGGTTTTCCAAACATCATAGCTACGGCTTTAAATAAGCTGTGGTGTGCACAGGTGGTACCACTGAATATCAGTTTGATGAAAAGAAAGAGCAATTATTCAATTTCGGATGGATCTACTCGTCATCATTTTCTCTGATCAATATTCAGAACATTTCAAATGTTTAACCGAATCCTGTAACACAGGGCGATTACTTCATTTTTAGACCAATCAACATTGATTACAATTCGCTCAAATATATGATCAGTAAAAGCTACAAAATTTGTATGGAAGCATCTAATATTTTATGCATTTTCAAAAAACATATAGCAAATATTACTTAATTATGTACTGAATGCTTCAGTTTTACAATTAAAGGTATTCTAAACCATTCATTTGTGTGCTATTAAAGGTCATCCAGAAATTAGATAAGACATAGAATACAGAGTGGGTTTGAATGTGAGTTTGAATTTTTGAATGTGAGAACATTATAGTCAGAATAATATAAGACAAACACTGTTTGAATGTGGCGGGTATGTATTTACCGTAGTATTATGTGTTTCTGCGTATAAAAACAGTCTTATCTGTTGGAAAAAAATTTCAACTGGCTTGTTTTTTTTTAAACTTGCACATAAACACATATTTTTAACATCCCAATTTTTTGATGAGTGAAATAATACTGAGTAGGAATAATGGGGAGTGCAATTCTTCGATAAGTTGGAGCAGTTAAAAGCTGATGTGGTCATTGCCACAGTCTTTCATCTCTTCTGAACTCTTCAGCATAATCAATAATTCAACGACAAACCACTTTTGCAAGTGTGATCAATGAGCACACACGCACTCACACATATGAATTTTGACTTTGATGTGCCACTTTTTTTTTTAAATCCCTCTTTTCCTCTTTCTCACAACAGATTTTGCGGAGGGCTGATAAAAACGGTATGTGCCCAAACCCCCTTCCCCTTTAAGAGTTGCCGAAAACCATTTCTTTTCTGTATCAAGCGTCAGTCCGACCCATATTTCACATGTGTCAAAACAGATGTCCTTTCTCAATGAAATTCCAATCATGACTCTGCTGATACTCATTCAGTTTCCATGGAAACAGGAAACTGACCATAGCAGTTAAGGTTCTTCTTCAGAGCATAAATGAAGAATAATATTGTATTTGGACAAATTGAAGACATTTCTATCACGGGAGTCCATATAAAATAATTTACCGTAGCTTTCTTTGGGTTTGAAGAAAAATTCTGCTTTTATTTCACCTACTCTTTCATGTATAATATGCTCTTCTAATGCAGGGCATGCATGCTAAAATGCTGGGCTTATTTTCATATCAACAAGGGCAAGCAGGCAACAAAGTAAAAAAGCATGAATACCCCAAAAGAGGCTTTGAGGCACGCAGCCTTTGCATTTAATTAGTACGATTTATTTAATCAAGTCCAGTTTAGAGATTGTTCCGCATAAGGAGCCCTTCACATGATATTAGTGGAGAAAAATCAATGCAATAACACAAATTAGCTGTGGGGGTAACATCAGTAACATGTGCCAGGTGTTAATAAGGCATGGGGACATGGTGACAAATTTGTAACCTCATCTTGAGAATGTGCTGCTGACAGAATGGGGCAAGCTTCATGAGTTCATGAGCAAAATATGGGGGCATCTAAGCACTGCTCTTCAACAAATTACCTTTAGATTTATATGAGATCACCATTACATAGTTGGGTTACCTGATGAAATAGCTTTATCTGGGTTAAAGATGAAATATGATTAAAAATATAAACGTAAAATAAGTAAACCAGAGTCGAAATAAAAAAAAATCATAAAATTGATATGAGATCACCATCACATAGTTGGGTTACCTACTAAAATTGCTTCATCTGGGTTAAAGAATGAATATGATTAAAATATGATTAAAAATATAGACGTAAAAAAGTAAACCAAAGTCGAAATAAATAAAAAAAATCATAAAATTGATATGAGATCACCATCACATAGTTGGGTTACCTGCTAAAATTGCTTCATCTGGGTTAAAGAATGAATATGATTCAAAATGTAGATGGGAAAAAAGTAAACCAAAGTCGTATGGAAAAAAAAAGAAATTAATTTTCAGTGGGATTATGGGGAAAAAAAAATACCAAAAGTTTGGCACAGCAGAATATTTACCACTGAGGAAAACAATTCCTGTCATTTTTCCAGTACCATGTGTTTAACCAGCTGGATGGCAGCTCGTGTTGCCCTGGCAGCACATTTCATTCAGAGCTGATGGTGCAAATTGTCCATGCCACGTGCACTCATGCACCCCTGTATCATCACAGACGTGGGCCTTGATAACAAGCTGATGGCCCGTCTCCATTTAGGTCTGGAGGGCATAAAATCCATTAGTGTCCGAATTAAAAGAAAATTCCCACAAAACAGGTTTTTCACAATCTATGTTACACATACACATTAATGTATAGATACTGTATATGTATTGTTTTTTCTTCTTGATAGAATTTGCCTTGAATGCTTTGATTTAACACTGAACTGTGTACGCTTTGCAGTGATTGCACAGAATCGTGTTTAGTTTTGAAACAGAATTTTTTATACATGGAGATTTTCTAAATGATCTGAAATGCCTTAACGATAAATGCAGTTTACAAACAGAAATGTCAACTCAAAACTTTCCACATAGTTTTTGCTAATGTTACTTTGAACATTTATATTTTTACAGAGACCCTTGACTTTGGATAAAAGGTTGTAGACCTCAAAGTGAATGTCTGTGCTTTTAAAGAGGATGTAAAGTTCTTTACACTGCTTCTCTTTTCTTGGTCAACTAAAGTCACTGAAAAGTTCATGTTGAGGATGAGAAACTAAATTGATGCTTTTGTCCAATTTAAAACGTCAATTTGACGTCTTCTTACACCAACACACACAAACCAAAATGGTTCTTTGATCTGAAAAGGATAGATATAAATATAAAATGTCCTGACGTTGCATTGAGAGGGTTTGTGGTTTTTTCAGATGATGGAAAGCTGTCCTTTGATGAATTCAAGTCCTACTTCTCTGATGGAGTTCTGACGGCTGAAGAACTGAAGGAACTCTTCCACAGAATAGACACTCATAACACAGAGTGAGTCGAGGCATTTCTTTAATTTGTATTGCATTTTTTCCAGTGCAGTTCACAAATTTGAGACATGAAAGGAAAATCAAAATGTGAAACTTTTCTCTACACTGGTTGCCATCTTTCTTTGAATAATTATCTGCTTGTATCAGTTTACACAACATTACACACAATTTGGTTCAGGTCCAAAGCTTCGCACATTAAAAGATGTGCAAAAAAAGGTTTTTAAATCCATGCTTAAAACATCATCACCGCCTGGTAAATGTCAAGTCGATGAACGCCTCAGCTAATCCGTCAAGTTGAAGTTTACATCCATTCCTATCCACACTTGACCTTTGACAGGATTTAAAATGCCATCACTTGAATGTCAACAACTTGGTCAGGATCTGTATCTATATTCCACACTTATGGCCAAACGCATGCCCTGTGTGGCCACTGTCACCTCGAGCTTAATCTCAGTTTGTCTGAATCCAGCCAGGTGAATTGTTCCATATCAGTCACATTTGTAAGGACAGACAACATGAAACAAGAGGCCTGATCTGCTGCACTACAATGTGTACGGACTCTGTAAGTCTGATAATTTATTAAGGGAGAATATAAGTGCTGGTGTTTAACCCTATAATGCCAAATGTATCGTATTTGATCCATACGGTTTCTGAAATGTTTTGCGTCTGACACCTTTTGCATAATTTAATGGTAAAAACTTTGCTCAAAATCCTATTATACACAATCAGATATACCTGATAACAGGGGGCAGAAGACTACACAAAAAATAATCTTGACCGATCGCATAGTAATAAATTATTAATAATACAATTTTATTTCTGTTTTTTATTTTTACATGTTTTGTTAAAAGGTCAAATAAAGACTTAAAACCAAAAAAAAAATCTGTTTTGTTTTATTCTTGGATCAGGCTTTAAAGGGTTAAAGGAGGGTCACATTAAAACATCATTGGATTCATTTTTTACTTTAAACGTGGCAATGTTTTTTGTAAATATATTCAATCTTAGTCTGTGTCATATTTAACTGTCAGTGAGGCACAAATTTGCCAAGAGTTTGCATATACAGAATAAGATTAATTTATTTTCAGAATATTTCAGTCATTTAAAAATAAAAAACCCAATTGTGAAAAGCTCAAAACAGAACGCAATCATTTGCAAATCTCAGATTCATATAAAACTTTGAAAAAGAGACATTTTCAATTTGTTTTTGTTTGATGAGTGTAAAATGTTGCGACATGCATGCAGAAATGCACATTTAGATTACAGCATGGTTAAATGACAGTAAATATCTGTAATCTTTGCTGATAGTTTGAATCAAGCTCCTTCTTTTTTTAGTATTACTTGGAAGGCTTTAGAATGGTGTTGAAACTGCATAGATTCTCACATGTTCTTGCATGCTGTTGCTCTCCTAATTACACAAAGTGGATCAATGCGTGATCAAACATGGTGGGAATACTCATCCGGCCTCCCTTTTGCCGATTAGACGTAGAAGCCTTAAGACTGCAGACCCTTGGAGCATTTTTTTAAGAAAAAAGAAAAATGGCATCTGCACTAAGATATGTACAACTCTTCAAAAGAGGAAAGGGAATATAGTACATGTCCTGTATATAGAAGTCCAACAAAAAAGAGATGCGCTTATTTTTTAAACATGTTTGAAAGGAAGTTGTTAGCTTCGTGTAAATCCTAAGACAGTCCATTTCAGCCCCTCTCTGCTTCAAGCAAAGGATGTTGACTTCTTATCTATACATTACCCAATGATCACAACATGGGGCATGGGTCAAATTTAGCTGTGGCTAATTTGAAGTGCATGTAACCGCTAATTACTCGATCTCAGTCTGTTCATTGACTTGCAGGGAGAACTAGCAACAGCTGACACTGACATGAGTATGAGTGACAAACATGGATTTGAAGTTACTTTGTCACTCCATATGGAATAAAAAGTGAAAATATGTGCTTGTGAAGACAGTACGCAAACTCAATCCCCAATTAATCAACCATTATTAACCCTGTAATGCCAAACATATCATATTTGATACAAATGGTTTCTGAAATGTTTTACATCTGACATCTTTTGCATAATTTAATGGTAAAAACTTTGCTCAAAATCCTATTGTGCACAATCAGATACACCTGGTAACAGGGGGCAGAAGACTACACAGAAAATAATCTTGACTTATCGCACAGTAATAAATTATTAATATTAAAAATGTATTTGTGTTTTTTCTTTTTACATATTTTGTTAAATGGCCAAATAAAGACTTAAAACAAACAAACAAAAAGTTATTTTCTGTTTTGTTTTATTCTTGGATCAGGCTTTAAAGGGTTAATATTTCCATCTTAGATTCTTTTTTCATGTAGGCTTAACTACGGAAATAAGTGCATAATAAAGCATAGTGCCAGGTCAGAGAGCTCTCTAAAGGCTATACATAATTATTTATTTTATGAATTGATATTTTCCATGGTAAAAATAAACTAAACCTGACTTACTGCGTACTGTATGTAAAATTGAATAGAAGTTATCTTACCAAGTAAATGAAAACTCTTTTATTTAAAGTCTTAATTCAGTAAATCCTTTAAGGCTTATGTTCATTGCTTGTTTGCTTTTTGTGATACATCCCCTTTAAATACACGGAGCACAAAAAACAGAAAACTATTTCAATGAAATCAAAGCTGTGCTGTCATTGTTGTCTCTTTATTTGTTGGTGATTCAGTAATATCATCAAGGGGACGGTTGTCACCTCAATTTGAATTTATTTGACATTGTTTACTGAGGGACATTATCGTGATGTTTATAAGGTGTGAATTATGTTACTTCCTTGAGCAGCATAATTAATCACTGTTTAGCAATCAGAAAATCAAAGAGGTGTTCTGAGCCACCCAGAGGAATTTAAAAAGATTTAATTCCTCTACCCAAACAACCGCCGCTGTGAGTGCAGCTTCATCAGATTGTCACAGCGAGAATGAAGTTAAAGTCGGGATTATGTGTGTCATTTAATGACCTCATCTATGCATTTATACATTTAGACTCCTTTACAGAGTCATTCATGTATTTTGGGCGGTCTACCAGAACAAGTTTTGCATGCTTTACTGTTAAAAAAAGGAATTAGAGGGACAAAAGATGCAAAAGCAAAGCAGCATCTCATTCTTTGTGTCATGCGACTAAGCTGGCAGTATGCAAGTATGTTACATCACGATGGGGGTTAAGTAAACGGAGGAAGGATTAGACTGCAAACGAAGCATGTTTTGCCCCACCAACGACAACAGAAAAGCAGTAAATAGCTCTTTGTATTGGTGTGCTCTTAGTCTCATCACATCCATCCATCCATTTTACATTATTCATCGCTAACAAATGAATAATTATAGTGCTCACACGGGTGCCTGTATCCAGGTCAAGTAGCACAGTGGTGTTCACCATCGCTGTCATCATCACTGAAAGACTGTCTTTAACAAACTCCATCTGAACCCGAAGACACCGTGTACCGATCTATGTGAGATGAGCACGGAACAGGGCCGATGGTAAAGCTGTTAGGAAGTCGTTTAGAAGTCTCAAATCGAATCCCGTATTGATTAATGAAGCTGTTCAGTCTGTCTGAAAGGCTGGTAAACCTCAGTTTTGTGGGACACTGAGGCATAATTTAGTAGTTTTTATGTATTAAAAAGTTTACATTTTGGAAATGTCAATGGCATACTGTAAAGGAGTTAAACATATTATCTAAAAAAGCAGTCATCTTTCAAACTATGGTTTTTAATCATGCTTTTACTTACTTACTTTAATCACCACTTATTTAGACCTATATATATACATATAGTTATTTATGTATATATTTATCAATATTATATGTGGAATTTTGTGTATATATATATATATGTGTATATGTATATGCCGTTTTTTTATTTATGGCGCCAGTTACGAAAATAATTTCCCTCAGGGATTATTAAAGTATTTCTGATTCTGATTCTGATCTGATTTATATGGATTTTCCTCAAAATTCTGTGCTCTAGTTTTATGTGTAAAAACAGCCACTCCAAAAGTGGCTTAATTGTCTGGTTTTGGAGTCTCACCTCTGCTTTTCCTCTCTGTCTTCAACCGTACTAAGTGTTTTCTCCTGTTGGAAGCAATTATTGCTAGACTTTTTGTCCCCCAGTGACCAACAGCCTCTGAAGAACAAAATTTTTCTTGGTGCGTTAAAATTAATTGAGCAGGTGATATGTGGACTATCTTTCCACTTTAATGTAATTCAATTACCTTTACATTATTCACTTGTGTACGCTCATGGACGAGCCACATTTTCTTAAAGGTCTTCTCCGAGGATTTTCCAGTCTGTTCCTCCCAACTCTTGTTTACTCATATTCACCCCCTATTATTTTTTTTAATGACAGGATGTCTATAAGAAGCTATGGAATACTTTTACCCTTCTCTGACTTTTTCTGTTTTTGAGGTCTTTTAATTTAAATCTCTTTTGTTTTTGTTTTTTGCAGTAACCTGGACACAGATGAGCTCTGTGGTAAGATAATATTTTTCTCAAATAAGAAAAATGTTCGATAGATACTCATGAAATGCTGTATTGTCATCAAATTTTAGAAGCAAACAACAATTCTTTTTGCGCATGTCGAAGATGCTTTTTCATTATTTTCTTTGTTTTATCTTGTGTTTGTAGAGTATTTCTCACAGCACCTTGGTGAATATGAGAAAGTTCTTGCTGCTTTGGAGGACCTGAATATGTCCATACTGAAGGCGATGGATAAAACTAAGAAGGTAAGATGATGGAAATGGGTATATACACCCAGGCTAAAATACAAAGATATACTTGTTTACCCAAATTCAATTTAAAAACTGCTGAACCTTAGCCAGAGTTAATACAGAGCGTCAGTTCGCATCCGGTAAAAATTATTAATTTTTAGCTCTTTTGAAGCTAAAAGAAAAAGAAAACAACTGTTGATTTACATCTTGACCAGCTCCATTTTAGGTTTTTAAGAGAATTCTGCATGGAACGATCCCAGTTTCTGATATTTCATTTGAAAATCGGGATGGTGGTTGTGTGGGTGAACGGAAAAATGTGCTAAGAAGTATAAGTAAATTTGGATCGTGAAATGACATGTCATAGCTTGATTTCACAGGGTGACTCTGGCTTCTTGGTGCACATCTCTGCCTGCATGCTGCCCATCTGCCATCTCTCCATTTGTCAGAGTTCTATTACGGAGAAAAAATAGACAAGTCGTGGCTAAACATGCTAATTAACAATCAGAACAAAACATGTCATACTGGATTTACAGCCAACAGAGTCTTCCAAATGAATGGACAGCAGCTGCATTAGCAAACAATAATAGCTTTTGATCCCTTTGTGTAATCTCCTTGATTTTTACTGCAGAGCTGTGTGAAGATAAGAGCCTTTTACATTATTAGAGTGGAGAGGAAGCAGGATGAAGGTGACAAAGGGGGAGCAAAATAGGCAGCGAAGAGGGTAAATGATCAGGCATTAAGGAGATGACAGATGAGAGATGACAGATGTGAGAAGTTGGAGAGGTGGCATATTAGATCTGCGGGGAGAGCTTCTTTTTTTTCTTTCCAACAAGTCCCTTTTTTCAGTAGTAGCTCATCTGGTGCTTATGTCACATGTTGTGAAGCTCAAATTGCCTCTCAGATCCGCACCAAAGCTGACACGTCTTGTCTTGGACACAGTGTGGGAGTCAAAACATTCACTTGACAGTTGTAGTTTTTTATTAGTAGAAGAAGGAAATATACAATATGACATGCAGCTTTACCACCAAAATACTGTCCGAAAAAGGTAAATGGTAATGAGCTAACGAATGAAATGTTGAATATTTTAAATGTAAGAAAATGAAGAAACAAGTTGGTATTTGAACAATTTAAGAAATGTGATGCAACAGGAGATGTGAAAGGGTATAAGATAGGTAAAGTGAGACGGACATTTTAGAAAACAGGGTTGCACGGTGGTGGATGTGAAGGAGCCTGGAAGTGAAGTACAACAGAGGCTGAAAAGGTTTTGTCCTTTGAGACAGGATTACTCAGCTTGCTCTGGACTTTTAGAAGCCTTTAGTCATCTTCACAGAAATAACATGACACCAAAAGCCTTTTCGGCCATCAGAAACTTATTTAGCGTTTCCACATATACTGCCCAAATGGGGTATTATACTGTAAATGAAAACAAATTACTCTGCACCATCTGGGCAAAACTGGCAATAATGAAAACCGAATTAATTACACCACTGAACAGTGATGGAGAAAGACATAATTTAACACTGCCGATGCTTTCCTAAAAGCTCGATTTTCAATTCATGCAGTAATCTTTTACGGAGCAATTCTGAGGCCAAAGGAATGACTCATAGCACAAATATACAAGTAAAATCGTATGACGTGTTGCATTTTTCTGACTGTTGTTGAGTATTGGCTGGTGAGAGAGAGAACAGATGCTGCATTAGTCACAGAGTAAAGCTCAGTCATCTCTGTTGAACTGTATATATATTTGAGTGGGTGGTCTCTGGCTGTGGATGTGTATGAGGGGGCCGGCTGCAAGTGTGTCTGTTTCCAAAGTATTTTGGCTTTTTTTTGTCACAGTTGAGTGTTGCACACCAGCTATTTTATCTGCATGCATGATGTATTCATGCACATGTGCGGGGGTGCTGAGGCAAGCGTGTGGATGAAAATCAAAGGCAGATATTTTTACAGCACGGATGTGATCAGAGGCACTTTTAGAGCTTTTTAAATGCTCGCATATACATGCCAAAGCTGATGGAAGGTTGCATTTATGAGCATAAAATTAAATTGATGATAAACTGTCTGAAAGGTAAAAAAAACGATGGCAATGAGTGGGCTGTTACATCAAGATAAGCAAGAAAGAAGACTTTACTTATTTCCAAATGCTAATCAGCAAAAAGACTAACTTAATCAGGACCTGATAGCAAATCACAAAGAGCTCTCTGTATTTTTTATTTCAAGTCTCTCTTCATTTATTTATCAGTAGGCACTCTAATTTAGCTTTTAATTTGATGTCGTTTAAATGTGCTTTGCCATGCACCTCTCACATCATATCAGTTCTCCCAGCCTTAAACAGCCTCCTGCATGCCCGCGGCCAGCCAAATAAGGTGAATTATGGAGTCATTAGTTAGAGGCTTTTCCCAGCTTAAAATTAAAATGTAGCTGTACCATTACAGCAATGTCAATTTTCTGATTTTTAAATAAAAAACATCAATAGCCAAATCTATCATATTCGAAACTCTGTCACACTTTTTCTGAAATTAAGAGGGAAAAAAATGCTTTTTAATGTTGGTGACCTATTTGTATGAACTAGTTTTGTTCAATTTGAGCGTGAGTCTCTGATGCATTTTGATTTGATTTTTCACAGTGTGGTAGTTTCTTTTCTCTGAAGTTGCGCTGCATCTGTGTCCCAGACAGAGAGCAGAGGAGAGGCATGAGGGGTCACATTTGCGTTAGATGGTGGTGATTTACGCTTCTGGAATTTTTTTTAAAAACATTCCTAACAACAATACAATGCTTTGGAAAAACAACTTCAGATTATAATAAAAACCAGTTTGCATGAGTCTCATGTCACAGATTTGACAAAGTCAGACCTTATACCCTATATACAGAAGTTTTTATGACATTTCAGATGTAAAGTGCTTCAATCCGACCTAGTTTTAAAAGAAAATTCAAATTAGTAACATGGATTGATTGAATTGTGTTATTAAGTTGGATTTGCTTTATATGCATATCCCATTTAACCCTTTTTACTAGCTTTGCTGTGTTTGTCTTTACCTTAAGATCAACAACTCTTGCTCCTTGTTTGCCACAGACATGCAGCAGAGGCACATTAGTTCTGGCTTAAAATTCACATGAGGAAGGGTATTACATAACATAATTTAATAAAAATGCCAAGTAATGACTGCTCCTCATAGGCTCGGCGTACAAAAGCTCAGATTAAGAGGTTGGAGGATGGAGCTGTACAACTACCAAGTTGGAGACCTGTATTCCATCAGCATCTCCTCAGTTTTCAAAGGTTTGTTTTTTTGCTAAGTTTAGAACATTTTGAAAAAGTAAAATAATTCATGCCGATATCGTAATAAGTCTCCCTACAAAATACCCGCTTCCTGAATTACTGGTCCTCTCGGTCCTGACCCCCTGATGACCGCACACAGATTGTGACTGCGTGGCTTCGGTCCAGACATAAATGGGATTTTAATAGTAATGCAAGGCTTTTGCCATTGAAAGAGAAGAATTTGCTAAAAGGCTGTGCCTTTGTTAAAAATGGCAAAGCCCCCGTTTGACCTTTTGCGCAAACAACAATAAAATATCACAGGAGTGACAGATAAAAAAAAACAGGCAGACCTGAAGCCATGGATTTGTGAGACGGGCACACACTGCTCAGATTGCGAGAGACTGACCTTTACTGGTCTTGTCATGACTCACTCACAGGGAAGTGAATGCACACGCTTGTGCGAGTGCTTGTGCATGTGTGTGTTGAGTAAAAAAAAAATATACCAGAAAAGCTTTAATAATTCTCTATAACAAAGATTTTTCCATTTCTATTCATAACACTCACATATTTAATACAGGTTTTCAACAACATGAGTTAAATGTTGATGTATTTTGTTTCTCTAGTTTTCTTTTCTTTCTGCTATATACACACACACATTCATTTATGCATTAGTTATTCTCTAATCTAACTTCCATTAGCATTTCCTTTCAAACCTCCCATCAGTAGTCAAGTGTACAAACAGTCACGGTGCTTAAAACTGTGGGAGCAGCTGCGGTGTGCAGACAGCCAAGCATCCCTCTACCGAGCATCCCTCCATCCTCTTTGATCAGATTCAAAACAACGCTTTTCTTTGTTCTGGGCATGGCAGATAACTTGCCTCCAATATGTCACTGAGTTCAATTTCTTTCCCCATCGTCTCAGCAGTCTGCCATAATTAAATGTACTTGTGAAATCATCTTTTCACGCCTGTAATGTGACTTTACAATGCAACAGAAATATAAACATGTCATCTTCAGATATCTAATATGTCAATCAGAAACACTGTGCAGCCGACTCTGCACACACACGCAGTCTTACGCAGTCTTTAAGATGATCCTTCTTTAATCTGCACGATTATATTGAAAACAGGAGAGTTCTTTACCAAAGTTAGTCTTAAAAGAAGTGGTCCACAAAATTGTCACATCTAGGTGAGAAAAGCACAGGATCTTTTATTTGACTCTCTAATCATTCATCCATCCACTTTCCCATATCATAGAACTGAAAACGTCTCTCCTGAGTCTTTTTTTGTCTGCCTGTCTTTATTTGCTTGTGGTCATTTTTATAAAAATATGTGGTTTGGTCATATTGAAAACGTTCAGTCACCTTTCCTGTGTTGTGTTTCAGTTGTATGCAGACACTGTCTACTTCTTAGATTCTGCTTTGTTTTGTACTAACTTTTCTTTGTGACTACTTGTATACTTTTGACCACTTTCTTTAACCCTATAATGCCAAATGTGTCATATTTGATTCATATGGTTTCTGAAGTCTTTTGGATCTGAGACTTTTTGCATCATTCAGTGGTAAAAGCTTTGCTCAAACCCCTGTTGTACACATTCAGATATACCTGATAACAGCCAGTAGAAGACTACACCAAAATATATTTTTGACTTATTGCACGCTCATTTGATCAAATAATTTCAGTTTTTTTTTCTTCATTTGTTGTTGAGGGGCCAAAGAAAGACTTCAGACTAAAAATTTATATCCAATATTCTTCCTATTTTTCTTGGATCAGGCTTTAAAGGGTTAAATGACTTTCATTTACAATCCTGCAATTTGTTTCCACTTTTAATTTCTGTTTGCAAACAGCTTTTGGTAGTGTTGTTGGTTCATTATGATCCAGAGGAGTGTATGCGTGACTAGAAGAAACCTGGACACAAACATCACCTCAAAGTATTTACATTTTTAAAGCCATGCCAAAAATACAAATCTTTCTTTACATCCTGAAACCTTGGCAGTTAAAAGGAAACAATTAATACAATCTCTGCATTTTTGTGAAAATGGTCATATTATATGATTTTGTTGCTTATCAGGTCACTTTGCTGTGAAGGCCATTTCATTCTACCTTCTATCATAAAATTTCTAAGCAGCTAATTTCAGTCAATAAACAACTTGGGGTCCCAAATCCTGATTTAACTAAATTTCTGAATTAACAATTGATCTTCATGCGAATAGTTAAATATATTAATCCCTTGGCAGAGATGTTAGTGTGTCCATGGTCTTTCTACACTCAGAAGATCACAATCATTGCAGTCAGTGCTCCTTCAAAGCCTTCTTCCCTCCATTTGGCTTTAAAAGTCCAGAAATCGTCTTATTATTTCTGTGCAGAAGTAGAATGACAGATTCTTGACAGATTTCTGAGGATTTGAGCAAATATGACAACAAATTTGACACGTTCTTTCTCATCTTTCTCTCCATGTTTTGCCTCTCCCAGCAGCATTGCCATGCAATGCTTCATGAATGAATAATCTTGTAGGCATATTTTAATTAGCAGAGGAGGTCTGAACACTTAGTGACTGCTGACTGGCATGTGAAACATGTTGCAGCTCCCCTTTATTGTTCCTCCTACTCTAACTTGTCCTCCTCCTCACCTTGATTGACAGGATTATCAGGAGTCCACCCACCTGGAGCAGTTTGTGACCCGCTTTCTGCTGAAGGAGACAACCAATCAGCTTCATTCACTTCAAAGCTCACTCGAGTGCGCCATGGAAACCACAGCCGAGCAGACTCGCCAGGAGAAGTAAGAGAAAAATCTCTCGCAAATCTCTGAATGCTCACTCTTACAAAAACGCTTGACGTACATGGCCTGTGAATCGTGAGCAGAATGTACTTTAATTAGAGACCTCAGGCTAATCCACCTGTTCATGCTGATTTATATCCCACATTTAGAAACTTGATTTAGGCCCAGTCTTTGTCGAGAACATCTGCTCTCCCCTTTAATCCAGAAGATATTTATGATTTGTTGTGATTGATATGTAAATCTTGCCCACATGGAGACGGTTGAAGTTGAGAAAATGGAAGAGAGTTTACTTCTTAACAAACACTCCAGGTTAGAGGATAAGATAACACAAAAACAGATGATTGTAAAGATTTGTGGACTGAAATCAAAATTTTCTGGTTTGTTAAAGCTGACATACTCATCATCCCTTTTTCTGGAGAGCATTTTGTATTTTTTTAATTTTGTTTTGTGTCATGTTTCACTGAGGTTGAAGCAACACCAATCAGCTGAGAGTTCAAATATCCCCAAACTGTTTTTTTTCTGCCTTTTCTAAATGGAAAATTGAGAACGTCATAAGTGCATTTGTTGCAATGTAAAACTTCCCAACTGCATTTATGTAAAAACTTTCAAAAACACTTTGCTCCTTATGTGACATACGGAGCAACACAAGAACATTTTGATTGGTTTCCATTGTGCTACACGTCACTGCATGCTTTTGTGTCCTTTTCCCTCCTTCTCTGTATGTTTCACACCTGGATGCTGCTAAATCAAGCTCATTGCTTCTTCTACAAACAACAAAAGTAGGATTTTTTTAGTCAGTGAAGGGATAAGTCAGTGCTGCTGTTGCGTTGTTGGTTAAAACAAAATGAGCGACATCCCATTATTCCATTGTTTGTTTGTAAATCGTGATCGAATTTAGTGAGAATGAGCATTTTTCGATCTCCCCAAAAACATTTGACCGCTAAGCGGTCTGTCTCGGGGCTGATTTCAGAACTCCGGAATGCCCCAAGTGTGTTCTGTTCATTTGTGAGGATGACTCACGAATACCCACACGCCACACTACATTTCTGACACAGACTGTGTTTGAGCGAACAAACGTGTGTGTGTGAGTCTCTCCCCTGCAGGTCACGTCTGTGTTCATTTGAACCGTCTAAAGGAGACGTAAGGACACACAGTTCTGTGTGAGTTCAACAAGTGAGCTGTAATCTGTTGCCCACCTCTGCTGGTCTCACATGTCTGTTACCGAGTATTGAGACGGTTCTTCTACTATCTCTTTGCTTTTCTCTCTCCAGTGGGAAGAAATTCAATTGTTGAGATGTGTTGCTAACTCTGGCTAAATATCTGATGAAGTGCTTGCTGAGATGAGGTTGTAACAAACACCTTTTGTATATCCTATATCTTCACTTCTAATTGTTTTTCTTACAAATTACAAAGTCTAGTTCACAAAGATCCAGTTTTTCTCGCTTTGTTCCTGTCCTTTTCATCAATAACACATTTTACACTTACTCTTAGAGGGCTTGGAACTTTTTTTTAACCTTTTTTTTCCCCATTTCCCCCACTCTCATCTCTCTATATCCGTTTCTCCTTGGAATAATTTCAAAGTGTTACTATCCCTAGCTCCCCAAGCAGTCTCTTCTCCTCCAGCCTCCTTCCCACCTGAGTGATTCCCCCGTGATGGTAAATGTAATCACTCTGCTCCTCGAAACAACAAGAGACCTAGCTGTTTCTCCGGTGGCTTTAAATGGGTTTCTGTGGTTGGTTTTTGACGTGCAAAGAGGCTGTTGACAAAGCAAGAACTCCTATTCACCAGCGCTCGAACTGCCTAAAGCTGAGCTGGTCTTTTGTGTTTATTAGCGCTACTGTTGATTTTAAAATCCAATTTTTTTTTCTCTTTGTTGCATTTTTGATAATCCATTTTATTAAAGTCTCTCTCTAAGATTGTTGAAATCAATTACTGTGATGGCTGGTAAACTAGGACCGTTGTAAACGGCTACAACCTGACTCTTTTTTCCTTATCCTGACCACAAACCCATGACCACTTTTTTTAGTTTTCTCAATGAAAGTTGTTACACAGCATACAATAGCAGACTCACTGGATGAACACGAGAGATCTGCCACCTTTTCCCTCCTCCCAGTGCATTAACTGTATTGGGATGCTCGACTGCAGCTTGTGAATATTTGACTATGTATTTATCCCTAGGATTGAGGCGGTGCTGTTGAATGAAGTCTGAGAATAAATGCTGGCATGTGTCAGTCTCCATTTTCATACTGTCCTTCACATTCAGATTTGAGATGCACCATAGAGTTTGGAGGAAAGCATGTATGATGGAACTTATACCCTCATTACAATATGTTTTATTGCCCTTTGAATGTATATTCTATACGGATCACATTCTTTCATCATTATCATACAGTTTGATTGATGAATGGGACATATTTCTTCACCTACTGTAGCTACACAAGATTTCAGGCAGGGAAATTGTAATAAATTTAAATTGTAGCATTTCTGTGCACTGCTAATAGGTGTTTTTTCTGTTCATCACAGAGTTTTGAATGATTCTACTTCCAGATACAGGGGTTGACTGTTCCTGAGTGTGGGCACAGAATAGTGGCTATTATTATCATTATTATTCTGCCCGACGGCATCAAGACCACAGTCTCTAAATATTAGTTCTTAAGCCTGTCTCTTATGTACAGAGCATTTATAACATATAGTGGAGATGAAGATATCATTAAAATTCCTGGTAAATTTATTTTGAGAAGATTTCTGATTTGAGATGTTGTATATGAGTATTTTTTGAGAGCCAGTGTTAAACTTTGCAAACCCAATTCTTAAAATGAACATGTTTGAAAAACAATTTTTTATTAAAAAAATTGTAATAAAAGCTTCATGTAACAACAGACATTTCCATCTTTTAGTAGAAACAGTTTGATGAAGTTTTTAATATTTCCCCACCCAGGCTTTTTTGGGTGGTTGTGAGCCTCTGTATCTTCATATTCTACCTGTCTTACCCTCTCTTGGACATTTTGTTTAAATCCAATCATGCCACAGATCTGTTGTTTCAATTTAAAAACTAAAATCTTGCCGTTTAGAGACAGTGTTTCCTTCAGCATCAAACAGACTTGGAGATTACCAAAAAATAACTACATAATGTACTGTAGATGCAGAATTTAGAAAAAAAACAACAACCCACACGCACACACAAGAAAATGTGCGTGCACACAGTCTCCACAGAATCCCTGCGGTCCCCTCAGCGAACAGCACCCAACAACTTGACAGCAGTAAGATAAATCTTAGGTGAAGTCACCCCGTGGATGTGTGCACCTTGTCACTGGCATTAACATCACTGTCTGCCCGACACAATGCACAAATATAGTTAGGACAACTTCAGGTTTGCTAAATTTATTCACAGCAGACACAGCTCTGCTTGAGACCCGGGGCTCCAGTCACCTGGGTGCCATCTTACACTGTAAAAGGGGGAAAAGACTTGATGAGAGCTCTGCGGGTCCTGCGACATTTCGAATGTACACTAGCCCTTACTTTTGAAAATCCCCCAGTCATCACTCCCCTATCTATTATTTAGAGTGAAATGCCCCGCAATTTTGTATTGACCACGCAATTGGAGAGGCCGTAAAGCAATTTTAAACAGTTATACAATATCATTTAGCATATGTTTTACCCTTAAAAAATATGTAATGATAAATATGACCGTGTCAGAGTACTGATTAACCTGTTTTGACTCCAGACAGGGTCCGTTGAAGCCAGAGGTTTTGTCCATCCAGCTGTCAGGCCGTCGCTCCAATCGGAGGCTTCAGAGGAACAGCAGCCTCTCTCCCAACAACCCGCTCCTCAGTCTCATCAACTCAGGTGGGTTTACGGGGCTGACTGCTTAATTCGGACTTTAAATATTTTATCATGAAGTCGCTGCTGGGCCAGAGTCAGCATGTCTGTGCAGGCCAGAGAACAGAACAGAACATAGGGAGGAGGGGCGTGAATGTATAAAGGGCAGAGAGAGCCGGAGAGAGGATCTGGTGGAAGAGGACGTTTATGTGCACATGGATGATCAGGTTCAGGGTTATAGATTGATTATTTTGAGGAAAATCTAGAGCTCACTACCCATTGGCGGTGAAGTTATTATCCCGTGTACTCCCCAATTCTGGGTGGACTTCAGTTTTCATACGAATATCTGCAACTATTTCACAGTTTTTGCGTTTATTTTTTTATGTTTCATGCTGTTGAATTTCTGCAAACCATCTGCAAACCATCCATCCATCCATTTTCTGAACCTGTTATTCCCTAATGGGGTCACGAAGGGACTGGAGCCTTTCCCAGAATTCAATAGGCAAGAAGCAGCGTACACCCTGGACAGTCCGCTAGTCACTCACACACACTCACACTCACTCCTAAGGGCAATTTGGAATGTCTAATCAACCTAACATGTAGGTTTTTGTAGGGTGGGAGGAAGATCCGGAGGGAACCCACGCAGACACAGGAAGAAACTCCACACAGAAAGGTCCTGGTTCCCCCGGGGACTTGAACCCACAACCCTCTGGCTGTGGCAGCAATGGTGCTAACCACCTTTCTGCAGATCAAAACTACAAATTAAAATATAGTTTGGCATTCTTATAAAGGCATATGCGAACCTTTGGCTTCCATGCTGTGACAACCGGTCTCTTGCAATACTGGAAGCAGGGAAGAAAGATAACAGCCGAACCAGATCATTAAAGCGAAATAAGAAATTGTGCTCACCTGTACAATTCATCTGTGAGAGGACTATGTTCCGTCAGCCCTTCCAAAGCAAACAATATTACACTGGTGCAACATTTCTGGTGGTAGTGCCATGCTGTTCAACCAAAGTGTAAACAAGAATACACGTATGATTGTACATTCAAGGCCCTATGTATCCTTATCGGTGCCCCATGCATTACCTTGCTTGTGTATATTTGGCTTTACTAATTACTATCTAAATTTTGGATTCACAAACACGAGTTTATCTTTTTAACCGACGATACATTTTCAGGCATAGAGGCTGATGCTTAACTCTCACACAGACCTTGTTTCAACTATGGACAACATACCTGTGAAACCTTTTTTCTATACTTTGCAGATTTTTGTTTGTGGTCGAAATTTTGTCAGTACATATCTTTGACATAAATGAAAAAACCCCTCTTAAAATCAGCACCACATATGTAAATTGGATCAGACCAGGTCCTAATAAATTGTCTTAGATGTGTGTCCTAAACACTTCGTTTCCATTATGGTTGGTTTGCATATTTCCCAGCGCTGATTGCAGGGAGTCACTTTGCCATTCATCTGAAATAGGGCACCAGCTGTGATTTCCAGGAGATCTGTGAAACAAACACAGAGGCTTTACGAAATGATTACGGGGCTCAGGGCTTTTCCATTGATTGGCATGAATGTGTGACACATGCCATGAAAGAAAACCTTGAGACGTCCACTGGCACACCGCCATTATTTATTATAGCTTTCGATTCGGGAAAAATCGTTGGAGGAAAATGTTGAAAATAGTCAATCTGTGCAGAACCTTTAATCCATTGACTTTTTTTGCTTAAATTTTAGTCTGACATTTCTCTTCTTGTGTCCTTTTTTTTGTATTACTCTCCCCCAGGTGTTTACGATGAGGACAATCAGTGGACAATCCAGGTCAACAGGCTGCAAAAGCTTATCGACCGTCTAGAACAAAAGGTTCGCCGGCCTTTTTCTCAACTTTCTTGTTTTCTTTTGTTCGTAAAACTTTGTCATTTTTATTCCAGCCGCTTCTATTTCTGTCTCTGTTCACCATCCCAGCCACAGTCGTGGCATGTTTCTCTACAATTGACCTCAAATAATGGTGGGCGGATTCACAGCAATGACAAATAAAGTCAGCCTGACAACACCTGCCCACATAGCAATGCAAACACATATGCACATACAGGAAACATCAGTGGCCCCCAAACTCTTACACCTGCTATCTGCTCATGCTCAAAGAAGCAGTGTGTTGTAAACTGATATGTCGCACATTTACATGGATCTGCGAACCAAGAGGATTTATGATTCGCTGTCAGCTATATATGAAACAAAAACACATCCATCCATCCATACATTTGTTTGTTCTTGATGGGGTCGCGCGGGGGCGGTTGAAGCTTATTCCAGTGCAGATGAGAACTGCAAAAGTTTTCAGCCGAGCTGGTTAGCTTTTACCGGTGTTGGGAAAAAGAGGCGCTCTCAGAATAGATTACTCTCTCAGAGATTCCTGACACCTTCGTCTGAGTGTAGCAGCTTTTTCTGCAATCCAAGAAACAGAAAAAAAATTGAGTGAAATAGAAAAAAAAAGAAAAAATCATCATGGAAATAATACAAAAAGAAATGACACAGGACACACAACAAAGAAAAAACTAAAAATAAAGCTTGCTTGTTTTTTTTTTCTTCATCGTGTGGTTTGGGTCATTTTGTGCTGCTAAAACTGAGACTGAAGAAGCATAAAATAAGGTACACCAACCAAACTAGTTTCACTATATAGATCTAGAATATTTGCTCTGTATTGTCGCTATAGAGAGAAAATCTATATATGTATATGTATATACATGTAAAATAGTTTTTTCTTCGTGTTTTGCAGGAGATTCGGATGGAGCCCGTTGAGGAGGAGATTGTGGAGAGCAAATCGGTTTGTTTATCTACTTTTTTCATTTTCTTTGCTGCTGTGACCAAACTGTGTCACTACTCTCACGTGGTGACGTACAGATCATGGAGGCTGCATTCAAAATAAGCAGCCAAAGTTGTCATAGCAACAGCAGATTTGAGAGAGTCTGCGACGTATCCTCCTCTTCCCATGCTCTGTCTGTCTTTAATCTCTCAAATAAGGGCTCGATATTCAGAAGTACAGAATCAGTAAGGGAGCAGACGCAGACATTTCGGGCCCGAAAGAGAAGGGCTGGGTACATCTAGTCTAGTCTCCCACTGATTACAGAAATTCACATGAAACACCATGATAATGACCACTTAGCGGGGAGTAAGAGGCTAAATGTTTCTTTAAATCAGACTTGTCTGCACACCTCCTGACAGATAGCGTATCCATCAGGCTTGTGGCTGTGTAGTAACGAGTAATGAAAATCCACACGCCAAAGCGAAGACAGATTGCTGTTGCTGCCTGCCATTCAGGATTCATGTCACTCATTTCAAAACCGAGGAATACTCCTCTGCAAACCACCGACACGGTGACAACCACAGGGGCAGTCTCAGAGAGATTTCTCGTCTTCCTTATAGGAACACGGGTACGCTGATGTGTTGTACGGCAACATTTCACTCCACAAAGAGAAATCCTGACACCAAGGCTGGTTTGAATCTTTAATTCCAGTTATTTGATATAAATTAGAACAGAGAAAAATGTTGAAAGTAAGATGTATCACTACTTCATGTTTTATGTTAACGCATCTTCGATTCTTTAGTTGTTGTTATGTGATGTAAAAATGCTTATATTTAGTCTTTTTAAACTCAGTCTGTAATCGACATGTTTTTCAAATTGAGTCGTTTTGGAGCTGTAGCCAAACATATAATGGTCATGAAAATAATATTAATATTAATATTAATCATATTGACTTCAAATAACAATGAATTCAACCAGAACACATCATAGATTGTTGTGTTTAAAAAAAAAAAACTTAACGACTGCATTAAAAAGAAACTCCATACTATTTTCACACTTGTGCACAAGAAAATGTGGAGGGAATCAGATGCGGAGAACATGAGTTCTCAAAGTTGGAGACACTCCAGACTCCTTTCTTTCTGGCACATTAAAACTGGTGGAGAGGCAATTGAGACCTCCACATTGATTGCTTTACTAATAAAACAAACAACATTGATGGTCAATAAAAAGCTGTAAATAGGTCTCAGAAAGAGCAATAACTAGCAAATATAAACAGCACGCAAGCTTGCCATGAATTCTCTGGAGAATGAGGTGCTGCATTCACACATGATCTCACTCAACCAATTAGGTCAGCCTGTGACTGTGTGACCTGTATTTAATGCTTCAGACATTTCCGTTCACATACAGCCCCTCGAAATATTCAGGTCAAGCGAGATAAACCACATTTTTTTAATTTTAGACTATCCGAAATCTGAAAAAAGCATTTACTATGACATCTTAAAATGATATTTTGTCCGACTAAAAATAATATTAAAAATCAGCTCAGACAGATATCAAAGAAACTGCACCTGGTGTGAAAACAGGAAATCATGTATGTGTTGGAATTAAGAAATGATTGGGATGTACACAAGCAGCACCAGTGCAGATCAGTTCTGGGATATGTATCCCACATATCAGCGTCATATCTCATTACTCATTTGATGCAGATGCGTGTATGCGTGACTTCATCCTCATCTAATTGGCTTAACACCGTGTGTCACTGGGAATAGATTTGCCGCCGAAAACACCAATAAGGACCCACAACACAAGCCTTATGTGTGACGGAGTGACCGTGTTTGTGTTTAGATGCCTGAGCGTGCTTGTTAGCCGCAGAGCGAGGATCCTGAGGCTTTTTTTTTTATCAGTCACGACCTCACACGCAGTCATGTTTGCTTTGCTTTGGAGGACGTCTCATTGATGAGTGTTGATCTCCAGGAGGCTCCCAATCATTAATGCACACGGTTTACCTTTGGCCAGCGGGCGTACCACTCACTTCCTGTTCTCATCATTCGCCCTGCCTGTCAACAGTTCCTCATCAGCCACAGGAAATGATGTGCGTGCTGTCTGTTGTCATGATTGCAAAGGGCTTTTTCCTATTGTTCACACCTTTGAAGAAGAAAATACGTATTTGTCCCTCATATGTTAAATAAGAGTCACAATATAATCTAACTACTCTGAGTATGAAGGACAAGTCCTGGTGGGCATACTTTAACCCTTTAAAGCCCGATCCAAAAAAAATAGAAAGAATATTGGATTTTTTTAGTCTGAAGTCTTTCTTAGGCCCCTCAACAACATATGAAGAAAAAAACAGAAATTATTTTTATCAAATTAGCGTGCAATAAGTATATATATATATATATAAATATATTTTGGTGTAGTCTTCTACTGGCTGTTATCAGGTATTTCTGAATGTGTACAAAAGGGGTTTGAGCAAAGCTTTTACCACTGAATGATGCAAAAAGTCTCAGATCCAAAAGACTTCAGAAACCGTATGTATCAAATATGATACATTTGGCATTATAGGGTTAAAATGGTAAGACAAAATAAAACAAATGCCAAGATGTACGATATCATATCGAAAACTGTTCATTTCAGTCTCCTGTGTGAGTCATCAGCTTGATTATAAGACACACGGGAAACACTTCAGTGGATCTAATGCCCTCCTTTCATACCCCGAGGAAGGTCTGACCTTCTGGATGAGTGTGTTATTTGTCCTTACAGCATATCCTGATCGTCCAGAGGCAACTCTCCGTGCTCGAAGAGGAGGTGGAGGAGTTTCGTTTGGCTCTCAGACAGTACATGGACTGTGCCTGCGCCCAAACTGGTTGTCTTCAGTCGGTTCATTTTCTCTTCTATCTCTTTGCTCATCAGGAAATCTATTTTTTTCCCCGTGCAAATAGTATAATTATGAACAGAGATGTGACAGGAAACATATGGAGTCTGTTTGAGCTGGAGGATAGACGTATCCTTGATTGCTCCTTCTGAATCTTCACATTCACAGGAAGAGACAGTCTCATTCTGGACAGAAACAACACATAAAAAAATAAAAGTTCATCTTAACAAGTAGTCTTCTGACACCTGATTAAAATGGCGATGCCTTTAAACTGATTAGAAATAAGAAAAAAACTAAACAAAACATTAAATACTTAAGCAAGGAGCTGTTAGTTATGGCCATCTTAATGTTAAACTTTTCAAATCCAAAAGCTGTCAGCACTGAATGTAAGGAGTGGTTTGGGCCCACAATAGGTTGCTAGATGAGCTGAAATTAAATCCGAAGAACGAAGGATTAAGGGTGGAAATGTCAAATCTAATTAAAGGATGACAAACACAGTGGACCGTCGGGATAATTGACAACAACCTGGCAAATGGAAACAGAAAATTTGGGACTATAAATACACACTGAAGGAGTAATAACAAACAGGTGTGCGTGGGAACAGTGTTGTAGAGCAATGAGTATAATTCGTAACAGGTTCACGCAGCTAATCACAAAAGGCAAAACTGTCGGAAAAATTAGTAGAACTGACTGAAATATAAGCATTAAAATCAGACAAAAAACGTAAAACTCAACCAGAGGATGTTGAGACACTGTTAAATTAGTGTTTCGAAATTTTTATTTGGATATTCTGAGCTGCTGCAGAGGGTTCAACATGGCCGACACTGACTTTCTACAATGCTTTGTAACGCTGCCAAAATAAAGAAAAAAATAGGCCACGAGAATTATATCATACCTTTTCACTGAGAAGGAAAAGGCGCATGTTAAATGATTCATTCATTGCATTTAATAGTCAGTCAACATGAGTCCTGAGCAATAGTCAGCAGCTCAAACAGGCAGAAGCGCTGATCGGGGGAAAAAAAGTAAATAGAGAGGATCAAGTCCAGCAAACAAATAGGAAACTTTAAAGACAACACAATAACACCTGTTGTATGAAAACATCTGGAATTCCAGCGGTAGAAATCGGATTATTACGCACACTTTTTACATGCTTTAACTCAGTGAACAGGAGCACTTTTCAAGCTCTATAAATAAGACTCTAATGAATCATAAAGTGTGGTTGTGTTAATAGCACTACATGAAGCATTACAATACATGAGGACATAATTATTGTTTATGACCTTTGAATTCTTTCACAATTATATATGTTTATAATTAGGATTTTCAACCCCATGCGGAAGAGGTCAACAGACTCCATTTAATCATTTTTCCATAATTAAAACTAAATGCACATTTAGCCTTTCATTAAAATTTGTTATAGTGCATTACATTTTATAACATAATGAGACTTTTACTAATTTGCGTCAAATTAAATCGGCCCTTCTGGGGCTTTGAGCGCTTAAGAGCAGTGCCCTTCTTGATTTTATTTAAATGGCTCATATCTCAATGAGATGTTTTCATGAGATAATGAGCAATTATAATTAATCAGGACACATGAAAAACATAAATTCAACTCTCGTGTAAGGACTAACTCTGCCTTCAAAGCACCTGAGCCAGCGGATTCAAGATTATTTACACGGTTTAAAAAAAATGAATTGTTTATTTCTTTCAACCTTGATGCACAGAGCTTAAAGTCTTTGTAAAGAAATAGTCTTTGAATAACTGTTAACTTTCATTTCAGTCTAAATCCAGCAGCCTGAAGGAGTTTGACATTTACATGCTTTGTCATGGTTGTTTTTGTAAACATCCATGTTTTCAAGCTAATTTAGGAGAATTGCCTCTGACAATATAAAAGTCGGTACCACTTTGATCACGCAAGTCATACAGTTGTTTTGTTCGTATCCATACTGCTGCACAGAGAACCTGGACAACAATTCCGACTCAGGGGCTGCGTTTGGGGACACGTAAAAACACTAATTACTGATTGCATGACTTCTCTTTTGCTCTCTCTTTTGTTTTGCTCTTGGCAGCATTGCAGTTCAGCGGCTGGTAAATGAGTCACGCTTTATTCTGTACGAATTCTGGGAGCACAACAACGTGTGGAAGAAGTAAGTATTAACTCGCCCCACATGGGTCAGGATCAATGCATCATTATGTCTTTTTGCACTTTTTAATCTAGGAGAAAAAGCATTCACTTAAATGAATCCTTTTGAACATGGAAAATATGAGAAGGAAAGCACAAAAGATTTCATATTATGCAGCATAGGAAATGAAGAAATAGGTTTAATTTAGTAAAATTGGTGATTTTGTTAAGCATTAACCATAAAAGAACAAAAAAACAAAGAAAAACAAAATTTGAATACTGCCTTTTCAGAGTTTGTTGATAAAGGTTGTGCATTAGCTCCAAGGAGAAAACTGGTTGAATAGAAAAGAGGTTTTCAGTTTTGGAAAAGTTTTTTTTTTTTTTTACAGAAACTGTTTTAGACCCACAGTAATGTGAGAGTGAGAGTTCTTTCTTTTTTGTCTCCCAGTCACCTACAGACTAACTACAGTAAAACCTTCCAAAGGGGGAACGTAGACTTCCTGGAAACTCCTGAGAGTCTTACCACCATGCTTGTTCCAGGTGGGACCCCTTTTTTGATGCCATTAAACAGTCTTGTGGTTGGTGAAAGGCAAACTACTTCCACAAAACCAGAGTTTTGGCACCGATCAAGTGATTAAATGCACACATTTTTCTCGGGATCAGTCAATCATTGCTTCTGCTTCCACTCTGCAGCCTCGTGGTGGGTCCTCAACAATAACTGAAAATAAAACAGCACCCTTCACTGGTCGTCACTGATGGGTGTGAGGAGCGAACGGTCACCCGTCAACCCATCAGGAAGTCCACAGCAGCACTGCACACACACACATACGCACACTGATACAACTCGTGAAGTCATGGTGATTAGTATTTCTTACCTCCATGTTCCTTCATAGTTTGGTGGTAGCTGAAATCGCCCACGCGTGTGTTCGTTGACACTCCTAGACGAGGCTCTGTCGTCCCTAAAAAGCAATGATCTCATTAGGAAACGCTCCATCTGGTGATCTGACGTCATCACCGTGTTTGTCGTGACATCACCAAAAGTCCAGAGTAGTCAATGAGAGTTTAAACACGTCTATGTGCGAACGTGTTGGGAGAATGTGTGTGTGTGTAAAGCTGTGTTTGTGAGGACTTGAGCTTAACAAATGGGAGGTTAGGGAAGTTTGGGGGAGTGAGAACACTCTTGGTTTGGGGCTACACTGAGGACTAAATTAGGTTTTATTTTTTGTTGTTCATTAACTTTGTGAGGGTATTAAAGACTGAAATTCTCACGAATAAATTAATGTGTGTGTGTGTGTGTGTGTGAAAGAGGCAGAATAGAAATAATGAGTGTATCAACTGTAGCAGCTCTAGAGAGCACACCCATAACCTTGTAGTTTCTGTATTTAATGTACCAAACTCAGACATACATCTTAAATAAAGATAATATTGTTGTGTATTTCGTGTACTTCCTTGTCTTAGTCTTCATCCTTCCTTGGTTTCCATAATTATCAAGACTTTTAGGAATCGTTGCATTTTAAATGTCGATTTAAGAAATCTTTGGTTCCTTGCTCACATATGTTCATTGATTAGCATTAGGGGTTTGAGATGGTCGGTCTATTCAGGAAAATTTGCAGTCTTAAGACATTTTGCCTGGCACTTCATCAACTTCAATGACCAATGTGGGACTAAACAGCAAGTAAAATCTTTTAGGTGGTGCTTTGATATAGTTGTCTATATTTTATCTCTTGTTATTGTAGTCCTTTTTTTTAAAATTAGGTTTTAATGGACGCATCACTAATCTTCAACAAAAACAATGTCCACGCAGAACATTGTCTATTTCAATCGAACAAAATAAAAAAGGGTTTAATTTTGGGACCCTCATTAGGAAACTGGTGGACATTCATCCTTTTTTTTCTACGGTCTTTAAAGATTTCTTCAGTTTACATGTTTACAGACAGGTCTCAATTCACTCAAACAATACCAATTTTCCCATGAGAAGCCTCTACTACAAAACCCTAATTTCCATTTCCTAAATTGTATCTAGACACCAAAGAGATCAGATATGCACCAACCCATTTATTTGTTTAGGAATTATGGATGTTTGGCCTGCACAGATGTACTGAGTAACAATTCTGAAACAGAAGATCAGCTGAGTGATAACAGTTGATATAAACTAAAATATATACAGGATATTCATGTTTGCCCACTGCTCCACTGTGTGGTCAGCCAGCAGATCTGCAGCCAGAGGACAGACGCAGCAAAACCGGAAAGTAATTGTTTTCCATGGAAATGTGAGAAAACACAGCAAGACTAAAGTTAAGTTGGTGGGTTTTGTCAAAATCAAAAGCAATAGTGAATAAATGTCTTTATCCTTTTTGTCAAAGGTGTTGCACAACTTTGATAATAACCATAATAATGATCTTTTGAAGGTAGAAGATTAAATGATTTTTAATTAAATTTAATATTTTCCAACCCACTTAAAAAAAATGTCTTCCTCTATTGAGTTTTATTGTTATCAATATATGATATATATAATTACTTATCATATATAATTTGGCTGAAATCTTAGTAGGCTATACATCGTGGGAAGCAGCAGTGTTTCCTCATAGATTTGTTATGAATAAGCCGTAGCAAATTTTCAGTAAAATTCACTGACTTGTTGCCAGTAAGTTTGTGTGTTTCATATTGGCTTTTTTTCTTGACATGATAAGAAAAGTGGAGTTGGGTTTAATATTACAAATCATATTCAAGTTCTGCAGCTCTATGATCTTAGGTCAATTCGGATTTACTGAAATCTTTACTTCTCAACACAACACCTTTTTGAGATAAATCTTAATTTGCTTGTTTAAATGTTACATTTTCACATAGCTTGTAACACTGAATACTAGTAAACAATTGAGGAATTTTCCGATGGACTTTTCCAATCGAACTGATCACCTAAAACCGTTATCCTAGTTCAATGTAATAAAGAAAGTAATTATCATACACATAAATTCCTGTTATCAGCCATAAGTGTGTTTTAAATTGATACAGCAATCTTTTTGTTATATTTCTTTATATATTATATTGGCATTATGATATTTGCCTTTTGTTCTATGTAGCATGAGGACAGACAATCTCAAGTTGAGATGCAAAACTGGTAATAGTTGTTTTTTCTTGGACTGGCATTTCATAAACACTTGAATGTAAGAGATGATTTGTGCACTGCTCTTCACTAAATGTTTTAGATTTTGACCATAAATCCTTTCTTGCGATTGATTCGTCCAATATGACCTCAGTCAACAAAATAGACCATAAGACTGTTTTACATTTTATTGATAAATTATCACTTTTAAAAAGACCCACGTACCATGTTTTCTTTCCACTTTGCAGTACTCTCTCTTCCAAGAACTTAATTTGAGCTATGTACAAAGATGTTGGGTTACTTTAATACTATTTTCTGCATCATCAATATGACATTCAAACAAAGCTGTGCCCACCGGTGAAGGTAAAGAGGGAGGATGTAGTTAGCACGCAGAGTTCACTGGAGTTTTGGGGGGGGCAGCGCTAAAAGCGAAGGGAGGAGAGTTTACATTCTAACTCACAGGCACAAGGAGCAAAGACAAAAACATCACAGCCTTGATCCTCCTCTGATACCCATAAAACACCACCTCAGTCATGATGAAGAAGTCCACATGCAATGGTAAGCAGCAAATGTTTTTGGAGTTGCTTTGAGAGTCAACGTGGGGCATCACATGTCAGGAAAATGACCCAAAAAAATGGGTTATTGCTCTACTGATTTAATAGTTGTAGGCACACCAAATAAAATGAACACTGTAATAAAAAAAAAAGAGCTCGGGTTGATCTGACGCTCTTCTGGAATAATACTGGGCAGCAAAGTTGGCACACTTGGGCAATTAAGAACAATGTTTTTTTTTTCAAATGTATCATAATTAGATTAAAAATCATAATACTATGTCAGAATACACAGGCAAGAAAATGGATAAAATATAGTGTGGAAATGCAGTTTTCCGTCACAGGAGTTTATCTAGCAGCAAAACAGCTCCTAAAATTGCATAAAATCATAGTGCAATGGGAGAAAGAGTTCCAGGGAGGCGATCTGCTCAGTAACAAGACAAAACAGCTGAAAAGCTGAGCAGATTTAGGTCCAAAAGTACTTAAATCCAACAAGTTTGCAAATTTCTTTCTAACATTAAAGTATGAGCTAACTAATTTAGTCATTTGTCAAGAAAAATCACTTTTCATCAATTTTCTGATCCTGAATTTTGAATGATCTGGAAAAGATTTAAGTCTCTGCAGACCGCCTCTGGGTTAACTGACTGGTAGTGGATTTTTTTTTCAGCAGGTCATAACATTCCAGGCACAAACAACTGGAGACACCCCCTTTCAGGCAAACAACGCTCAAGACACTCTGCACTTCGCTCGGCGTGGCCGGTTTGAAAATCGGAACAAGATGATAAAAACTAAAAGTGGAGCTTGTCCTTCCAGCCGCGTGGCTTTGCAGAGACGTCCCCGCTCTAGGCAAAGCTATTTTCCGGGTAGCTGACTTTGATGGCTCCCCAGTAGCAGGCTCGTATCAGACAGATGAGGCCCAGCAGGTAGGCAAAAGCCCAGGACACATAGGTGGCGTTGTAGCGACTGGCAAAGTCCCGAGTACCAACCTGACAGACGGGATGAGGAAGAGCACAGATGAAAAGAAGTTAAAGACTGAGAAAAATCCTCATGGACATGGAAATTAAGCAAGACAACACAATAAGATACAAACAAATACATAAAAACACTCTTGAGGTCTATGGGATGATACACCCTTAAGTAGCCGGACTTCTTTTTCTCTATTTACAAATATAAAAAGAATCATTTTGAAGGTATGAGGACTATCATTAGAGACCAATCACAGAATGATTATAGCTTGAGACCATGGTGTGTTTGAAATTCTGTGAGTCACCCAACAATCTGCAACCGACTGTTCCAGTTGCTTTTGTTTTTGATTATTAAGCAGTCACAAGATCTCATTGAAATGTGAATAAAGACTTTCGTATGTGTGTGTGTGTGTGTGCATGCGTTTGCAGTTAAGGGTTCACTGTGTTCAAACAGACTGGGAAAGTCCTCTAAAATAGCTTTTTATAGAAGTTCTTTTATCACTAGCACTAGGTCTGCTCAGAAGAAGGTTTGTGTCACTTTAACATGCCGTTCGTTTTTATTCATTCAAACCATCATGATTACTGTTGTCATTACATCTAAGACGGGGGACATTTTGGCAAAGGTCGGATACATCAGGAAGATCTGAATCTTTTATTGTTCAGTCTAAATCTTGCAGCTATCTGAAAAAAAAATACAATAAACACAAAGAGAGCAGACCACACTTACGGTTAGACCCACTCCAATGAAAATGCAGATCATTCCTATGGTTATATAAGCACAACAGCGCCTTCTGGGGAGAGCACTGCCAACAGAGGATCTGCAGAAACATAAAGGAAGATTGAGAGGAGAAGGAAAACAAAGATAAATATCAGTTTCAGCAGAAACAGGTGTTTTTTTTTGCATGAGCTTTTATGGGCATCAACAATATCTGTTTAATTCAAAGAAAAATATAATCAAATCAGATCTCTTAACATCCCTTTTTTAAGAATGAAACAACCTTGTGTTTATTTTTTTATTCTGTCTTACATAAGAAGTCGTGTTTTTATCCCTCCCATCCTCAGAATGCTCACCCTGAACAGCATCCCAACCACCTCCTGAGTAAAATTAATCTTTCACTTCCCTTTTCAAGTCATACACCAGAGCACTTAGAAACCGTCACGTGTGCAGCTCCCAACAACTTCACGTCTGTCCGAACTCCATGCAGACACAAATACAAGTGAAATGTCCACAAGCAGCAGACCAAGTTTTTTTTTCTTTTCTTTTTTGGTTCATTATAACTTCACTTTCCACCCCCACTCAGCTCTCACATGCCTCTCATGTGACGGACTCAAGCATTCTTCAGGGAGTGCTGGAATTCAGATGGCTTGGGGAGTCCTGATCACCTGACCCCCTCCCTAATTATTTTTTTTTAATTCTTTCCTCTTTATTTCATGTTTCCTGTCTCCACTTGCAACCACGTCATTTATTCAACCAAAATAAAACCAGACACTTTTCAGATTTACATGCTTAAATTCTCAGATTTCCCTCTGAAATCAAATTGGAAAAAAAAACAATGAAAAACAAAATACATTATCTGGAAATGCAGGTAAATGTGGACAATAAAGGGAAATTATCATGTTTACTTGAGTAACTATGGGACCAGAGGTTTCAGTTCTTTATAAGCCCGAATGTGAAAGGTCCTCACATGAAACCTATTAATTTCCCTGTTCTGACTGGGTTTAACGAGTAGGCAGAGATTTGAGGAAGTTGTTCACAGCGAAGGGAACATTTTGTGAGTTTTAACGTAGTCCAGACTGATAAGTTAATAAATGTGAAAAATAACCACCATTAGTTTAGGTGCACATCATGAAGAGGGATGTTTTCCTATTAAACGTCTATCAACAATGTGCATTTTATGCTCATATCATATCCATATACAAAAATAACACGATTACCAGAATATGTTCCACGTAATGTTTAATACAACGTTCAATTGGTTAGTAAATCTAAGATAAATTTCAGACACTGTCTAAACAATTAAAGGTATTGGGTTGCATTACAATAAATCAAAACACTAATGTAAAGAAGGCAGACGTGGACTTAATTCAAAGTTTGAGGCAATGGCTTGCTTTGTTTGACCATATCACCACTCCGAAAAACACAAACTAGCCCCCGCTCTTCATCAACCCGTTGGCCAACCAACCTCATAAACTTTACATGTAAGGCCAGTCTTTAATTCTTGTCACACGACTAGATTAGCCTCCCCTCCCCTGCAAACTGCTAATCCAGACCTCTAAAGCTCAGAGTCTGACTACAGAGAATTTCACCACTAAGTACGTTTTTTGCTACAGATCCAATGAAATATGGAGCTCTGGTTTACAACTCAGGATTTATATCCTCTTTTGGTAAGATGACTTACACCACACCACATCCCCTAACAGCTGAGAGTTTGTGTTTGGGCCTTAGCTCCCATTCACATAGTTTAAGTGCTGCGATATTTCTTTTATCTTAGAATAAAAACTGATAAACATAAGGGCAAAGCCAACCGTTTTCAGAAAAAGCAAAAGTTCTATCCTCGAAAACAGTTTTCATTCAACGTCTCTAATTGTTCAGACTCTTCAGTCTTTGTTGGTGGTTCATAAATAAATGTTTTATAAGACCAGAAAAAACCTCCTTTCTAAGTCTTATTGTGTTAAGATGATGACTTGAAAGCAGCAGCATGGGCCATCCTTGACCTTTAAATAGTTTTTTTTCTATTTTTTTACTCTTTTATCATAAATCCATCACAAAGGTTATATTGCCTTTAATATAGTTAAGTTTATCTTTTATAATGCTTTGCCTGCGTACTGTGGAAATAAAAAATAAAGATTTTTCAAAGTTGCATCTTTTTGGACAGATTTGAGAATGATATTTTCAGTATTAGTCTAAGTATCAATAAACGAAGTATTCCCTCAGTTAAATTTGGAAGATGGCAACCATTAAAAAAGCTAAGTCATGGACTGAATGCATACGTGCTATAACAGGTGAACTCACATTTTTTTGCAGTGGGGACACTTGGCTAGCGTGTTGAATCGAAGCTCCATCCACTGTGAGGAACCAGTAAAGAAATGCATTATTTCACATTCATCTTTAAGAAACATACCCTACTCAGGCCAACACAGAAATGTAACGACAAACAATCATCTTTCCGCTTCTTTAAAACAATCAACAGCAGACTTTCCAGGGGATGATTTAATGTGATCCGTTCGGATAGCTTGCAACTAGTAAACCTATTCATCACGGGTAACCAACCTTGAGTGATACTTGTATGTTAGTCAATTTCAATGGGTGTTTAAAAAGCAGCCTAAAATCTACTGAACCCACCACAGAGCAGCGTCATTATAAGGTCCAGTTGACACAAGTGAAAAATATGACTATTCACACCTGGCTTTAGTGCAGGAAAAACAATTTACACTATTTAAATGTCAGCAAGAATAAGTAATAACAGGAGGTTAAAGCAGAAATAGACTATTAGACATTTAATTTAAAACTTTCTTTTTGCATTGAAGCTCTGCTAGAAGCCAGATATTCACAGTCATTAACACCGGTGTGAAACAGGCCATGGGTGTAATTCGAGCGGGTTAGGCTGTTGTTAATATGTCCACCAGTATGACCAGCTTTTTTTTTCAACCTGTTGCTGCGCTGGGGGCGAGCCATCGCTGGGGAGACCAGACATTGGCTGGGATGACCTGGCGTCCTCACTGCCCTACAGATACCGCAAGCAACAATGTTTAGAGGCACAACAGCACTGATTTGGAACTGCGAATGAGGCTCCGTTTGACGTATTTTAAAGGAGAAGGACCGACATATGTTTGAAATCTTGATGGCATCTAAACAGAGGGTCAAGAAGCTGGTGTAGCTCCAAGATAGAGAGCAAAGATGAAGGAATATATGCAGAATATGCATGCCAGTCACTTGCAGCAGCCATATTATATATTTTTTTTTCTTATTTCACAGATAGAAAATAAGAACAATTTCAAAAAGGAAATATCTACCACTTAAATAAAAAATCACTGCAACTCGGTGGATTTCTATTCAAAATTATACTCAGAAAACGCACAAGGGTGCGACTCTCATAGTTATATGTACATACTAACAACAGCACATCGACATGATTCGGCTGGGACATGTCTGTGACTGAGGCTGCTCGTCCTCAACGTCAACGTACTAGAAAGGTGTTGCCACAGTGTCCGCAGACCACTCTCATCCCCTCCGGCTGGATGGGCAGCGCCGGCTGAGCGGGCTGCTCCTCCGGGATGACCATCACAGGGCTCAGGTTGATTATGCGTCTGCTACCAAAGGGACAAAAATGAACAGAGAAAAGTTTGATGATTCCAGCCCAGCCAGATCGAATTAAAAGGGTTATATTAATCGGGAAAAAAGTGTTTCCTACCAGTTCGGTCGAGGACATCCTATCCTCCTGGATGTGTCTTTACAAATGAGCAGGCAGTTGCAGGGACACCTAACATACTTCTTCCCTGTAGGAGGATTCTTGATGGGCTGGATTAAAAACAGGAATATCGATTGACCATAAACCAGAGGCACCTTTCACAAAAAACCTGGACCATAAGTCAATCCCGACTGTCACAATATGATCACAGAGCTTATCACAAACACCAGTGTCACCAAAGTTATTCACTTTTAATATCTGAGTAACAGAGGAATTCCCTTTTAAAGTAGAGTGTATAACTTCCAAGCCTTTAAACGGGTTTTTCTACACTCATCTTTTCCATTTCAACCATAGTTGAAAACAACTGTCTGAACAACAAAAAAAACAAAGCCAAAGCAGAGGCAGATGTAATATGTTGTGGAGTTATAACAGCCTTGATGGCTGCACAGCATGAATAAAACACTGTAAAAAATCAATAGATTTGCTTTTAATCTCTGAAAAAATATTACACATCCATAAAATGTCTCCGTTCATGCTGTATTTGCCAGTCATGTGACAACGGGACGTCTAATATCTTATAGTATTCTGTAAAGTGAACATACTGAGAAATTATTTCAGTAAAACAAACTTTGCTAAATATTCCAAATGTTGAAATTAGTCCTACGTACACTATGAAGGGTAATGGGATCTCATATAACTGTGTGGATGCTGTGTAAATGGCACTCCACAGTGTAATTTAATCTGTCCCGTGTTGGCTGCTCTTTGACAATTACAGCCACAAATTGTGCGAGTAAGCTCCAACCATTTGATGAAAGTTCAATTAAATTCAATTCAATTTTATTTATATAGCGCCACATCACAACAACAGTTGTCTCACAGCGCTTTCCAAACAGAGCAGGTCAGACCCTACTCTGAAGTTAATTACAGAAACCCAACAATTCCCACCATGAGCAAGCACTAGGCGACACAGGCAAGAAAAAACTTCCTTTTAACAGGCAGAAACCTCGAGCAGAACCATGGCTCAGGCTGGGCGGCCATCTGTGGATGTGGATGTAGGACTACGCTCAGGCACAACAGAAAGACATTATCACGATGATAAATCAGTGAAAGCGGGTTTGAAATCGGAAATGAGAAGCTCTTCCGTCCAAAATCCTGCGAGACAACGATGCGGTCAAGCTTATGAAGGCAACAGAAAATGCCAGAAAAAGAAGAACGTGCGTTTCTGTGACGGCAAAAGCGACTATAATTCCACTTACTGTAGCCTCGTTGCAGACGGTGCACTTGACCACGTGCTGATGCAGTTTGCCGTCCAGGTTGATGAGCGACTGGCAAACGCGGCAGTTGATGACGGGCACACCGCCGGCGTCGGGGCTGGCGATGGCTGTGTAGGGAGGAGGTAGTTCGGCTTTGAGAAAAGGAAGGCAAAGCACACAACAAACAGCCGGCCATTAATGGCATGCACCTCATAAATAGCTTCACAACCATCAGCGAAAGACATTTTGGACGAGCAGCCGCACTGACCAACCGACAGAAAAAATCAGAAAGCTGCGAATGAAAGCAGTTACTCAAAAGCCGTTAACAAAGAAGTGGCGACTTTAATCACTAGGAATATTGCATATACGACTAATTATTGTGCGCAGGATAGCAGAAATGCCCAGTTGTGGCAGGATTGTAATATATGTCGAGTCAGACATGATGCCAAAGGTTGTTTGAACCTCTGAGGCAGAGGTTCAATGACAGAATTGGCAGATTATCCAGCTACAGTTTGGCTTCTTATCAAGTCCATTAGCAAATAAAAGCATTTACAGACAAAATCTTTCTAAAATAAACTCAGTACAATGATTTCAGAGTATTCATATTGACAACCAACCCCCCAGCTTTGGTTTTCCTGACTTTTTACATGCGGGCTCCTGATCTTATATCCCTGAAACCGAGTCAACAAAACAGGGAGGTCATCTAATCTCAGAATGGAGTAATTTCCTCCTTGTGTCACTCTAATTGAGGTGAACAGATAAGCCAACAGGTAAATAAACCTTGGCTCTGAGATTCATAGACTCTCGATCAGTTGTCACCATGGGGACAGATGGGACAGCCTGCCTCCAAAGGACCAGTCCTGGCAGGAAAAACAAGCTGAGCATGCCAAAAGCTGGGCACTCCCAGTGTTGAGGCAGCAGTCGGTCCATCTTATACATATACTGTAAACAATCTACCATGACTTGTGAATCTAAATTCTCACTCTGTGTTGTCAGAAAGAAATGCAGTTTCATTTTAACCTTAAATTCGTTCATAACATCAACGGATACAAACTTGTAAAAAAAAAAAGAGGTTGTGTCTGTCTGTTCTGCTTCTCGGAGGACGCCTGTTTCTACTACAGCTTTGCACTCCGAGCTGGCCTAATGCGTGTCCGAAACCGAAGACAGCTGCTATACATTTTCACTCACTGTCCTCGAAGCCAAACGTAAGACGAGAAGACTAAAACTATATCCACCAGCCACACCACTCTGCCTTGGCAACAACTTTCAACTGTAAAATAATACATATTCATAGCTCTGGTATGAAGGTGCATATAAAGTATTTGCAAAGCTGAATTTGACATTTGTTAGAGAATAAAATATTATGTCATTTGTCTTGTTAGCGACTGGGTTACTTCGACTTTCTTGTTAAATTCTTGAAAAGCATAAAGCATTTGTAGTTTATAGGAGATGTCAGCCGGCTCTTCGCAATCAGAAACCCATGTGCACATTGTCTGAGATAAAAAAAAAGCTCCATTCAGCAGTAGAACGTCGTGCAATTAATTGTTTTAGTGTTGTTAAGAACTGCTTTAACCACAAATCACAAAAAGTTTCACAAACTTAGTATTAAGTAGTATTGCCACAAAATACTTTTACTTGAGGTCTTCAAAAGATATTCAACACTGATACAATTTTATAATGTTTTTACTGGAGCATTATTAACATTACTAGAATAAGATGTAGACATAAATTCATAACAAAGGTATTCAAAAAAGAAACAAACAGGAAAATGTTCTCATAGGGTTCTCACTTTGACACATTTATCTACATAAAACCCAGTTAGTGCAACTATATGAAACTAAAGAAGAGTTCTCTTGAAAGTTGTGGTGATAAGAAATTATGGGATGGATCTACTTTCCTTTTCATATACAGTAGGTTTTTCCAAAAAGGAAACAAAGGCTACACTGATGCTAATGTCCTTTGAATTCAAACACTTTGAAAAGCTATTATCATGGCCAGTTATAAAGTATCTCTGCTCAGTAGGAAACCTCTGTTTGCAAAAAAGTTTAGATGAATTAATGCTGAACTTTCTCTACTGTCTGACCTGACACTCTCTAATGCCGAGCCATGGACTAGAGTAGGGCTGCTTTTTCTGCTTACCTCATATCTGAAAATTCTACAGGTGTACATAAGTACAGTGAGTGTGTACAGCAGCACATACTCACTTTCCAAAGAAACCACATTATTAATAACAAGGAAAAAATGTCCCTCACTGACATTTTAAACAAATTTCAGAGTGGGTTTCTACAGCACATAGGAATAAAAATGTTTGAATTAGGTTGCATCCTTTGGAGTGATAGCCCAGATTTATTTTTTAAAGCCTGACACAAAAAGTAGGTTCAAACTCTATATTCAAAATCTGTGAAGCACTTCAGCTGCACAGGATGTTGGTCTTAACACAATTCCATGTTTTAAGTTGTATTAAAAGTGCAGGGTCAGTCCTTTATTTACTTTTTTGTATCCTTTTCAAGCTTTAGTTTGGCTGAAACAAAACTAAAGGCCAAGTGACAAATTCAAGGTTTCAGAAAAGTCCAAAAACAAATCCGTAACATCAGGGTTTTGAAATCTATATATGACATCCTGTAATCTTGGATTTTTGCTGGAGTTAAATAAATGTTTGGGTAAGGTTTGTTGAATAAAAGACCAAGGCTTGTGTATGATAAAAAGGTACATTTTAATAAAGAAACCCATCATATCCGTGTGAATATAAAACTGAGGGACAACTTTCTGTAAAAGGTGTGACACAGCAATTTATGGTGCTGTTGATTCATTATTTTGTTCTACTGCTGATAGATGAAGTGGAAAAATGAAAAAAAATCAAGCAGACAATTTACTCCGTCATCTTGATACAGCCAACTTTACTGGTTATGACCAAAGAACTGCAAGAAAGTAAAAAAATCTAAGTTTTTTTAGAAATATGAGTGTTATTAATCAGAAAATTCTACACACACATCGTTCTTTCTCTCATGTCCGAACTGCTGCTGATTATTAGTCATCACAGACATTTTGTAATAGGAGAAAAGCACGGTTTAGAAAACTTTAGCTCAGATTAATCCATTTTACAAATTGGCTGATTGTGGGCTGACAGACATAAACTGGAATTAGCCAATAATCCAGGCAGCAGCAAGGGAGGACGGCCGAAATATTCAGGTGAATTTACAAACATTCATCTAGGAATTACCCCATCACTCCTGTACAAACAGGCTGTCACCTCAAACATTCTTAGCGTTAAAGCCTCTATGGTTAATCCGATGGTGAACTATGAATTTATGAAGCTTAGGCCGTTTTTTCCCCCCCTTTGGTTGATTTTAGTCAGAAATGCCCCCAGAAAAGAGCATTACCCAGTCAATTAATCCATTCATGTGTGCAGAAATGTGCAGAAAACAGAGGTGTTACAAAGCAAATGAACATACGAGCCTGTCACAACATTATCAGAGGCTAAATGCATTTCTACGTCACACAGAGAAAACCAACTGGGCGAATCTGATCTGGATGATTTAGCAAAAAACACTAAGTGGGGACTTTCCCTAAAGCTAAAGTAAAGCTCAGAGCAGAAGCTATGGCTAATGAAGCAAGAGAAGAATGTGAATGGGCAGGATCGGCGTATTTTTTTCTCCGGCTCGTAGGCGGATTTGTCTAGTATGCAACATAAATTCTGAATATGATTAGACTCCATTCAGTGTAAAGGTCATACGTGGATCGGGGGGGGGAAGGAGGACTTAAGGGGTGTGATTGTGCAGGTCACGATGGAGGGATCACAGCACAGCAGCCTACATTCAGAAAAAAAAAACGGACATGCAAATGTTTATGTTGATCAACAGCATGAAAATGCGAATTATGAGAGAGGAACCAAACTTCCTGTGAATATGTTTCAGTCCCATTTCCATGCAGGACAAATAATTATACATTCAGTATTGGAATTAGGTCTTGTAACCTACTCAGAGCACATCTGGGCTTGTTTTTATTTATTTCCAGCTGGGACAAAAGGCTGCTGGCCTGCTTACATCTGCAATGCCAGCAACTCTCCCTCATCAACCAAAACAAGATTATCGCCATCATCTAGCGATGGAATCCCACAAAAAAGCAGCCTATAAACCTCTCCCGGGGCCGCAGTGAGTCGTGATTTTAAACATTTATGCACTGGAAAAGAAAAAAATCAGCTTTCTTGTTATTGTAGGCCCATCTTCCCCCCCTCTAACCCACTGCTCCAGTTCTCAGAGCAAGCTCCACCTTTTTCGTCAGCTGCTGTCGGATTTTCAAACCGATGCCCTTGCCTTTATTTGCCCCAAAAAACTCGATACGCCCTGAAAAAAAATGATTCAGCAAAGCAAGAGACGGGGCTCCACCCGGTGTGTGTGTGTGTCCGTGTGTGTGTGTGAGTGTGTTTACCTCGGGGACTCGGGTCTTGCAGGTACGGGGGAGCGGTGGGGGTGACGTTCTCGGAGTTGGGGCCCGACAGCAGCGGGGACCGCTCGTCCATGCCGTCGGAGGCCATGTCTTTTCGCGCCGAATTGGGGGCAAAAAAAAATGTAACGGGGGAGTTTTTTCTCTCTCCCGGCCCGTGTCTTCTCCCCCCCTCTTTTAACCGCGCAGGAGGGGGCAAGCCAGCTGCTGTGGCCGTGGGTTGCCCGAGCTGCTCCGGTCCGGCTCTGCTGTGACGACGGCAGGCTGGAGGAGGAGCTCCCTCAACCCGCCCTCCAACCCCCCCCAGCCCGCAGGCTTGGGCAGTGCTCCCCTCACGGTCCAAGCACACAGGAATTTGTGTGTTAATAGGCCAATAGCAGTAATTTTTTAGATTATTTTACCATATTATCTATATATAAGTCGAATCCAAAACAAGTTTCCGTAATATTCGATTTTCAATCGTGATTTAATTCAATTTTTAAATTTAATTTCAGATAGAATCACAAAATGATGTCAATTACCAGTTGTTGCCGCCAGATGTCGCTGTTTGACTACTTTAGGCCTGTGCAAACGTTGAATTTTTGCCTCTTAATCTTGTCTAAAACCAAAATATGTCACCGTGGATCATTTTGGATATTGAAAATTGCTTGGTGATTAATGACAAGCTCTATGTTCGGTCCTCACATTTTAAAGTTGTCATTTTTCTTTTGAATTGAATACTTACACACCTATAGATGTGAGAGGTGAGACAGAGCGCATATGATTAAAGAAAGCATGTTGGATTTAAGTTGAACTGAATGTTAAAAAGTTTAAACCCATAACCCTTTAAAGCCTGATCCAACAATAAAACAAAACATAAAATTACTTTTTTTTTGTTTGAAGTCTTTATTTGGCCTTTTAACAAAATATGCAAAAAGAAAAAACAAAAATACATATTTAATATGAATAATTTATTACTATGCGATAAGTCAAGATTATTTTTTGTGTAGTCTTCTGCCCCCTGTTATCAGGTGTATCTGATTGTGTACAATAGGATTTTGAGCAAAGTTTTTACCATTAAATGATGCAAAAGGTGTCAGAAAACATTTCAGAAACTGTATCTATCAAATATGATACATTTGGCATTACAGGGTTAAATTCTTAAACTTGAAATCTTAAATGTTTAATTCATTTACAGAACAACAATCAAACAGAGATACAAGAAAGAGATGGTTCTGTCAATAGATCAACACAAACAGCACTTATCTCTAAATAGTGTGTGAATAGAGGTGATAACCTAAATGCCTGAGGAGTAAGTAGTAATCTACATGAAGGATGCCTTTGAAATAGGCACAGGCAAAAGTTAAAACAGAGGAATGCAAGAATCAAAAGGTGGAAAAGGAAGTTTTTCAACTCCTAGGTTAAAGAGACGCCTTAGGTAAACCAGGGAAATTGTGCTTTTAGATCCAACAAGTTGAGGCAATTACTGCACAGAGTGAACCACAAAGTTATAGGGAGCCTTTCCAAAAGGGGTGAAAAGATTAAGGTTGAGAGTTAATCCTCAAACTCACTTTTCTTTGCAGAGCGTTCAGTCTTTTGTTTCTCATGTCATCGCTCGCCCAGTTACAACACAGCTGCTTTGTTTGTGCCAAAATAAGTTCCATTCCTGGCTGCTTATGTCAGAGTCTGACACTAAAAGACTAAATAGGGACATATGGGGTGTATTAAGTAAGAAGTTCCTCATCTTTTAGCAAGTTTGTGCGTTTTGCAAACTCATAACACAAATGTATAAAATCATGTCCTACATTTTTGCATGGCAACAGCTTGCTTAATGTACAGGAATGGATTCACTGTGACTCAGTCAGAAATTGAGACATGCTTTTGGGCCAAATTCAAGCCTGTAGCTGTCTCTGTTTATGATATTGTAAAATGGCCCATAAATACCAGGAGCACCATACCTTCCTCTCATCGGTAGCAAGAAAAGAGAAGAAAAACTCATGGAAAAATGTAATTAGCTGACAATAGGAAATCCTTATTGCCAGGAAAAACTGGAGATTTTTAAATGAGATGAGTGGCAGAAATGTGTTGCAACAATTTTCCATCAGCAAAGGGTTTGCTTTAAATCAGACCACGTGAAATCACTTCGATTAGGTGAGTTTTTATTCAGCTCCACGAACCATTAAGAGAAACCTTGCCTTCCGACTCTGTTTCTTGTGAAAAGTAATCCAGTTTGCATGTAACCGTCTGCAATCGACTCATTTTTTCCGACTTCTTCAAGCTGGAGAGCAGCGCCGCTGCGCGCACACACACACACACCAACACACACTTTTACGCACACTCAAACCGCTTTGTCGCCGTTGTTCCTCTTCAAGGTAAGACCGTTTACGCGCATTACATTAACAGTAGTTGCTGAACACGTTTAGTAATTGTCATTTGATAAAGTGAAAGTTTCTCACTTAGTGAGTTCAAATGATCTTAATGGGTTTTTACGAGTTTAAAGTTCTGTGCTTTGGCAGTCATACGGCTACCGAAATCAAAGTAACTCTCGGTACAAATAGCCTAAAACACGCTTTTATATCCCATGTCTTTGCATGATAGAACCTCAAATTTAAGCAATTTTAAATAAGCCATTGCAGCTACTAGCCTTTATCTGTATACTAGCATGCAGTCTAAAAGCATCGGTAACCACCACCAGTATGTGCAATCTAACTTTTTCGTCTGGACAAAATATTATCATTTTATAACCTGATAGTATAAAAAATGTATTCTCACTCATTGACGGCAAAATGTGTCTTCAACTCAAGTGTTGAGAGGTTAAAAGGTATTTGGAGGATGCGGGCATCGATCCCGCTACCTCTCGCATGCTAAGCGAGCGCTCTACCATTTGAGCTAATCCCCCTGCTGGAAGTTTTACTAAGTCTATGTGGGATAAAAATGTGACACAACGACCTGAAAGAGTATGCTCTCTGTTTCAGCTACTTTGAGATGCCCTGGTGGACCACGAGCAGGATGTGGTTCTGCCTCGTCCTGCTGAGTTTCTGCTCCTCAGCAGAGAACGCAGGACCAGCAGATCCTCTTTCTACTTTTCCACATGAGCAAGCATCAGGGGAGGCAGACCTAGAGGACGGGGAATGGGGATCAGGGTCAGCTCTTCTACACCTGCTCCACAGCTTCCCCGGTGATAGCCCCTTCGTAGCGGAGTCCTCTGAGAAAGCGGCCAACTGCAGCCAGCGTTTCCGGTTACCACCATCCCCTCCGGTCTGCTGGGAAAACATGGCAGGGCCCGAGGAATTTTCCAAATCCCGTCTGCTCGTCCTGCAGAACAGGGCTGCCCTGCAGGCCGTGTCCACCTCCAGCGGGGTGGAGGAGGGAGGAAGCTCCTACAACCACCAGGCCAGAGAGGAGGTGCAGGGAATCCGCTCAGACCACCAGAGCATGGTGGAGACCGTACACACCATGGAGACGGTGTTTGTGTCTCTGAGGGAGAAGAGGAGAGATGGTAAAGAGCAGGGGGTCCTCACAAGGTACGAAAAGAAAATTACCAATTTATGGAAAAGTTCAATTGCATAGCTCCTCCTATTTATTCTGAGCATTAACTTTGATTCGACATGTAAATTCTTCAATATTGTGTTCAATTTTAACGGCTTCCTCATTTTAACATCAATTGATAACAGTTTAATTTTAAACCAGAATATAAAAATTGACATAATTAGCTACTACAGTCACAGATGAAACATGTGAAACAAGAAAACACAGCAGATCAGAGGTTTAAGATAAAAACATTTTTTTTTTATTTGTATTGTTTGTTTTAAGAGTCTGGGTGGGGAAGTAATTATTTTATCTAATGATTTGGATAACATATTTTATATCTTATATAACACACTGAAATCAGTCTCTGACACACTTTATGGTTGTAGATGCTTTACACACTTAAACATTTGGGCCAAACGTCACAAATACGGACACACTCAAGCTGGCAGTCGACACAGCTACAGCTGGCTGCTTTACATGTGCCTCCAGATCATCTTTTGTATTTTACATACATCCCATTCTAAGATAATTCAATGATATATACTCTGCTCTCTCATAGGTAGAGTAGATTAGATGATTGTTGTTCCTGTACGCTAAGAACTAAATGCTTGGTGGTTATAGATAATGGCTTATTGAAAGCATCTGCACTGCCATTGTAATCAATAAAAAGCTCATGTGTGTTTTATGCACTGATTTCTACACAACGTAGACCAATAGACTGTCTATTAAGAGATCTACACCACAGCCCTGCTGGGATCATCAATTCCCCTGCAGCTAAAACCACTTAGATAGTGGGACTAATTGTAATGCAGCCAACATCAAATGTCTATACCTGTTGGGCGATATGCTCATTGTCCACCTCACATGTGCATAGGACTGTGAGCAGATGGATATTGGTCTCTTTTGCTTTTCAGGATCAGTCATTGAAATGGTCATGCATCAATCTGTGACCTGCTGAGACACAGTCCTGTCTTGCTGACTGATACATTTTTTTTCTTAGGTTAAAATGAAATCCACTGTCATAGTCAGTCAGCTTTAAAATACTTCTCAAACAAACCAAATCTCTTATGTTTGTTTAGCCCCGGTGCATAAATGTCAATGCAAAAAGAAAAGAAAAAAAAAAAGAAAAGAAAAGGAAAACTCATGATCTTAAGACAAAATCTGAAAAAGTCTGAAATCAGTTTAAACCGTGGTGCAGTGCTTTACTATAGAAAAATTTACTTTAAAATGACACAGAAGCAAATGGATCTGTTGGTGATTTGCCATATTTGTGCTTAGATACACACACAGCTCTGAGACCTACTGTACAGCAGTAAGGCAGCAAACGTCCCGGCTACCGTGTGTTCCACAGTGATCCAAAGTCAGCTGTCTTGGGCTAGTCATAAATCATTATTATTACAGGCTTGGAAGTTGCTGCTAAATGTGTCACTGATTATTTTAGTAGAAGCAGTCGTTTAAATGATCCTCCCACAGTCTTGGCAGACACGAGGCTCTGGTTCTCAAACAGTTCTAGAACATTTAGTAAAGAAAACTATGACGGTCATATTTGATTTACGGTCTTTCATCCTTTCCAGCATGAAGGAGCGCCTTGCCCAAACAAGGGATGCCATAGATGGCCGAGAGCACATGGCAGACATCCTGGAGAGCCAGTTTTCCACCTTAGAGAAAACTCTGCTCAATATAGGATTTCGACTCAACAAACTCATCCAACAATGACAAAGTGGGAGACCTCTTATTTGAACCGTATTTGTATACCAATCTCCTGTACAAGAACGTAGCTCATGCATGTTCATTGTATCTTTGTAATAAGAGAGTGAAAGTTACTTAATATGCACCTTATTATGTCAGCAGGGACCCTTATCCACATTAACCTCATTATCAGGACACATATGTGCAAAGATTTTTGATTTCGAGACTTGTCAACATTTTTATGAACCTTGAAAGGAAATGAATGTGTTTTCAATTCCACATTTGTCCCTTTAAGGTACAGAATAAAAAAAATGAGAAAAATGACCCATGTCATGCAGTATATGTTCTTTCTAGACAGTCTTTGGCTGTCTCCAAAATGTCCTCAGGCAACTCACGCAACTACTAACAATCGACAAGGAATTTTGACCAGGTAACTATCACCTCATCTGGCTTTGGCACAGCAAAAGACACGGTATTCTGAGTGTCTTCTGGATTTCTACGCATTGTACTCTGAAGCAAAATTAGAGATTTGATATTCCCAGAAGACCGAGGCCTTTGTATGAGTGACCACATGGCTTAATGGACAAGGTGACTGACTTCAGATCAGAAGATTAAGGGTGTGAGTCCCTTCGTGGTTGACCTGGTCCTATGTTGTGTTATTGATGAGTACAGGTCCCAGTTGCTAAAGACCTTGATGTGTAAGCGTCCTGATTTCCTCTTGCAAGAAACCCTCTATAAAGTCACACTATGGTGTGTTGCTGGTAAAATCTAAGAGCAATAAATGTCTTACTTGTTTAAGAGGTGAACTCTTGTTTAAGAGTTTAATAGAAATACATGAAGCTTCCATCATCACCGAGCTGTGGGTAGAGAAGGTTTACGTCACGAACACCACTATCAAAAGCCATCAGCGGCCTCTGTGACGCAATACGTTAATTGTTCAAGCCTACCCAAGGGTATCCTGATTTCTGCACATTCCTGGAGTTAATGCAGATTTCTGTCTGTATGCACTTCTGACAAATGTGATAAGCTTTTAAGAATTAGTGCATTGATTCTGTCACATTTCCAGATTTCAGACTCTATAAGGATAAGCCCTCCTTTACCTGATGAGATTCACACAAATACCCATCTGAGAGGATTTTTTCAAAGGCAAGAGAAGTTATCTGTCAAGTCCACACAATGGAAAAAAATGATGAAGCAGTTTATTAAGATGCTTTTCATACTTTTGACCACCAGGTAGCATCAGAGATGAATGTTAAAAAGCTTCGAGCACTGAACCCTTTTGCATACAAGCTGCAATGCTTCATGAAGCTTAATTTGGCCATTGCTACAAAAGGCTGGGAAGGGTCAAGTTGAATAAAAAAGTAGTGTCAAAATTAACCTAAAACAGTCTCATAAGTTTAAATGTCTTTAGTTTAAAGATCTGTAAAAGTAGAAACTTGAATTACAAGACAAATTGTTTACTTTTAAAATATTTTTCTGACTTGCAATTGACAAATGCCATCTCTACCACATTGTAACCGTTTTTTGTAAAGCAGAACAACCTACAGCACTGTAAAGTAGTCTTGGATACTTTTTGCGAATAGTTTCACCAATTTGTCCACAATATATAGCAATCATGCATTTGTGAATGAGGAAAATGAATCCTAATGACCAACTACTGAATAGTACGCCTTTCACAGTCTGAAATGTATCACTAGTTTGGGCAGGGCCTTGTTAAATAGAACTGTATTTCTTATTATATTATATAACGCTAAGTCTCAAATTGGGAATATAGTTTTAATGTGGGGTTAGAACTTTTAAAATAGTTTTTGGAAAATAGGTGTGGTTATGAAAATGACTGAAGAATTAACACAGACATGGAGCAGAAGTGGCATGTTTATTTGAACAATTCTTAAACTCATTTTCTTACTTAAACACAACCACAGCTGGTTTTGGTGTCATGCCAAGCCAACGTCTAATTTAGATTGAGACTGTGTTGATTTTTTAAACTGTCCGACCAGATATAGTGCAGACTGTAAACGGCTCACACAAATTAAGGTAACACAAAAACATTGGCAATAAATGCATCAGTCAAATTTTGTCGTTATATCCTGTGACCTTTTTATGCTTTATTATGTGGAGTCTGAAGAATAGATAAATTGAAGTTGAAAAATATTTTATTATTATTATACACTGATTATTATTATTATTGTTATTATTATTGTTTGTATTATTGTTATTATTGTTATTATTATTATTATTATTATTATTATTATTATTATTATTATTATTATTATTATTATTATAAAGTATTACACATCTCTCAATCCATATAACTTCCATATAACTATAAATGTTATTTATAAAAGATGCCAATGCTGTATGATGGCTATATCTTGGATAAGAGACATTGATAACCGAATCAATCCACATAAACAACAAATCAGGGAAAACGACAATTGCTTCTAACAAGTTGCATAGAGCAAGTGCCTCACGGATTATCCGACACAGTATTCTTGCTCAACTGTTCAGGATCACCGATGGATCCAGATATTGTCTACTAGCAAATTTAGCAGCTATGGAGCTGCTCACAGAAGGCTTCCCCAGGTAGGCCCCACCGTGTGCTCCGAGAACTACCAGGGCTGAGTGCGTAGGTGAAAAGACATCCTCAGCTCGGGGGGAGCTCACTGAATCCAGGTAGTAGGACATTTCCTGAAGGAGCGGGTCAGTCCACAGACGTAAAGACAATGCAGAGATATCATCGGCTTCCGGGTTCAGAACCTCTCTGTCTAACTCTGACTGGCTTTGGAAAAGTTTTGCTGCCTCCATCATCTTGACACGGGACTCGATGACATTAACTTCTCCGTCGATTTGATCCATCCAGTTCTTCAGCTCCTCAGGGTTGAATGGAGACTCCTCTCCATAATCAAAGGCTCCCCGTAACAACGTCTACATCTTCCCCACTGGCTTTCTTGAAGGAAACAATGTCTCCCATCTTCTTTTGGACACACATTTCTTAGAATCTGGTCAACTTTTCATGAGTCTTTGGGAAATAAGTGTTGTGCTCCAGACAGTCGTTAGATCTCATTCTCAGCTTCTGAAACTCCTACAGACCATTGAGGACCTTTTTGCGAGCTTGACCCCAGTTTCCCAGTTAGCAGCTTCTGGATCTAAAACCGTCAGCGACATCAGCCAGATCTTCATTGGAACACCGTTGTCTTTGTTTTCTCTCAGAAGATGTGGAAGCTGCATGTGGGCCTCCACTGCATTAAAGTTGGTGGGATCGCTCCCCAGGATGAAGTCTACGTAGTACTTGCAGGTGAATTTGTTTACCAGAGCTTTTTCTTCCTCACTCAGGTGAATTTCAACTTTTCCCCCAACACTGAATGAGGGGATCTTGTTTAGCACAGCTTTCGTGCCTCCCTCAATGTTCTGAACATTACTGGCATTCCTTCACACTGTCAAACACATAGAAGGTATTTGCCCCATAAAGGATGCTGGTGACAACACGTGTGACCAAACTTTTCACGTTATCTGTGATTTCCAGGTTCTTCAGGGCCTCAGCAGCAACCAGCTGTTTGAAGACGGTGGTGGCCTTGTACTCACAAGTCACTCGGCCATGGCTGGTGGATTGCTTCATATTGTTCAGATACTTTGCAGATCCTTCCACTTCAATCAGCCCGGACTGAAAACTGGCCTTCAGGGAGGCATCCACATCCAGAAAGGATTTATCCTCAAATGGGTCATATGCATCGATTTGAAACTGACTGCTGTTCTGATAGTCTGTAGAACCTTCTCTAAGCAGTTTTCCTTACCTTACCTTAAAAACAGCAGAGCAACGCAATTGTCAGAAGGCAGCAATGCTAAAAAAACTAAATTAATATCTCTGCTACTCTCAAAATTCTTTACATTTGCATTAGTGTGGGTGGAAAGATACTTGAAAACACTAACTGCTCAGTGTGCAGGCAGCTTTAAGTTGTGCCACAATGGGGTTGCATCGACAGACTCTCACAAAGCATCTTTCTTGCAAATGATCTCTCCTCAAACAAGAAACCAGATGGGCTGCATGCTCAGATCATATATCAGTGGGGTGTGTGTGGGGACGTCACGCAGAGGGAATCATCGATCAGCTTAGACGACAAATGCTGACCTCCTTTCCCATTTTTGCCTCACACCACAATTAGCCTGCAAGGACCCCTTTCACTGATTCAGGAAAGACCAGTGAACAGCTGAGTATCCTCTGAGAGATCACCCAGAGTCAGCCTGAGCTCTTTCTAACAGGACCAGAAGAAGGACAAAGAGTCCTTCCTCTGGAGAATACAAAGCATTCACAACAAAAACTGGAACAGGACAGTTTTCTGCTGTCCTGCAGCATCAGCTTCTGTCTGGTTTCTCAAACATGAGAAGCATCTCTAACCAGAACCAGACACCCACACAGGGATTTGAACTTCCTGCCCTGGTCTTTCTGTTGTCTCTCGCCTTCATGTGTTGGTAAACAGAGACCAGACATCCGGATGGGAGTGAATGTAGGATTGCATAGGTCTGCCATGATTGGTAATATTATCATACCTGGAAAAACTTGGTCTTTCCGAGCATTGCACACATACCTAATGCTGAAAGGTTGACCCAGAGCAGCCGTTTCCATGAGACCTGAAGCCATGTTTCTTACGCACAGAAAAACTTAAATGATTTGAATGAGTTCTGTTCAGTTTGGTCTGCTGAACATATCCTTAGAGACCAGGCTATGAAACAATCTGAGACTTTTCTCTCGTAACATTAGATCAGAGGTACAGCCAGAGTGGCTCACACTGATGGTCCCTGACTGATGTGTACTCAGTACATGATAACCCCTAACCCTATTGCTTATCACTCCCTTATGAGGAAGCCACTGTAAGAAAGAAATGTTATAAAAAATGTGACTTATCTAAACTAGTTTGTATCAGTGTTCCAGTTTACCTGTGCTAATTGTGCCCATTTCATACAACTTTATAAAGAAAAGAGTCAGCAAAAGTAAACTTTAAACAATTATCTGAAGAAACTCTGTGGCATGTTTCTGGATGCAGATTTGTGTCCTGGAGGTTGGAAATGTTTCCCTGCTCCAGGTCAGCGGATCCACATCAATTGCACAACTCCAATAACTCAGTATCAGTTATGTTGAAGCAGGGAAACGTGTGAAACCTGCAGGGCAGCAACCGTCCAGAGCCAGAGTTGTGCACCTTTGTGCCTTTAAGGAGAGGGGAGCTGATGACGAGGCTGCAATGGAACTGACGAAGTCCGAAACAAAGGAAAAAACACAAATCAACCAAAACTACAAGGAAACTCAGAACTGGAAAAGGCAGAAACCAAAATCCACAAATTACCCAGACCATATGTTCATATTTTGGTTTTCTAAATTCACCAGATTGATGAAAAAATGTCAAAACCTTTTTGAAACATGCACTTTACTTCCCTTTCACTCTGGTAGTTTGGAATATATTACTCTCTTTCTTTTCTGCTGTTGGTCCTCGGGTTGTAGAGTTTTCCAGACGTTTTGCAGGTAAGTGTATCACCTTCAGTCAGTGTGCTGTTTGAATTTATGGTGTTAGTATGAGCCTAAACTCCTCCTTGGCTCTCCCCTTCTCTTTTCCGTTGGCTCACAGCGCCCCCTGCCGTCCACTGCCATAATCTCGCTTGTACATTAAGGGCATCCGGTACGTTTAAAGCTCATGTAAAACTTCCATCAATCTATTTTCCTACTCCTAGTGTAGTCTATTGGTGGGTCTAACCTGAACAGGTCACGCTTATTAGTTTTAAAACGTATTTAATGCAGTTGATTTAAAAATGAAAAAATAACTCTCTCCCCGTCGGGGAATCGAACCCCGGTCTCCCGCGTGACAGGCGGGGATACTCACCACTATACTAACGAGGAGTTGTTGTGTCGTCTCCGCGAATGCGTCTTCCTAAACGTGACGATGACGTTTTCTGCCTTTTAAAAGGCGTTCTATACATTTATGTGCAACAGGCCCGGGTCTTCTTCTAACTTCTAATCCCAAATCATTTAAAAAAAACTAAGACAGCAATATTTTAGATGAGGAGTAAATAATGGAAATAACGTTGAACAAGGAGCATTCTTAAAAAAACGTGAAGGGGAAAAAACTGATATGGGGTACACTGACGTTTTTTTCATGTTTACACAAATACTATCGAAGAACGTACAGTTCATAAAAAAATAATAACAAAAATAGAAAAAAATCAACTAAACAAAAACAGCATGTCTCTCCCCGCCGGAGAATCGACCGAACCCCGGTCATCGAGAATTCTTTAGCTAAACGTCCCTAAACCATTTCCAATGAATACCCTATGGTAGTGCTAAACCGCAACGGATGCAATATGTTTCTGACCACAACACCCTTGTGGCGCTGTCCAACGCGGCACTCTGCTTGTCCAGCTTTGTTTTAAAAAATAACAACTCCCGGCTTTAACGGAAAATAAAAAAGGAAGTTGCCCGCATTTGTTTAAAAAAAACAACTTGGTCTGAATTTATTCAAAAACGTATCTTGTTGTTCATTACGTTTTGAATGGGAAAGTTTATATTTCTCCCTTCCAGGAGAAATAAGAATTAGGAATAATACGAACTGTGACAGTACTTCAATCAAACAATCAATCAGTCAATGTTTATTTATAAAGCACTTTACAACAACCGGAACTTTACAGTGCTTTACAGTAATAAAAACAGATCAAACTATCAAAATATACAAAGACAAATACATTGGTGACAGAACCCAGTTTACAGAGATTTTACGTGCAAAACGCCATTCTGAACAAATGCGTTTTAAGTTTAGCTTTGAACAGAGGCAGGTCAGTGAATGTACGTAACTCAGTGGGCAGAAAGTTTCACTGCTTGCACCTGGACCGTGGGACCTCCAGCAGACGTTGACCAGTAGACCGAAGTGATCTGCCGGGCTGGTTTCACCAGCCCGGCAGATCGCTTAAAAAAGCTTGCCTTCACAACCGCATTAACCTGTTGGTCGAACTTTAAACTGGAGTCCAATTTTACGCCGAGATTTTTTATCACATGAGAACAATGGGGGGCCAGAGAACCAAAACTAGGTGACATATGCATATCTGTCTTGTTCTCATTCAGGCAAAGAAAGTTCTGAGACAGCCAGAGCTTAATGTCACTAAGGCATTTGTGGATAGAGTCAATGGCATCTGGAGAGTTTGGCAGGACAGGAAGATAGATTTGTAAGTCATCTGCATACAGATGTAAAGAGACATTATGTAATTCCCTCTCAAGTCGAAATCACGAAACCAAGTTGTTCTTAGAGTTACGGGCTTTTAATCACACAACTGGCTTAATAGTGTGCCGTGATGCCGTGAGAACTCATTGGCCGCTTCCCCTTGAGAGAAAATTAAAACTCTTCGATGCTTCAATGTACTATTATTCAAACTTCTTTTAACGTCGCTAGCTCTTTAGAGGAGGAATTGGCAAGGTGTCTGCCTGCTAACTTGGTCCAGCATCCTACAGAACAACCGTTAGTATCTCTCAGAGGTAACACCCCGTCAACGAACGTTGGTTACCCCTTTAAGTAAGACGTGTTTCCATGTCAACGCAAAAATATACAGGAAATATTTGCTTTTAATATTAAACTGTTATTATGTCAAATGAACATATTTATGAACTTTATATTTTTAACCTAATATTTCTCAACCTATTATTTATTTATTTATTCTGACTTCGATTGCAGTTACACATTATGTTTGAGGATTATTGACCCTAATGGCAGCAGGTACAGGGAGAACAAAACAGGGCCCAGAATGGAACACCGCAGGTCAAAGGAGCTGACGAGAAGGAAAGTTAATTTATTATGCCACTAAAACTTCTTCCTGTGATGTATGACCTGAACCACTGCAGTACCTGGAGCCCCACCTGTTGGGCCAGACGTGAGAGGAAGATGGAATGATCCACCGTATCAAACGGTCCAACAGCACAAGGTCCAACAGCACGAGCAGCACAGGTTTCCAGTGAGGCCAGTTCATCTGTTTTGTTGGGAAGTGAATTCATGCTCCCATCACCATCGATGGAACTGCGGGCTTAAATCTCCACCTCTTCTCTTGTCGCCTCTTCCGTACTTTGAGTCCGTCTCGGCAGCCACGGAAACAAAACAATTCCTCAGGGATGTTCGTGCGAACGCGGCCGGTGAACTGTCTTAGTTCGAGCAGCTGTCTCCTTGTGTAGGAAAGACTGCTGTCACCAGAACAATGATCCATATCCCTGGGACAGAATATTATATTCTCCGTGAGATACTCAGTGAAGTGTGTAATCCGAAGTAATAATCCAAACAAAGTTGATTAAAAGCACTAAAAACGTGACAAAACACGGAGCTGTCAGGATGGCTGCCACTCGCGTCAGCGCCTAGCAACGGGAACTTGTGGCTTTAAATTCCTGGAGGACAGACATCTTAACGTGACACGAGGAGGCACAGTGCCACATTCTTGACTACATTTATCAAAAGAGGTTTCTACCCTTATCTAGAGGTAGGAGTAGAGTTTCTAGAAGAGATCAGACTTGCTCTGCTTCTGTTGGATCACTTAAAAAGTTGGAGAAAGTGTTTCTTGATGGATGTTCTTCATCTGTAGTTGCACATCTTGAATTCTCTCCATTAGTATTTCTGTGCCCTGCTTCCTCTCTTTATTTTTTGGGCAACGGTCTCCTTCATAGTTGACAAAGACTTCAGGAGTGCTCTTCCTGCCACTGCTGTCTCTTTTTTTCCAGAATGTTCTGTGTCTCAGTCACGGCTTCTTTCATGGCGGTCGCTGCTTTGCTCTGTTCCTCCAGAGGATTGGTCTTCTGCTGCTCCCATTGATGTTTCTGGTTCTGAGAATCCTTTTGAATTTCAGTCAGAGTGGCCTTGATTTTTTAGTTTTCCTCCTTTTCCTGATCTAAGCTTCTCTGAACTTCCACTGCTCGATGCTTCTCAGCTTCCAGAGCGGTTTCCAGGTGTTGGATTTAGTCAGAGGCGAACTTGTGTGGTTTTTCCTTCTTTTGTAGTTCTAGGTGGAGGGAGGCTATGTCCTTTTCATTTGCAGCTCTCTGATCTTTCAGCTTGTTCTTAAGCTGCTCCACCTCCTTTGTCAGAGCGGTATGTTTGGCGATGACGTTCCTTTGCTGGTTTTCAGCTCACTCTGTGTTTTTACCAGCTCAGCCTTTGTTTTAGTGTTTTTTGCCACTAACTTAGCCATGGAGCTCTCGTTCTCTATATGGAAGCTTCTCTGAGTTTCAACTGCTCAAGACTTCTCAGCTTCCAGAGCAGTTTCCAGGTGGTGGATTAACTCGGAGAACGGTGTTTTTGGCGATGACGTTACTTTGCTTGTTTTTCAGCTCACTCTGTGTTTTTACTTGCTCAGCCTTTGTTTTAGTGATTTCGGCTACTAACTGAGCCACGGAGCTCCCTTTCTTCTTATGGAAGCTTCTCTGAGCTTCCACTGCTCGACGCTTCTCAACTTCCGGAGCAGTTTCCAGGTGGTGGATTTTGTCGGTGGCGCCCTTGTGTAGCTTTTCCTTCTTTTGTAGTTCTTGGCGGAGGAGGGATATATCCTTTTCTTTTACAGCTTTCTGATAGTTTAACTTGCTGTACAGCTCCTCCACCTCATTACTCAGAGCGGTGTGTTCATCGAGGACGTCCCACTGCCTGCTTTTGAGCTCACTCTGTAATTGTGTCAGTTGGTCATTGGTTTTGGTGTTTTCGGCCACTAACTGATCTACAGAGCTCTGCGCTTCCTTTGTCTTCATCCTCTCATTATTGACCTCCTCTTGCAGCTGGTTTTCCTTTTGCGAGGCGTTGTGTAGCAGGGCATTAAGCCTCATGATTTCCTTCAGCAAAGCGGCGTTGTGGTTTTGGGGTGTTGAGATTTATTCCTCCTTGTCATGCAAAGTTTTGTGAAAATCCTGCTCTGAGATCATTATCAAGCCTTTGCCCATTGTTTGGTTCTCTTGTGCACCTTGCTGAGCTGTTGGACTCTTTGGTTGCAGAAGATTTTAAATGGGATGGGGCTCTGCGGTGGGGGGAGTAATTTAAACAGCAGCTGGTATGTCAGGGCCTGGAGCTGATGGGACAGAGTCCTCTACAGCAGCTGGAACCTTTGTTCCAGCCTGGAACTCTGGTGTGGCTGTCTGACTGGAGCTCTCCGAAGGCTCAAGCTTTTTGTCGGTTCCACGACCTTCAGTTGCTTTTTGTGGTTTCTTTGGTGCCACAGGAGGAAATGGGATTGGCTGCGAGGATCCACTGGCTCTCACCTACTGACCGGCTGAGCAGCCTCGACCATCCAAGCAGTGTTTTTCACAATCAGACCGAAAGTAAGACATAGACATAGACATAGACAACCTTTATTGTCATTTTGCATGCACAGAGTGCACACAGAACGAAATTTCATTTACATACAACCCACGACAAGAACAGAACAGAACTCAACAATCCAACAGTTGATGGCAACAGGTCAAAAGCTGATGCAGGGTTACAGGGTTCTTGAGCTGTTTGGATTGATTTTTCTTCCCTTTCTCCGTGTTGCTGTTCTGATTGAGCTTTCTGGGTTGGTCAGGCTTCTCCCTTTGAAGAGAAGGAAAATGTTCTTTATCCATGACCATGGTAAAAGCAGGTTCACATACCTAAAAAAAATCACAAGCCTGGTTTTGGGTTTCCTCAACAGAAAACGCTTGCAGCTCAGCTGGTTCCTGGTTTCGTTGAGGCAAATTTCAAAACATGTTTTTATTTATTTTTTAGAGCAGTGGTTCTCAAACTTTTTTCAGTGATGTACCCCCTTAAAAATATATTTTTAGTCAAGTACCCCCTGACACAGGCAAAACATTTTTGGAAGAAAAAAGAGGTACAGTGCTGTAAAATCACTGTCTTATTTATTAAAGCCAAATAACGGATCCATACTCCAACCATTGCATGTAGACAAAAAAAGAAAAACAGAAGACGGTGACCACCAGGAAGGCATAAAACCAGAAAATCAAAACTGAAATATGCTGCTAACGCTGCTAATTTATATTGGTCTTTGTAATGGTACAAAATTGAATATTTACATAAATAACTAAAATGTGTTTACAGAAATAAATCTATAACTTAATTATAAATAAATTATATTTTGTTTACAAAATAAATTAACTTAAATAAAGATTTGCTTACAAAAAAATAAAGGTTACATCTTTTAGGGTAAAAAAAAGAAGATTGCACTTTAATCACTTTGCATTGAACATTTGATTTCTCCGTAGTTACAGCGTAACCATGGTAACGACAGGTCGTTGACAAGTGCGCGGGGTCCGTGGGTCAAACTAACTTGGTGGGGGGTCCATTTTATTTTAAAGGATATTGAAACTAAATACTGAATATAAAATGCAGTGCATGAACACACATTTATATTCTATCGAACTTTTTACAGAATCATTTCTCCCAAGACTTATTATGAGGAGCCTACTGATTTTTAAAATATATTTTGAAAAGCTTCACGTACCCCCTGCAGTACCTCCACGTACCCCCAGGGGTACGCGTACCCCCATTTGAGAATCACTGTTTTAGAGTATGTCCTTTAGAGAGGACATCGGGACTCTCTTGTGGCAAATATAAACACATTTCGAGGCATACATTTACCTCTGAACTTTAACAATCTTTAGTGCTGTAAATTTCAAATGGCTACATCATTTAAGCCAGTGGTTCAGATTTCCAGGCACCTCATTCAACTTATCAAAAGCAAGCTGATTAGTGTAGTTTATTCAGGTGTGTTAGTTCTGTTTTGGTTTGTGGTAGTCCATAAAGCAGTTCTTTTTCTTTGAGATGCAGAGGTACATGTTGCTTTTGATGCACCTTATGTAGGTTTTTCCAGTGCACCCTTCTGCTTTGCACCTGGAAGTATTAGGATTGTCCATCATCTGTGGCAAATGGACAGCTCCATACTTTCTCACTTCCTTATCTGGCTGGGGCCTCCTTCTCTTCTGTGATGGAACGTACTCCTCATCATTCGACGCATCAGATTCAATTGGATTGGGTTGGCCTGACTGCCCCTGGGCAATCAGTTCCTCACCTAAGAGCAGTTTGAAGTCATGGTATTGGAGAGTTTTCTTCATAGGTCGTGCCAAAGCTTGGCTGTCTTCCCTATACTGTAACCAGGAGTTTGTGATGGCCAGATCGAAGAAGTGTAGGATTGTGCGTACAGTCCACTTCCTTGTGCGGTTAGCCATTCTATAAAAGCTAAGCATTCTATCACACATATCAACCCCACCCGTGTTGGTGGGTGCCCTGCCACCACTGCAGGTCTGGACACTTGAACATGCCTTTTGTCTTTCAGTGACCATCTGGTCCGGGTATCCTGGGGCTCTATTCCATGCACTGTAGATGCCATGAGTACAGGTTTATTGTCAACCCATTTTGTCACAGCCAGCTCAGGATGCTTCCTTGTCACCATTACGGAGGAGCCTCTTCCTTGTTTCAACAACTCTTTATCAGATGTAATGTTACAATCCTTTGGGAATCTATTTTTCATCAGTGTTCCACTTGCAGGCAGACCCATTTCTAGCAATTTATCCAGTAGTTTTATTGAGGTGAAGTACCTAGACAGACAGACACAAACACAAAAAAAAGTTAAATAAGTGTCATTTGTTTACAGAGAATCATCATCAACAGCACCACAGTTGACATTTTCATCATACCTGTCAAAGTACAGGTGAGTTCCCCTGGGAATGGACTCAGTCAACCGAAGAACTGCACTTGCTCCTATTCCAAGTCCTGTGTCTCTGCCGACGAAGGTGTTTTTTCCTTGGTAGACTTCGAAATCCAATACAATTCCAGTTGGAGTAGCGAGAACAAACACCTTCAATCCGGTTGGATTTGGCTTACCAGGAACGAATTGACGGACTGGACATCAACCAGTAAAGGGAATAATTTGTTCATCAATGAAAACATTTCCTGGCCTGGGTAGGTTTAGGCAGCCTTGTTGCACCATCTTCAGAAGTGGACTGATTCTCCAAAGCATATTCAGCTTCCTCTCCTCTTCAGTTACATCAAGATCATTAGTGATTTTCAGAGAACATCTGATCTTGAAAAAGCGATCCCTTGTCATAGACTCAGCAACTATTGGCACTCTTGTTTTTTTCGCCCAATACATTTTGATTTTTGGGTAACCAAGGCATGCCATGTACACCGAGACTCCAAAGAAGGTCTTAATCTCCTCAGGTGTTGTATTCAGACTTGAGCCTGCCACCTGAATCTGTCTCTGGTTTGTGCGAAAGGAAATGTCCTCAAAAACTTTGTTGGCAATGTACTGCTCAAAGTATTTTGATGGTGGCCAGTCAACACGGTTTGGGGCAGTACAGACAACCTCTCCGGAGTCTTCCAGCACAGGCAGGAATCTTAAGAGACAGACAAATATATTAAATAATTATGTCCTCTAAAAGTGATAGTTCATCCAAAAAATACTCTTATCTGTCTAAGCTTATCTACTCTTGTCTCAGAAGCCTACGTGTTAGTTTTGGTCCAAAGTGGGCAACGGGCCCTTGCATCCTCAACTTCACTCTCCTCTTCCTCACTTGATGCCTCATTCTCTGAACTCCCAACCTCAAAATCACCGTCAATCTGTCCCTCTTGGTCCTCCTCATCTGACAAATCTATGTCTGAGTCTCCATCAGTAATCCTGTTAAGGATTTTCTCTGCCTCAGTCAGTGAGCTGACTTCTATAAAAACAGGTTAAAAAATAAAAAGCAAATCCTGATGTCCTCTATGGAGGACACACATAAACAGGTTATGTTTTATGCCAACAAATAATTAAACTGCTCTGAAAATTCACCTAACTATTCCTTAGATGTTCATTTACTAGAAGCAATCTGAATATTAAACTCACAAAGGATGGCAGCCATTTTGAAGAATCAGGAAGAACATTTTTGAAAAGCCCCACCCCCACACATGTCATATCATTGGAGAGCCCAGGATGTCCTCTCTAAGGACCAACAGGATTTAACACAGTGGCATGTATGGTTTCAGAGTTATGAACAAAAAACCTATGTGCTCCACAGAGGACAAAAATGTATTGCTGGGTCTCAGGAGGATAGTTGCACTAGACATAGCATCCCAACTCATGACTGACTGTGGATATTTCACATTGGGAGTAGATGGTGTTACAATAATAACTGATTTCAGAACAGTGTTGTCAGAATAAATTACTTTCAGCAAAACCAGTTTTGAATTCCACAGCGAATTTTATTTTTAAAGAACTTGAATATATTAAGTGTATAGTTAGAGTAGGTTAACACATTTGTGTGGCTGTAGAAGCTGCAATTTCTGAGATCAGTGTTACAAAATAAATGTAAGTCTTATTTGGAGCCACGATATTAAGATAAGATAAGATAAGAGCTTTATTGATCGCACAATGGAGAAATTCACTGGTCACACATCGGTTAGAGTTCAAAAGGAGGAAAAGATGCATAAAGTACAGCAAAAGCAAACAAATATACAAGGAAGCAACACAGCGCAGAGATTTCGGTGATTAAAATATATACAATCATTGATGGCTTACACACAGTACACATATTACACAGGTCAATAAATATAATACAATTGCACAGCAGTTGTTAAAGTGCAGAGTTGTACAGTCTGGTAGCAGCAGGGATGAAAGACCTGCGGTATCGCTCTTTTTTACACACAGGGTGTCTAAGTATTTTACTAAAAGAGCTGCTCAGCTCCTCTACAGTCCGATGCAGGGGGTGAGAGGTGTTGTCCATGATGGATCTCAGTTTGGACAACACTCTCCTCTCAGCCACTTCCTCCACTGAGTCCAGAGGGCAGCCCAGGACAGAAGTGGCCTTCCTCACCAGCTTATTCAGCCTCTTCCTGTCCCGCTCTGTGCTGCCAGGGGCCCATCGAGGCTCAATACAGCTTCAATACAGCTGCTCTGTGTGGGATTGTTATTGATGACACTGTTTAATCAATCAATCAAGCAATCAATCAACATAGTTTATTAATCATATCCCGGCGTCCCGTTCAATGAAATTCAACATTTCAGAACAACCCGTCAAAGATCAGACCAAACGGACACATAAACACACAGAGTTCGGGAAGACTGTGGGGCAGTCCATCTGGAGGTGCACCTTTTTTTTCAGAAAAAAAGACATCGGGAAAGAGGTTGGAGGACGAGGGGGAAAAAAGGCCCACTGCCACGCCCCCTACAACAATAATGTAATTGTTTGTGATGCCATCCTTTGCTGTGGTGGTGGTCCTGGCTACATCCTGGGTGAAAACCCCCTTTCTTGTCCTCTCTTTCTCCTTAATGATTTTGAGGAGGGGGGGTAGAGTTACGTAGCACAATAGCAGGACACGCCAACAATTCTGGTATGTGTTTTTACTCAACCACCTCCATAGAGCAATAGTTGTATTTCACCCCTCTCGCCATATATTTCATTGCAGGCTAGTATTCAGGCACTGAACATGGTCGATCCAGACCTAGATCTGATCCGACTGGTTTAGAATCAGCAACAAACTCCACAAGAAGCCCAGACTGAACTGTTAAACCTCTGCAAAGACATATTTCCCATCCCTACAAGTGACAAACCCCTTGGGGGACATTGATGGGAAGTGATGACAATGAAGCCTGTTGAGACACCATCACATGCCCAGAAACTACTGATGGGTTTTTGAATGAAAACCACCAATGGTGTGATCACATAGCATTATGGTCTTTACCTTCTTCACCTGGAACTAAGAAATCAGTCCTGAGCTCCCCTGAGGACAACACTTGTAATCAAAGAATGCTTTTCGGTTGCTTTATAGATGACATCAATTGCTCAGTGGAGCCAACAGCGGGCCTCATCGTGTCTTTAATATTTTAACTGGGACAGAGGCAATATCACTGATGTATGTTTGCATCACAAGACCTTTATTTCCATCATTCAATGACAAGACTGAGGGAAATGTTTTCCCTTGCAAATCTCCACTGATATCCAACAGCTCTTCAAGTGCCAAAGTTGATGTATTTTCAGAAATGTGTTTTAAAGAATTTTGAGTCATCCACAAAAACAATGATTTATTAAAACACATGTAAATATAAAAATAGCTTGTCAGTCTTTTTTACCTCCACTTGTCCAGATTCTTCACTTTAAAAGGGTTCCCTGCACACCATGCTTAGATATTTCAGGTTTTCAGGTAATGATCCTTGGCTATCGTACAAAAGTGCTATTGTTTCCTTGTTTTTTCCCCTGTTTTTTTTTAAGATTCAAACAAGACAAGGCAACAAGAATGAGTGCATGAAGGTGCAACTTTAAATTGGGTCTTTTCTAAGATTGATCTGTTAAGAAAAACAAACCGAAAAGGAAAACAACATTTCACATAAAATGGTCAGTGACAAAGAGAGCCAGACTGAGAGTGAGTGAAAAAGCTGCCAATGAGGGAAAGTGTAAAAGACTTTGAGTCATTTTGGAGTCCTTTCATTCAAGACCACTTTCAAAAGATAACTTAAAAGTCTGTCTTCTTGAAAATGTTTTTTAATAAATGGTGAGTTGTTCAAGAGTTATGTGAAGTGTAACATAGAGTCAGAAAAGAAATCAGAAAACTGCAACCAGTATTGTATTCTAGTCCACTGAAAAAAATCTGATTTTATTACATTTTTTTGGGATCTTTTTGAAGTGGGTAGTGGCCGCTCTGCAACCCTGCAACAGAATAAAGCAGTCATAAAAAATGTATGCTTTCATGTTTGTGGTCAGATTTCCTCACACCAAAGATATTTTGCAGTTACTTTTTTTTCACCTTATCTTTGAGTCTTTGAGTTTGTTCGTCTCTGTTTTCTGTTCCAGGGTTCACTTTTGGGCATCTTTTGTATTTCTCAGTGTCTCATAGGCTTTTATGATTTGATCTTTCATATATTTGTGTTTCTTATTACTTTTATTTACTTTCTAACAAACTTAAATAAAATAAAAACTTTTTAAAGCTCAAAATTAATAAAAGAAACAAAAAGAAAAAAATGAATGATTAAAATCCTCAGCTATTAATGCTACATAAATCATGTTGAATAAATAGATTTTCTTAGGCCTATTGTGCCATTATATGGTCAAGAAGTTTAAAAAAAATCATTTTGAATTATTTTTCTGGATCTAGCTTTATTGGCTTAACAGTCTATTTGTATTATAAAATGATCCTGATGACGCTTTTCCACTAGTACCTACTCAGTGCAGCATGGTATGCTTCTTCACAGTATCTTTGCATTTTCCAATAGTGGCTGGCCCCCCTAAACCCCGGACCGACGGCAGGCCCTGGCACTGAATAGGCGGTGAGTCACATGATTAGATGGTGACTCATCACGTGACCCCCCCCCCCCCTTTAAAAATGCAGCAACAAAAAATATGAATTATTTATTTCTGTGATAATAAACATTGTAAATACCTAATAAATGTCCTTGATTGTGGTCTTGTGCTTGTGTTTTTCATTTTTTATTTTAAATCAACCATTAACCGTGTTGAGCAGTGCTGGGCTCAAGCATGTAGGGCTGAGTTGGCCCTAACGAAAGTGCCATAAGTTTTCTTGAATTTCAAAAAGTTGCCACACAAAGACATACAAAACACAACCACACACTCTCATGCTCACGTCTACGAGCTATTCTAGATTTCACTGTTAAGTGTCCGAAGGTTTGTTGCATTTTAGGGTATAAGGAATAGTACACTCCTGCACTCCTCGGTGTTGTGTTCTTAGGGTCCACAGTTCTGCATGTTTTACATGTTTTCAAGTTTTCCAGGGCCAGCACACCTGTTGCAATATCTTCATTGGCTCACTGCAGTGGTTAAAAAGTTGAAGAGCTGATTCATACATTTGAAACAGTTGTGCTGGAAATGAGAAACT